TAACCCCCCTACTTAAAACTTTACATGTTCTTTATATGTTCTTTCTCACATCAACTGAAATTCACACAGGATTTTCACTTAACCCCAGAATAACAAAGCTAAAAGGAACTTCAGTTCTCATGGCTAAATCTTTTGTTTATGGACAAGGAAGCTGCCAGGAAAGAGAAGTGACTAATCCAAAGACAGCAACCTGGTGATACTAATGGCAGAGCTGGAGAGAGAACATGGGGATCAGTGCTCTTCCCACCTACCCTGGTTTCCTTTAGAAACCCCAGTATTTCATTTACCCCTTCTTCTGTTCAGAGAAAACACACAAGCATCTGGTCCAATTGTAACAGTCTGGCAATAGAAATGAGTGAGAAGTCAAACCATCTTATGAAGAGTTCACACACACATGCAGTCAGGATATGGGCAGGTGACTAAGGGGAAGGAAAGCAGCAGAGCAAGGACTGATTGGCAAGGACCATCAGGACTAATGTTGGGAATACCAACGAGTACCCTCCAACCTCTAGTCTCACCCTCCTCACCCAGATCTTCTCCATCTGTTTATGGGTAGATATCCAAAGCCTTACTCAAACCAGCAATATACCTTGCAGTTCCTAGCTCTGGATCTGCAAAAGATATCCACCATAATCGCCTCCCCACTGCTATAACTATAGGAAATTTCCTTATACTTTTAGGTCCAGATCAAATGCTACTTCTTCTCATAAAGGCTTTCCTCTCCTATAGTTTATTATTTCTCCTCATCTTGAACTTCCAGATTGGACTGTCTGTGACTCTCTGGTTTGCATTATAATTATTCATGAACAGGTCTTACTCCGTCAGTGGATATTATAAACTTGTTTAGTTGTGGTCAGTTATTGTTTGTCTTTTTTCATCCAAAAGATATATATTGGGTACTTCCCATAAAACAAGTGTCCATGGACCATAGGTCTTTAGTAAACTAGAGGGACACAAGCAAGCAAAGGGGCAAATACAATAGAGCTGAGAAGTGCTAACATAAGTCAAGTGCAGTGAAATCTGCCTGGGGCAGCACAAAGGCCAATCACTTTTACTCCATCATGCAGAGGTTGGGGAGATTGTCAGGAACAGTTTCCTGGGAGAAGCAGCATCTAAATAGAGATGGGAAGGACAGGTGGGAACTTATCCAGATCAGCAAGTCATGGGGGCATTCAAAGATGCACCTGGCTTGCTGTCTAAACAACTAGATCCAATGAGGCCTCTCTCTGAACCAGGGAGAGAGGAGAGACTTTTCTGAGAGCCAGAGGAAGTCCCTGATGTTCGTTTCTCTCAATCCCTTAAGGTACTACACTTAGGTACCTGGAATATACTAGATGCTTGAAAGAAAGAGTAAATGATTGTAACAATTCGGATTCTTTTCACTTAAGGCGCTCAGGATAAATTTTGTTTACTGGTCAGATACTTAACCATGTCCACCAGCACAATAAAACACAATAAAATTGAACTTTTGGTTCAAGGAGAATAATGGCTGGCAATTTTCTTGATACACAAACAGGTCTGGAATGCGTTTACCCAAACAAGTAACACAGCCTGAGGTCACATTGTCCTGACAGGGCCACTACAGAACAGCTATCATATAAGTCCTTTCCATTTTTAGCTTGTCACCCAAAGAAGGCCCAAGAGGCAGGAGCCCCCCTAAAGAACCCATTTCCAGAGCTGCTGCAGAGGGAAATGAGACTGACTGGGAGTGAGGTGTGTGTGTGCAAAAGCTCTTTCCACAATCCCCAACTCTCATAGGGAGCAAGCAGGCCACAACCTGGGCATTGCCAACAGGGAAGAGGATTTGTGCCAGAAGAACAGGAGGAAGGGAGGGGACAGGAAGTAGACTTGGGGTCTGGAGGCCCACCAGGAAAGGAAAATCAATTTCCAACAAGCCTGGCTTTTCCAATCAACACAATCTCCAGTGTTGCCAGCTACTCCACTCCTGTCCTTGTTAGGAAGCAGGAAGCGTGTACCCCTAGCCTCACTCAAAGCTCCAGCACCATACGCACTTCCTGTGCACACTGGATCCTGGAATTCCACTGTGGTGATGACTCACCACTGACAATAAAGACGGCTCCAGCTTGGCGCCGGTGGCTCACACCTGTAATCATAGCCACTCAGGAGGTAGAGATCAGGTGGATTGAGGTTCAAAGTCAGCCCAGGCAAATAGTTCTCAAGACCCTATCTTGAAAAAATCCATCACAAAATAGGGTTGGTCAAGTGGCTCAAGGTGTAGGTCCTGAGTTCAAACCCCAGCACCGCAAAAAACAAACAAAAAAGGATGGCGTCAGGCATCTTGGGTTGACTTGTGAATTGTTACTGTGTCAGACACATTCAATTTTTTTCAACTAGCCACTCCAAAACATCTCTCAATTCTTTCCTTAATGAGACATAATGCTTTTCTTCCTCATAGAACACACATTCCAGAAGCACCTATCCCGGGACCAGGCAAAGCCTCTGCTGCCTTCCTGGAGCCCACACTGGAAGATGGGATGACTATCTGGAGCAATGGTGGCAGGAGGTTTTTGTCTTATGGAGCATTCCCACATACCCATCATCCCATTTACACTCACTTTCTCATTTAGTCATTACAACTACCCTACAAGGGAGGGGCCATTTCTACTCCTACTTTGCACATGAGAAAACTATGGTTCAGGAGGGTTATGTGACTTGCTAATGAGGTGCTAAGCCCAATTTCTTATAAACTATCCCACATTTGCTTACCCTCAGTAATCCTTACTCCACACTGACCTATGGGCCCACGTGCATTACTCTTGAGTTGGAGGTCTGGCCCAGTGTGTCTCAGGCCTCTGTGCTCCTGTCACTGTACTGCTTGACACTGCTGTGTGTGCCAGTCTCACTGAACATAGACTCCAGAAGAGCAGGAATCAATGATCTCTAGACTGTAGAGACTAGAGCCTTGAATTAATGCTCAGACTGAATAAATAAACCTCCACAGGGAAACTGGGTTTCAGTCAGAGGACTGAGCAGTGTGGTGAGGGCATCACATATAATAGAAAATAAATGGCTAAGATACATCTTCAGGCAGCCATCTGGTTCTAAAGAGGTTCTAGAATGTTCTCAGTTCCAAGAGCAGTTTTAGATCACCTAAGATGGTAGCTCTATAGCTTCCCTTTACGAAGTGATCACGTTCCCAGCCTCCCTTACCCCCTTTTATTTTTGCGGTACCAGGGCTTGAATTCAAGGTCTATACCTTAAGCCATTCCACCAGTCCTTTTTGTGTTAAGTATTTTTGAGATAGGGTCTCAAGAATTATTTGCCTGACCTGCACACCCATGTTTATTGCAGCACTATTCACAATAGCCAAGTTATGGAAACAGCCAAGATGCTCCACCACTGATGAATGGATTAAGAAAATGTGGTATCTATACACAATGGAATTTTATGCAGCCATGAAGAAGAACGAAATGTTATCATTCGCTGGTAAATGGATGGAATTGGAGAACATCATTCTGAGTGAGGTTAGCCTGGCCCAAAAGACCAAAAATCGTATGTTCTCCCTCATATGTGGACATTAGATCAAGGGCAAACACAACAATGGGATTGGACTATGAGCACATGATAGAAGTGAAAGCACACAAGGGAGGGGTGAGGATAGGTAAGACACCTAAAAAATTAGCTAGCATTTGTTGCCCTTAACGCAGAGAAACTAAAGCAGATACCTTAAAAGCAACTGAGGCCAATAGGAAAAGGGGAACAGGAACTAGAGAAAAGGTTAGATCAAAAAGAATTAACCTAGAAGGTAACACCCACACACAGGAAATCAATGTGAGTCAATGCCCTGTATAGCTATCCTTATCTCAACCAGCAATAACCCTTGTTTCTTCCTATTATTGCTTATACTCTCTCTTCAACAAAATTATAAATAAGGGCAAAATAGTTTCTGCTGGGTATTGAGGGGTGGGGGGAGAGGGAGGGGGCGGAGTGGGTGGTAAGGGAGGGGGTGGGGGCAGGGGGGAGAAATGACCCAAGCCTTGAATGCACATATGAATAATAAAAGAAAAAAAAAGAATTATTTGCCTGGACTGGCTTCAAACCTTGTTCCTCCTGATCTCTGCCTCCTGAGTAGTTAGGATTACAGGTGTGAGCCACCAGCGCACAGCCACATTCCCAGCCCTTGTTCTTAGCACTTACATGCACTATTTCAAGACATCTGCTCAAATGCTGTATGAGGTAGGTGTTTATTTATAGATGAGGAGGCTTTCAGAGAAGGTGAATAATTCCCATGGAGCTAGTACTCAAATCTGCTTACTTTGAAGAAGTTGTCTAAAGTCTTTGACTTTCCAGGTAGTAAACAATATAAAAACTAGAATCATGATCTATCTAACTGCCAAGTTCATTTCCCCACAAAACACCCTAAGGCCACCTTGGTTCAGACCTGAACTCTTTTAGCTGACTTAAAAGAGATAATGGGACAGTCACTAAAAAACCTGGCAAGCCCACTTAGTGATCCCAAGCATATCAGGGGGTCCTGCACATTCTCCACAGAACCAAAATGCCCTTGTTCACAGTGAACAAGGTCCTGTACTCCCACACAAACAAGACAGGACAAAGACCTGACAGAACTAAGCACTAGCAGCACACCATGGGTTATAGGAACAAAGTGCATCTCACAAGAAAGCAAACCACACCACATCACACCAAAGCCTGGTGTTCTCAGCTGTGTTAGTCAGAGCAAACAGGACAATCTCCATGAGTTTTTGTACCAGGCCAGGAAGTACCCAATGTGGGGATGCTCCAAAATCACCTCAAGAGGCCAGAATACAGCCTGACCTTTCCCTCCAACTGTCCCCAGTCCTGACACCTTAATCCACGTCCCCTCCATTCCCTTCTGAGCCATCTTTTTGTTCCCAAGGCAAGCAAATGGGACTCACAGGGACCCACTTGGTCTCAGCTGGTGAACCAGTGGGGAGAGGTCCAGCCCACCCTGCCAAGCGAGAAGCCAAGGCATCCCCAGTATCATGCTGCAGGCCTACCTGACTCACACCACTCTGAGCAGCCTTCCTCTCAGCCTCTCCACCTCTGTGCAGCTCTGCAGGCCCAGCCTCCTGTCCTAGGAAAGGGCTTCCCAGAGGCTTGCTGGGCCGACTCTCCTCAGGGGTGTGGAGCTCTGAGAGTCTCTGCTCAGTACTCAGGCACCTGACCACGTCTGAAGGTTTCAAGCAGCTCTTCTTAGAGATCTTGGGTCCACCAGGGTACCTCTCACCTGCCTCACTCTCTGTTTTCCTCTCGTACTGTCCATTCGCTTCTCGCCAGGACTGCCTCTTGCTCTGGCTGCTAAAGGCATCACTAAGCTCTGAGATGACCCTATCAGAGCTCTCAAGCAGCGGCTGGGAGAAGCTGTCTTGGCGGATGTGGATCCCACCATCTCCATTGATGTGAAGCGGGGCCTGGGCACTGGGTGCCAGGGAGTAGGCTTTTTGGGGTGGAGGCAGGGCCAGTGGAGAAGCCACTGGGCGGTGGGTAGAGTGATCTGACCAACTTGAATAGGGGATGGTAAGGGGCAGAGAAGGACTGGCCCTTGCTGACAAGGCAAAGCGGTCCGTGTCATAGACAGAAGCCTCAGGCAGAGGAGGCAATGGTGGGGTCAGGGCCAGAGACCGTCTGCTTGGGACCCCTACAGTCAGCGAGATCCACTCAGAGGTGATGGCGTGCATCTCAGGGGACAGAGCTCGGCGGGGGTGGGGCACAGATGAGGGGGCTGGCATGATGAGCTTGCTGTGACTGGGACACTTAAAAAGAAAGGAGAGAGAAGAAAACAAAAGAAAGAAGCAAAGGTACAAGTGTCAGCATAAAGAAGAAAGAAGAGAATAACCACAAGGGGCATAAAGAGGAATGAAGTGGAGAGGATAAGCAAGACACTCTGGTGTCCAAAAAAGGAAATCCTCTGGAGAGATCTGAGAGAAACTGGGATGTGGGTGAGTGTGTGCATGAGTGTGTAGGCAGGATGGGACAGGATGGGACAAGGAAAGGCAGGTGGCATGGAGATGGGAGAAACTCCCACTAGTTAGTTTCACATGATACCGGTCTGCTCTGCAGGATCAAATTTCAAAAGGACACAGGGGAAGTGTCCCACCCCAGCCCACCCAACCATCTCTGTAGCAAGAGCACTGACCCAGAACTATGGAGAAAGGTGACCTATTACTGTTCTGGCCCTCCCTTCAGCTCTTATTCTCTAGGGGCTCAGCAGAGTCTTTCTCAGAGAGAGACGAGTAGTGTGGTCATTTTGTTTTAAAATCACTCTCGTCTACAGTCAAGCGAAAAACTTCATTGAGTTTCTCACATTCTTATAAGGCAGAACGCCCCATTCCAACCTCACACCTTCCCTGTGAGATGGCAGGATGTGGATCTCACTGTGTAGGGAGCTCATCCAATGCTTTATGCCAAGAACCCTCACTGGGGTCAGTAGATGGGAGAGAAGGAAATGATTAGAGGATAAGAGAAAGAAGCACCATCTCAGTGTCACCTTGGTGACCAGGCCCTCTGGTCATTCTCTCTACAACTTATACATTGACATGATCACTTTATTCCACAGGATGTCACCCCACCATGCCTGAAGTCTGGTTTTTTCCTTGGCTTTCAGTAAGTGGGTATGGGTTTGGAACAACATTTTTAAGCAAGTTTTATTCATATTTAATGTTCAGAAAAGCAAACATCTATGGCTATAAACCTATTTCCTTTCAGCCCAGTGTAAACCTACTGATAACCTAATTACAGTGAATGCTTGTAAAAGTACTTTGAATCTGGTCTACAAGTCTGAAGATGAGAACATGACATTCTCTTTCAACTTTTGACTTCTGCAAGCCAATGGGACAGACAAGATTGCCAAGAGAACCATCCTGGGCCAGGAGATTTATGATACTGAGGTGGTTTCAACACCAGCTTCACCCAGGATGGACCAACTGATAAAAGCTCTTGTTTTTTGTTTCCTACTCACCTTAATCCCACAGCAATTACCTTAAGATCTTCCTCTATTTATGTGTATGAAAATAAACTTCAGTATCCAGTCTGCCTTGCTGCAGACAGTTCTTAATTACAGTGCTCAAGAACCACCCCAGAAGGGCTGTATGCCATTGCCACTGTTGAGCCTAAGAACTAATGAGCTGAGTATAAAAACCAGTGATGAGAATACCTGTGGGCTTGCAGTGGCACTGCGACTTGGGGAGGAGGAGTAAGGTAGATCAATGTAATCCACAGGGTTTTTCACCAGTGGCCGCTTGAGCACATCCACATAGGTAATGGGGAAGATGCCTTGTCGGGACGTCCCTGGAATTCTCCCCTCATACCAGTTCTCATCCACTTGCCGAAGTAGTGTGATTCTCTCACCCTGAAAGACACAGCCAGACAAAGGTCCTTGTCCCACCATATCTTGGCAGATCTGAGACCCCTGCCTGCACCGCCCCCACCATTTGTGATATTTCTATGTTTAAGAGAAGCCTTCCCTGCTGGCCTTGAATGGAGTTAACATGGGCTCAGGATGCTAACAGCAGTAGAGCTCCCTAAATACTATAAAGTTAAGCTTGGTCTTCAAGGATTTCAGTGAAAAGGAGATCAGAATCATGCCCTCAAGAGGGAAGGCAGATGGAGTGTTTTGGGCTCATTCAAAGCAAAATAGTCAAATATCCAATCTTCATCTTCATCTATAAGACAAAAACTTTGGAATATTATATTTTCTTCCTTTTTATACCTTTATGTTTTCATGGGTTATCACAGAAAAATTAGAATACAAATATGTAGAATATTTCACCTATTATACCATCACTGGGGGGATAGTCACTATTAATATTTTACCAAATGAACTTTCCAGATTTAACTCTATGCATGTGAACTAGACTTGCCCATATTTTTTCCTATGAAAATTGAGTATATACTGTATTTTGTTTTTGCTACTTCCTTTTTTTTTTAAATTAAGAAACATAGTTCTATATTAAAATTTTTTCTTAATGTTTTCAGACAGGGTCTTATTACATAGCCCAGGTTGGTCCTGAACTTGTGGTCCTCCTGCCTCTGCCTCCAGAGTGCTGCAATTATAGGCATGCAACCCCACAGCCAGCATAACTGTACATTTTAATGGTGTTGCACATCTTAATGGACTGCTGAAGGGTATTCTATTGTCTATACACATTACTTACTCATCTCTTGCTGTTGGGCAATTAGGTTGCATTCAGAATTTCTACTGTACATAAGATGGCTGGCTCATTTTTTACCAGGACATATGCTGACTTCTCTCAGTCCCCAATAAAATCAATAATTTTAACGACTTTAGAAAGCCAGAGAATTTTGACATGTAGAGCATTTGAATCCCTGGGAAGCATTCCTTTGCAGCGTGTGACTGTGTTCACAATAAGCATGCTGAGCTCCTTAATGCAATAATGGTGATAATAATACTGGCGTCTCCTGAGTACCAACCAGATGCCAAATGTCATGCTGGAGGTTTCACATATGTTATTTAATTTAAGCCTCTTTAAATGATCATAGGAAAGAGCCATTTATCTTCATTTTTTAAAATATGAGGTAATGGGGCTCAGACAAAGTATTAAACTCCCCACAAGCTGCACAGTTGATAACATGTGGCTTTTGGCTGCAAAGCTTTTCAAACTCCTCTTGGTACCACTAAACTTGTTTTTCTCCCTCAGCCTATCAATATATTGTACACCCAAACCCAGTCACTGACGCAATGCTCATCACTGCATTAGGTGCTCACTAAATGTTGGTTCAAAACAGTATATACAAGATGTCTAAGACTCAACAAATACTTCCTTTAATCAGTGAACTCAATGTGATTAAACTCTGACTACTCTAAATCTTATTAAAAAAAAAAAAAAGACCTAACCTTAGAAAAGTCTCCAAATCCCCTTTCTGCAATTTTTGAAAAGCAGATATACCTTCAAAATGTACAGACTGGCCTTCTATAGCAACGCTACATTCCCCTAAGATAACGGCACCATCCAAGAGCCCCAAAGCATAAAACAAGAAAGGCAGCTTACCTTTCTGAAAGACATTTCTACTTGTGTATCACCATTAAAGTTAAACTTAGCAATGGCTTCTCCATATTCCAAAACCTGCACGGGTGCCAACTTTTTAGGCTGAGCCTTCTCAGCAGGAGGAAGAAGCTGAGAAAAGAAATGAGGCAAAAGAGAAGAAAGAAAGGTAACGAGAGGAATAGAAGGAAACAAAACACAAATACTTGGTAAACAAAGGGTGCTTTGGGCATGACTGGGTTTTTACTCAGAAAGACAGGGACTGCAGTACCTCGATGTAGGTGCGTGGGAAGATTCCCACTCGGCCATGGTGTTCGCCTTCGTACCAGTTCTGATCAATCTGCTTATAAATGTAAACAATGTCTCCCTTCTGCAGAGGAAGCTCCCTGTTGACAGAGGGTCACTGCATTTTAGCAAATGTTTCAGTATGTACAAGATTAAGACACTTGAGTTTGTTATCAGAAGAAGACTTCAAGTGGAGTCAAAGGGGACAGATTAGAGAAGGGGGAGCTCCATATTTGGAAGTGAGAACCCACTCTTCAGGAAATTACATCACTGTGGGCATTTGTACAGTATTTTGAGGGATGGGTGTTTACATTCAAACTGACTAGTACTGGAAAGTGCTCAGAGATCCAATTAGTTGGTGTGGTTTTCTAGATACATTTTTTTGTGAATGCTGTCTTAATGTTCTGAATATTGACATACCACATAGTGATACACCCACCAGTCTTGACTGATATTTACTCAATATTGAAAAATATCTCCTTCTGGGTACCTTCACTGCCCTATGCTGCAGCAAGGCATGCCTACTACATTGCTCTAAATCACAGAATTATCTGTGACATACAGACATCTTTCTATCATTCCATCTATTCAGCTACCTGTCTACCCACTCATTTCACCATCCGTCTATCACCATACAGTAGAAAAGCTCTAAGATTAGGCAGATCTGTGTTCATATTCAGTTCTACCAAAGCTCTGTGGCTCTGGACAAGATACTTGATCTCTCTGAGACACCATTCTTTATCTGATCATAGTGACTAACTCAAGGTTGGAAAACACTGCAAATGAAATGCCTAGTATAGAGCCTGCTCTGTAGTCAATACTTGAATGTTCATTCCCTTTATTTTCAATGTGGAAGGAAAAGAGATCTTGGAAAGAAAGGTAGATTTTCATGCATTTTCCCTACTCTTCCATACCCATTCCTTGGTTTGCCTCAATAATGATGATGCTAACATCTAACCAGGACTCCTTTGAAAAAACAATGAACAAAAGACAAAGTATAAATACAATGAAAACTTCAGAGAGCAAAAATTATAACATGAAATATTTTTTAATTAAAAAAGTATCTTAGATCTTTTTCATTTGCTTCAAACAAACAGCATGGGAAGAAAGGTCTCTGACTGTAATTTGGAAAGGGTGTGCCTGTTTTATAGTGTGCCAGGAAGTCCAACAGTATGTGAGAGATGCTGGCTAAACAACAGGGCACATCTGGAAAACTTTACACAAAATTGGCTCTGTGCTGAATAAAAGCACAAGGCAGCCTCTGTGGATCTTGCATTGGGAGATAGGATTCTAAACCTAAAGAGGCCTATGAAGAAGATCTGGGATATCTGTCTGTCTAAGAAGGATGTCTCCAGTCACATTTTTGCCATAGTCCTTTCTGGGGTACTCTGAATCCCCCTGCTTTTTAACCCCAACTCTAGGCACAAAGATGAGCAAGACCCTCAGCATCTCTGCTGCTACTGAGGATATATAGGTATCTAACTCAGCTATCCTGATTATCTTACAGCATGGAAGATGGCAGGAGCTGAACAGCCCCACTGTTAAGCAAAGGAGGAAGACAGTTCTTATGAGAGAGACAAACATGGAGAGGTCTATACTTGTGGCCAATGGAGATACATGAGGAGGCATCCTTCCAGTACTGTAGACCACACTCCCAGTTCCCAAAGCACCATGTAAACAGGTCTGGTAGTAACAACTGGGAAAGAGAAGCACAATATACTTCAGATATTTTCTGAAATGTCACTGTGGACATGAGCTCAGCAGAGGCTCTGAGAGTCCTGGGGGAATGAAAACTGGTTGACTTTGTTGAACCAAGTCCCCACAGCACATTTTTTAAAAAGTTAACTCACTAAGGGAAGAGGTAGAACCACATGACTCAAGGCTTTAAATTGAGATTCTCTATGGATCTGGCATTTACTCTTTTCACTAACTTTCATTGGCTTTGTTGTGGAGGCAGCATGCTATGATGAAAACACTGAGTCAGGTGGAAGGAACCCGCTCTCTAGTATTAGCAATGTTGATAAATGGTGACAATTTCCATGGATCTCATTTTTGTACCTTCTCATCTCTTAATATGACAGGGTTGCAGAGAAGAAAATTTCGTTTTAAACTTTTTTTTTTATGAAATCTAGGGAAATGTAGTATCATTGCACCATTCAGTGATTCATACATGGGCCTTTCTCAATTGAAAGAAAAAAAGAAAAAGGTCATCTACATGATTAAACTACAAATTAATTTATATACTGTGTTATTCTCTCTCTGGCTAAAAAATAAGATAATATACCTTGAGTGCCAACTGCAGCTACACTGTGCAAAATATTTTATAGGTATTACCCTGGTTCCTTGCAAGAGGGGCATTTTTTTTTAAAGCATCTTGCAGATGATAAAAATTGAGAGTGGGAGAGATCGATGATTACAGTCTCAGAGAGAAAAGTGGCATAGTCAGGATTTGACCTCAAGACTCCCTGAGTCTAAAGCCCATAATCTTTGCAATATATCACACAGCCACTTCTAACAGAAGCCATCTCTTAGTTGAAAAGTTAAAGGACTGGAGTAATACAAATAAGCCTAACTATATCAGATTCATGTCTAGGTTCTGGAAACAGTGGCCTGGTCATTCATTTTGTGTTAGAGGATACGGAAGCAACAGTTGAGTAGCTTCCACACAGTGTTTCCTGTCATTCATGGATAGGAGTTCTCTCTCTTATCATCAGACATGGGCCCTCCTGTCAGGAGGACAATGGCTGTTGGCCATGGTATTTTCAGCTGCCCCCGAAAACTCAGTCCATTTTAATCCATATTTAGATATAAAGCTATCAGGTTCCTTTTAGAATCCAGTTGTTGGTAGCATTTCCCAAATTGTGTTTCATGGAAAACAGAAAGGTCTCTTGATCACCTACCTAAATTAGAAAATACTGGGCTAAAAAAGCTAATCAGATTTCTTCTTTGAAAGATTCCTACAGCTGTGAATATGCTAATAGCAAAGTATCTCTTCCAGAGAGGGAACAGGATCTAAATACAGTATGCAGTGGGCTCCCTAACTCATTTCTACAACAGGTTATTCTTTTTGAGAAAAATCTTACACAGTGAGGACTCTGAGCAATTCACTTAGAAACATGCTAGTCCCCTGTGGGTTCCCATAGGCCTTTATTCTTTTGAGATGATGTTGTAAAACTGGTAATGTTATATCCCTACAGACTGGTTCCAGTTCCTTCCTTAGGAGGAGTGGATCAGATCAAGTCACCACTTAATCAAGCAAACTGAGTCATAGGGAGCACGGTGCATGAGTTCAGTTTCTGGTGCCTGGTTGTCTGAGTTTGAATCCCAAATATCACTTACCAGTAAGAACAGGTTTCTGCACCTCACAAGCCCTTGGTTTCCTCATTTGTTCAGTGGGGGAGTGATTCACTCCATAGGTTCAGTCCTTATTCATGAGGGCTGAATGAGTTAATATATACAAACTTTAAATGATGCCGGCTATGTAAACTACTATTTTTTGGTTTTTTAAAGTCACTTATTTCTCCAACTCTCTTCTATAAGCAAACTTCTGTGCTTCAAACAGGCAGCAAAGACAACAAATGAATATGACTGGAGGGACTTACTTTAGTGTCTGAGCTTTAAAGTCAAATTTGGCTCTGGCAGGCCTCATCTAAACACAAGAAACAATGAGTTAATATCATCATTCATGTACAGTAAAAAGGTCATATTTTTATGAGTTTCTAGAAAGCAAAGCAGAAAAAAAATCATTCTATCCAGCTTATTCTGGTATAGAAATCTAAGAATTCCAGCATATGACCTTTACAGAACCCCTAGATGGATGTTCAGTTACCTTTGTCATACAGGAGAATTCCCCTAAAGAGGGCCAGATTTAGGGAAAAGATGGCTTGAAAAGTCTCAAAGCTGAAGTACTGATTCACCAAAACATGGTTATTGTCAGCCAGAAGTCCTACGACATTCCTTATCCACTCACTTCTTAGGGGACATCTATTTGCCTGACTTAAATTATGATCTGCAAGTAGATGAAAATGATTCACCTCTTGTGTCATCTTCTACTGCATGTGTTTCTTATGGTTTATGAGATCACACAGAAAGCAATGCAGAGCAAATCCTGAGCTCCTCCATGTGCTGAGTCTTCCATGTGCTGGGGCAGCTCTCTCCTCCCCAACACCCACGCCTGAAGTCAGCCTCAGCCCGTAACACTTTCTCAAGTTTGTTACTAAGTGCCCTCTGTCTACAACCTTATTGCTTGGGTCTGACCTCTGGTTCTAACAGGCACAAAGCCTCCTTTGACTTCACCTTGTCCTCACTCTAATCTGCTGTCACCCAGCAGCACAAATAACATTCCTCAAGTTCTCCCTCACATCACTTCCTTGCTTTGATGTTGGCTACAGTTCTCAGCTGTCCTTCACATCAAATCTCTATTCCCAACACAAGGGGAAACCTTTGGGTCATTTCTCCCATTGCTGACCTAACTGACCCTTTACTTCTATTTCCTTCTTCTTACTCCAGTCAGGCACATTTACATGCTATACCTCTGCTAAATCCTCTTCTCTGTCTGGAAATTCTTCAGTTTCAGTTTTAGCAAGAAGTTTACCTTTATCATTTCATTTATTTTCATATCTTTCTTCCTCACCTTTAAAGGTAGTTATTTTAACCATTTTAAAGGAAGATGGGGGTAGCAAACATGTGAACAAGCTATTTCTGGCTGCCAGAGCAGCTCCAACCTCTTCAACTACTGTGACCTTCTGGTCTAGGGAAACAATGAGACAAAAATGAAATTACATGTCCTCTTCCACATAAGAAGGCATGCACAAAGTGGAAGGAAACAAATGGAACATTCTAGGAGAGAAAAAGATGATATTTAAAAGTCATCAAGCTTGGTTTTAGATTTTAATCCTTCAGTGACATGCCCCATATTTCTAAGCTCCTCAACCTAAGGTTTATAACCTGTTTTGTTTTGGGTTTTTTTGTGGTACTGGGGTTTGAACTGAGGGCTTTATAGTTGCTAGGCAGGCACTCTACCACTTAAGCCATTCTGCCAGTCCCCCTCAACCTAAGGTTTTTTTACAGGGTCTTCTTAGGAATCATGAACTCTCCACAGAAATTTTTCTTTTGTTTTTGAGACAGGGTCTTGCTATGTAGCCCAGCCTGACCTAGAACTCACAATCTTCCTACCTCAGCCTCCTGAGTGTTAGGATTACAGACATGTACCAACATGCCCAGCTCTCCAAGTTTTTTTTCTTTTTTTTACATTTCACGTAGATGTTTCTGTCTATCTATCCATTTACATATTTGGGGCCAACTGAATGACCACGTTATAATCAAGTTAATACCAATTTCAATGCCCGTATTTGTGTGTTTGTAATCAAACAGCATAATTTTACAGGTATAGGTGAATAAGACTAGACATACAATTAATAATAAATGAGAAGGTCACAAGAAAAGACCCAATGATCAAAATTGTAAGGACAAAAAAGTCACAGCACTCCCAGCAGAAAAAAGTGTGTGTGGGGAGAGGTAGTTCATTAATATTTTTAACTAAAACAGCATATATTCACACTATGAGAGTTCTATCAAAACAATATCACCTATCAATTAAATTAATATAATTTGCATAAGTATATAGCTTACTGATTGGCTTAGGTCAACAATGGGGGCTGGTAAGTTATTATTTTCCATTAAAAGAAAAATACATTACTCAAGGTTGGCAAACAATAATCCATTGAACTCTTAAGACTTATGTGAGTCATCAATGACTACAGAAAGCAGCAACAACTTCCTCTTAATCCTCCTATATCTCCCAGACCAAATTTGCCTTTGCCTACTGTGCTTCTCACTGCACTGTGTTACTTACTACAATATGGAGATAATATATGAAGGAGACTCTTTCACTACCAGCTCCCCAAAGACATGAACTGAGCCCTGTTTCTGCCTCCCACAGGGTCTTACACAGACTTAGTGGTCACCTAAATTCTACTGAGGGTGAAGAACATCCACACAACACAACCTGGCACTTGTTGGTCTCTACTTTGTCACATCTATCAGTCAACTTCTAAGGCAGTGATTCCCTAAATGTGACCCCTAAACTGGCACTATCAACATCATCTAGGAATTTACAAATTCTCAGGCCACACCCCAGACCAAGACATTGTAGATGGGGCTTAGACATCCATATTTTAACAAGCCTCCGGGGGGGTTCTGATGCACTGTCAAACTCGAGAACTGCTGCTGGAGAAGGGAGGTAGGACTCATTAGGGAGAGAAAGCCTGTCTCTATCCTTGACTACTGTAACCGAGCTGCATTTTCATTCATGTGTATCATTAGGGTGCCTTTGCCATGTTCCCATCTTCTCCTTCCTCACTTGCAGTAAGGTAAGCCTGTAAATGAGGATAAACTAGTGTCAGAGACTTCAGGTCAAGGCCATTTTGAGAAGGAGCTGAGGGCTGAGGGGCTGTCCTTCCCTTGCAGTTGATTGATACTTATTAACTTTGCTTCTTCCCTGTTACGTTTTCTCCACATTTTGAATCTCCTTCTGCTCCCCAGCTTTCCTTTTTTTTTTTTTTTTTTTTTGAGATACTGAGGTATCTCAGTGAACTTAGGGCTTCACCTAGCTTTCCTTCTTTAAATCAAGTTCCCTCCTTTATTGCTTCTTCCCAGACACCTTGTGTTTCTTTAAAAGATAAGTGATAATAGTCAGTGATGCCTGTCACTCAAAAGATAGAAAAATTAATATTAATCTATTATATTAAAGGTTATAAAACTACTTATTGTGGGTGTCATTCTCCCTCCCCGTAGTCCTTGCATGCCATACCACAGGCCTGGACACTTTCCCAAGAAGACACCATCTCCAGCAGGGCTACCTCAGGGTTATAGGGCAAAGCATCCACTCTTACCCAAGGAGTAGCATTTAGTCAGCACAAGAATTCCAAAGTGCCAACCTTGGTGTTAGGACCTGGATAAAATTCCTTCAAACTTTTAAAAATGTCAAAATTAAGGGAACATATGAAATGCCTTTCAGAGAGCTCTTGAACAGTTCTTGGGTTTATCCTAACTGCAAAAGTCTTTGGGTGTCAAGATGTTTCAGTGAGGTGCTTCAGCACTACTGACCAAGGCACACAATCTGTCCACACATGAGTATTATTCTCTGATATTTCAACAGTAATATCACTCAATTTGGGGGCCCTTGTTAAAGTCATAAAGTACAACTAGCTAACTTTAGAAATGTTTCATTAACCATTTCTTTAAATAAGAATCTTGCAATTGTCCACACCACAACTAGCAATGCACATGGCCTAAGATACATGGCTTCTAAGCAGAATGCACAGGCAACACAGTATCATGATCAAATGCAGAATGGAGAAGACTGGACTCACAAAGGCAGCCGATGCTCTAAGCATGCATTAGGGGTGTGCGCCAGCCAATCCCAGTCCCACAGCCATACATGCTTAAACATACAGAGCACAGGACATAATGGGGCTCATGTTCATTCACCAGCCACAAAAGAGCCAAAGCAAGGCCAAGGGAAGCCAGAATGACAGATACTGTTTGGAGAACTAAATTGGCCTACAGAGTGCAATGCCAAAGGGAAGCAAATATTGCTTTGGGTCAAGCAGCAGTTTGAGGCGACCAAAACAGACCTCTGACCCAGATTTCCTTTTTGCAGTATCGTCTATATTGAGGAGGTCCCCAAAGCGCTCATTAGTGATAAACTGATGGTGCGTCGGGATAACGCCCGTGTGGCGTCGAGCTGCAATATCGGCCTCTTCTTGCTCACGCTTAAGTCGTCTCTGGTCCGCTAAAAGTTTCTGCCATGAAATTGCATAAAATGGGCAGTAAATCATCTGGTCCAGGGCAATGGAAAATGGCCAACAAAAGCAACTAAGGAAAGAGGTGTAGGGTAAACAGGGAAGAGATTGTAAGAGGCTTATGGCCACAGCTACTATGTTCCCATGGGAACCACCCTCCACACACTCTGCAAGAAGGAGAGAGTACTGCCTAGGAGAAACTTGGGGAAAGCTGGGATACAGTGAAGGATGATTTCATATGACCACACTGTCCCTGGCTCAATCCAAAGCCTCCTACCTCCTAGCAGCAAAGGCCAGGTGACTAAGGGAGCACAGCCAGGGCACTGCAAGCATGCTGGGCTGGCAGCTGGGGACCTTGCCATTCTTACCTCCTTTAGGCAGTGATATGTTCCCATGTCATAGTCCCAAAGCAGGGTTAGCACTGCCACTTTCTCCGACCCACATCAGGCCTATCAAGTCTGCCATGGGACTTTACTGACTGGTAACTAGGTCATTTTTGTGTTTGCTCTGTCTGTTACTGTACCACATTCTCCACAAAGTGCAGCTGCCCTTTTCAGAAAATGTGCAGCCCTTTTCAATAATTTCCCTGGGCAAAAGTTTCAGGAGGCCAGAGGATATGCACCAAAGGTTCTTTGTGTGACTGTCTTACAGAATTATTTCTTCATTAACTGAAATGAAGCTGGGTTTAAGGGAATGATGTAGAATATAAATACAGAAAACAAACTAAGAAAATGGTAGTGGGGTTTGAACTCAGGGTATCACACTGGCTGGGCAGGCGGTCTACCAGTTGAGTTATTCCACCAGCCTCTCTATTTCTATTTTAAAGACCTTTAAAAATAACCCAAGTTGCTTTTTACCAAATGCACTCACTGCCTATTGAAATGGTCCTATAGAACAAGATTTTAATGTGCCTCTTTATGCCACAGAATTCATGTTCCTTGTAGTAAAACATTAATTAGAACTTATGCTCAATAAAACATAAGACTTCTTCCAGCAGACAACTGTCTCACGTGACATCTAGCTCCAAAGGACATTGGGCCAATTTTTCTTGGGGGTCTACAAATAACAATTGATCAAATGCTATAGAATTCCCAGTGTTCAATAAATTGTAAGGATTAAATGACAAAAGACAAGGAAGGGCTTTGTGAAGCATAGTGTTATGGGAAGAGCCTTGGCTTCTCACTCTCCTGCCAGGTGGTCCTGGGTAAGCTACCACCTTGTGGTGATCCTTTCCTGAATAAAACAAGGCTGTTGATTTGATGACAGCCAATGACTCTTCCAGGATGGACATGTTCTCATTTTCTGAAATGCCATTATCATCAATGGTAACAATAAAGCACCTGCATAAGAAGATGCAGGCTGACACCCATTTGCTAGGCAGTGTGACTCCTTTCTGCAGCAGTTGGGACAGACTCAGGCTTGAGGCTGCTACAGTCCTTGCTCAAAACCCCTGGGGCTCCAAAGAGATTTAACATCACCAGTGCAAGTAGACATTGAATACAGCAAAGTTTCCAACCCAGCACTTAAATCTGACCTCAATAAATCTAGCAGGTCTGAGTTTAACCACAGAAGCCTAAATCCCTGGATAAAGACATCAACCATTTCAGAATCCATGAGCTGGTGTCAATCAGGAAGCAAGTTCTGTATGCAACTTTTAACGTATCATTTGCTAAACCAAATAAGTAAAATATGGTAAGGTTCTACCACAAAACCTTCCACATTGGGTACTAGGCTTTTATAATTAAAATGTTATTTCATCTTCTCATGGCAGCCCAAGTCTACATACATGAGAATCTTATATTTCAGTGACAGGAAATACTTTAATAAAGAGCTATGAAAATGAATCTGTTCTGTGTCCTCATGAACACTCATCGTTAGTTAGTTTTGGATTTGGTTATTAAAAATTATTCTGGACATCAAATACTTTTTGCTTCTTTCAATGGACAGGTATAGTGTCTTATTGAAAACTGTGCCTGGAGGATAAAGAGAGACATGGTCTTTTTTTTGTCTTTCATCTCACCATCTGGCAGCAATGACTATAATCATATCATTTTCCTCAAAGTCAGCATTACCTAAATCCTTAAGGAAACTCCACCTAAACTCTGGCACCACTCAAGAAAGAGCAATATAGAAAAAGGAGATGGAAGAGAGTTGTGAATACATGAATGCCCTCCCCCACTGCCAACAGTTCAAGGTAATTCTTCCATGTCTAAACTCATTACAAGAAAAGGGGCATTGAACTTGTCTAATCTATGGCATCTCTTTTCCTGGGAATGTGAAGCCTGGAACATATTTATTGTAATACTTTATCACTGCAGAAGTTATGATTTGTCCTGCTATGATAGTCCTGCTGATATTGAGGACTACCTCTTCCTGGATCCCTGAGAGAATGGGCTCTTTTCCAGACTCTGGCATTCATACCACATGCAGGTATTTCACTAGCTGCAAAAAATACCCATGTTCTGACATTCCTGGGTTCTCTGTGTTCTTATCATTTTATAAAATTTACCATCATTTTTTTTTTCACTTTCTTATTTTTCCTACTGCATCCTTCCTGACTTGAACTATGCTTTGGGCCAACAGAGGGGTGGGCAGTACTGGAGGAATATGCAGGTGTATTCCCTTAGAAAATATTAAGGGTGTGGGTTCAGAAGAGGGATGAAAGAGTGACTGCAGTTACCAGCTTCTGAGGCATGAAGGACAACATGGACCCTATTCTTCTGTACCTCTCTGCAGTGGTGCTGGCTGGACATGGACTTTACAGCCAAATGCCTATGAGGAAATCAGTCCTACTAAAAGAAGAGTGTGAAGCCTTTGTCCACAAAGGATCACTTGTGAAAACCCCAATCTTTGCTTCTAATCATTGGACCACATCCCTTCTCTCACAGGTATCTAGAATGTTTATTTTCTTCCTTCATACTTTTTTCTGCACAAGAGCTAAGAGATTTAAAAGATAGTTACCTCTTTATCATCATGACGTCTTCGAATAAATTCTTCTGTGGATTCCAAGTAATCAGCTGGTATAAAATGTCTTGGTGATTCTGAATCTTCAAAACAACAACATAGAATTAAAACAGGCAAAAACTTAGTGGGAAACCAGGTTGGGAAAAGATTTCAATTTTCCCTACTATAAATATCAAGCTTTTATAATTATTGATCAAAAATCCAAACACACCCCTCCCTCCGGCTTTTTAGATTTATTTGTGAACTAGTTTAATACAAAGACGACTAACCAGAAGGCAAAAAGAAGGGACAATCTTTAAGTGTCCCTAAAAGAGGCGTGCAGGCTTTTACAGGGACAGACCATACACTCACACACACAGGGCCACAGAGAGAGGCTGCCTCTCAAAAAACCACAGGTGGGCCAGGGATTGGTACAAACAGCAAAGGGTTTGAAATTCAAAAGAACACATTTCTCAGATGAGCTAAACGGCCAATTTTTCTTTCGAAACACTGTTTGGTGGTTAGTCTAAATGATATGGGGATTTGTTTTTAAAGAAGTGCAGCCACTACGAGCCATGATTAATTGCCAAGCAAAACAAACAGAAGCAAAAGACAAAGCAGAAAATGAGCACCAAGGGCACACAAGAGGAAGGGACAGAGCAGGCAAGGTGGAGACAGGGGAGGTGAGACTGGTCAAACACACAAAATGCCACCTCCACGGGACGGTGCCAATTCATTTTGTGGGTTGTTGTTTCGGTCGAGGCCATGGTCTGAGTACGGCACAGAGTTCCCATTATTAATGGCCCTTGGGCAGTCCTCCAGGACTGCAGGTCTCTCCTGAGGGGACTCTGAGCTGCAGCTAAGCCTGGCCATGGTGTGCCGGGAAGACAGACGGGTAGGGACCAAGGGCTTCCCCCCAAAGGGGGCTTGGTCCTGATCAGGTTGACTGGGGAAATCTGGCTTCTGGCCCTCCAGCAGGCCCGAGGAATAACCAGGGGAAGGCTGTCTGGGGTGGTGATGGAGGGGCTTTTTCAACCGAAAAGGGAGGGGGCTCATCAGGTAGATGTTCCTAAGGAAGCTGCTCTTGTCCCCCCTGGAATCTGGACGCCAGTCAGGCTGTCTGGAGGACTGCTGCTGCTCATGCTTCCGAATGGTGGTGAAGCGGGTGTATGAGGCGGGGCAGGTGCCCTTGCACTTGTTGAGGCGATGTTTGGGGAAGTCTCCATGAACACTGCCACTGCTGCCTTCTCTGCTATCATTGGAGACATTTGAACAGTGGTCTAGCTCATCTGAGCAGGTGGAGAGGGGTTCAGAAGGCACAAGGCCCCTAAAGCCCAAAGTGTGGTCTGCTATATTGCTGCATGTGGGAGAAGCATACACTCCTCCAGAGTTCATCCCGTCCATCTCCCTGGGACGGAGCTTGGTTGACTCAAGGAGGGACTCTGCTGAGCGGGCTGAGGTCAGGCCACTCCGAGATAGCACAGGTGTTGGGGACTTGCTCAGCCTGCCAGTCAGGTCCAGGGATGGCATGGACCGGGACCGCTGAATGAGCTGCTCAAAAGCAGTGATGCGGGAGGAAACCGTGTGCTTCGGGATGTGTTCTGAGCCCTCCTGGCTGGACCCCAGCTCGCCCCTGGCCAATGCCAGGCTGCTCCGTTCAAAGTGGGAGGCAAGATCGCGCACACTCGAGGAGGAGATAGATCCCAGGGAGAGACCAGCTCGGTTGATCTGGTGCATGTCCCGGTAGAACATGGTGAAGTGCAGCCCAGCCTTTTTGGAGAGAGGACAGGGTCTCCTGGCGCTGCTGCCATACTCCTGGAGGCTCATGGTGCTGCTTGACTTGCTATCATAATCCCTTCGGGAACGCATGAGCAGGTTCTCGATGCTCCCCCCAACCTGGAGGGAGTGGCCTCTCTTGGAATCATGCAAAGAAATACAAAGGTTCTCACAGCTTTGAGCCTTCTCAGAGGGCAACAGGACACTCTTCGGTTCCTGCAAAACAGTGCTGGGAGCAGAGAGCCTGGGTTTGAATTTAGAAGGAAGGATCTCTGAAATGCAGGCTTTTGCAGCCGACAGGGGCTTCTTGTGCTTACAACCTAATGCACTGCTAGAGTGAAACGTTCGGCTATGAACTGAAGATGAAGAAATCATGTGAGCATTCCCACCTTTACGATCCACTGGTAAGCATGCAGAATAAAATAAACAGACCCATTAGGTTAAAGCTGAAAGCTGCTTTAAAAAAAAAAAAAGGAGAGGTAACATGCTTATTTGTCATAAGGGCTTTTTAGAAATTTCCAGTTGATGTCCAGAAGCAAAATAATCTGTGCTGCAAAGCAGGTGCAAAGATGCAACGAAAGAAATGGCCACCCTGCCAGTTAGGAAAGGCTGAAGCTCAGCTAATTTCTAAGAAAAGGGAATTAGAACAAAAAGGAGAGAGATGTTTCAGGGAAGGCGAGGTGGGGTTCAGAGAGAGAAACCATTAATACCAGAAAGAAAAATGGCCGGCAAGAAAATAGGGGAGGGGACACAAGAGGGCTCCGAGGCCTGGACATGGATCTGAATAGGCAGAGTTTATCCCAGCTGTTAGAGGTTCACCTGCGGCCAATGCTCAAGTAACAGGTGTGTAGGGGTGACAAAGGTCTGCAGGCTTCATCACATAAATTACCTTTAGTGGAAGCTGAGCTGGAGGGTCGCTTGAGCCCACTCAGGCCCTGAAGAGGGATGTCACCACCTTCCAAGACACTTTTATAAATCTGCCTCTCATTCTCCAAGCTAGTGAGATCCCCTGGGGCCCCATCTGATTCCTTCTTCACTGCATGGAAGTTAGAAGAATATATACTGCAAATAAGGTAATTTTAAAAAAGAGAAAAGGAAAAAAAATGATTAAAAGTTAGCATTTAAATTTTTATCTTTTTAACATTTTCTAAAGAGCCTATGTGACCAGCTGAGAAAGAGAACTACTTTCTGGTGTCCTAATCAACCTCCCTCCTTTCTAAAGACTGTGCCTATTTACACAGAGATTTCTACAGACCAAGACAGGTCCATGGGGCCTTGGATGCTAAGGAATCTTGTCCAAACAACAAAGCTCTCTAGCTGAGATGACTGCATTTGTGCTTTAAAAGAATAACTCTGCAATACATTGCCTGGGGGTGGGGGTAGGAGGAAAGTGGAAAGAGGGACTGGGGTCCAGTGACTACACACACGACAGTATAGATAAGTGTAGGACACATGGCTTCAATGTGTGGCCAGCTAGTATCACCTACTCAAAGTCCATTTCTTGGATAAGTTTTCTAAGTTATTCTTCATGATAGTTTTGGCTGATGAAACATTAAAATCAGCAACAAAACGAGGAGAGGTCCAGCTATCTTGGCTCTCTAGGAAAATTAGCAACCAAGTAAACTGGAACCAGGAACCAGGGATTCTAAATTTACTCTTATCATCACAACCAAGTTTTTGCTTTTTTTTTTTTCTTTCTTTTTTCTCCTCCAAGGCTGGATTTGAACTCCCAGGCTAAAGCAATCTTCCTGTCTCATCCTCTCCAGTAGCTGGGACTACAATCAAATTTTTCACTTGCTTCTTTCAAAGTTTTTGTTCAGAATATTATGACATGTATTATGTACACAAGCTGTTGCACAATTATATCCTCCATTTATTTCTTCTTGTTAAAATCTAGGTTATTTTCAAGCTACTACAAATTCTTTTTGGAATAAGGTGGAGCACAGACAAAAAATTTATTCACCAAGCCCCTTCCCCTAATCCCAACTATTGTATGCCCTCACCTACTGGTACAGTGACACTGACTCATGTAAACACACACCTTCTCAGAGAAGTGGATGATTTCTTTCTCACAAAAGTACATAAGTTTCTAGTAGGCCACTTTTAATCTACTACATTCAGTTTACTGGAATCATGATGGATTTGTCAGCTCTGTAGACCCACAGCTTGATGGAATGGAATTCCTTCACTCCAGTATTTTATAATCTCTTCAAACACATAGAAAAGCTTAAAGAATGATGAGTGACCACTCACATCTCCCCCATTTAGATTCTATAAGGAACATCCAGATATATTTGATTTATCACACATCTGTACATCTATTCTCTCTACATGCCAATCAAGTGAGGGAATTTTTTTGGTATTCCACCAAGCTAGCCCTTCCTTCTTTCTTCATAATCACAGATAATGAAGGCAATAAATCCATATGCCACCCAGTGAGATGTCCTATGTGGAAGGCAGTGTGCTAGGTGCCCAATGATTATCCTCTCTTTAGTTCACACACATAATCCCACTTCTGCCATCTTTCAGATAAGGAAATGAAGTATTAAAAGATTGGGTAACCTGTCAAAGCAGACACGATTAGCAGAGAGCAGAACCAGAACGTGAACCATGCAATCGAACACCAAGCGGATGGTATTCTCGACTTGTTTTAGATAGAAAGTTTGTCTATGATGGAGGAGGCAGTGGTTCACACACTGTAGGAGCCTGAGGGAGCTCAAGGGTGCCTGAGCTTCATTTGTGGCACTACCACAAAGCATCATCTGCTACGAATACACCCAAGACAAATGGCATCCTGATCCAGTAATCAGAAATGAAAAAAATGAGGAGCCACTGTTAGAATATGGTGATGCCTCTACCTTAGAATAGTCAAGTACCTCTGAGTACTTGCCTCCAGCACTAGTAATGCCCCTTGCAGCAGCTGCCACTGACTAGTCCTTGTGCTATTTCAGGGACAGCCTAGGGGGAGTCAGGGCTCTTCCAGGTTCTCTGGCCTAGGTGAAGGGATCAACTGGTTTCCCCTCTCCTTGCTGAGAATCCAAGAGAAAGGAAAACCAATTCTCCCAAGGCTGAAAACAGGAAAACATACAAATGAAGTGAGTCTGCAGAGCAGGCTCCAGAGTTCACTTCTTACTGGGGAAAACCTCAGAGAGGGATGGGATGGTGCCAACCTCTGTCCCCACGTTGTATCCTTATTGGCAGGACTCCCTGGACTATAAGGCCCATGAATACATTTGACAAATATGTATTGAATGAATAAAAGGTCACCCAGGGCCTTGAACAACTACTTTGAGCTGTGTCCCCAGCCCAACAGAGTTTCTAAAAGTAAAACTAGAGTACATGGTCTGATTGCAGATGTGTCTTAATATGTGAAATTCTGAAGTTAGAAATTCTTCCCCAAAAGGTTGCCTTATTTCATCACTACTTGTTGGAGTTCTGAGTTTTAGGTTCTTCTAGGGCTATATTTTTTATTTTTTCTGGGCTACTCTGGAGTAATTTTGCTTCAGCACACCACCAATGGAGCCACTGCAAACATTTAACCCAACCTTGATCCCAGAGTCTTTTCAGATGGCCTATGAAGAAAATTCCCCAAGAGAGTCAGCAGGCGCTCATCCAGAAACTTTTATAAAGGACCTTCATAACTTGACCCTTGTACCAAGTTCCCTTCCCCTCTACCAGAAGGTCCAACACAAGCACCAGACAGAAGCGAAAGGGTCTTACAGGAAACAGAGGTGACGCTCCCTACAGGTAGAGAGAGATCCAGACCTTGTTATCCACGTGGAGAGAATGCCTGGCAAAATTGAGATATTCTGTGGGCAACAGATACACTTGGCTTGAAAGAGAGCAGCTAAGAAACACTCTTAAAGGAGTTCAGAGTGAATCAAGAAGTTTGCCATTCGATGCACCCATAGTTACTGCTTGTACCATAGCTGGGATCCTATATTCTGAGAATGCTAGAATAGGAAGTGATCACAACAGAGAGTCAATTTAGGCTTAAATCTTATACTGTTTTCCTGCTGGTAATTTAATGCAACATGTTGAGAAAGCTACATACCACTTATTTTGAATAACCAATGTGTATGATATGACCTTGTGATTCTCTTGCATCTCTTTTACTTTTAGTTTTTTTTTTTTGGCACTGGGGATCTTTTCATACCTCTATCATTAACTTATAAGTCATCTGTGTAGTTTGTATATGAGTGACTTCAAAATATGTTTTGATTTGACCCAAAGAAGCACCAATAGGTCTCTAGTCTTTGTTTTAGAAGCCTGAAGTCTATGAAATGAAATATAACCTGAAGGGATGTGAGGAGAAGATGGGGTAGTTTGGCAAGCGTGTAATAATTAGAGTAGGTAACTATATTTTCTCATTTTCAAATATTTGAGTTGCCATAAAATAATTTTTGATTTTAATTTTCAGTACCAAATAAATGTGTATATAAAGAAAAAGAAATTCTTCCCCAAGTATAAAACTTACTTAGGGATCCCAATTCCTATGTCAGTGACCTGGAATCATTACAAAGGTGAATGGAGTTCACTGCAGGGAATCAGGACAACCCAAGCTGAGGTTCTGGTGAGAAAAGCTATCAATTCCTGCTAGGGAGCTGAGGGAACTCTGAAAGGGCCTTGCAAGGCTATGGCACTATATACCAATTTTTAAAAATGCAATCTCATCTAAACTGGTTTTAACTTGAATCTCCTAATTAAAAATTCTGGTAACACTATGTTTCCCTTTTTTTGCATAAACCCAACATTTGCAAAATGATCTACACATAGATGTCCTTTGTCTTTGCTAATCAGCAATTAAGATGACTGGGGTCTATTGTGTGAGTGGACATTCTTTAAAGCCCTCAGCACTGGAGAATGTCTGATAGCAGCTTCCATCCTGCTGCCCCTGCTGTCCTCTGAATTGCTTCAGCATCAGTCAGAACATCCAACCCATCTTCCCAAGTTCCTCCTAACTTCGTTCTCTTGTGATTCTTGGCCATAACTGGCCAGCTGACCTCATACCTCTCAACCTCACCAGCCAGCCTACTCTGGCTGTATTCCATCCAGTATCACCAGTTCTTCCTGCTTCCCACAGAACGACAGACCAGCACTCAGGAAACCTCTCAGAATGGAGTTACTATAGCCAATTGTTTTTTTTTCTGATACCAAAGCTGATAAAACAAAGCTTTTTCCAGATGTGTAATATTTTGCAACTGAGGTACCTTTATTTAAAAAGAGTATCTAAGTGCTCTGAAACAATGTTTTTTAAATGCATCATCTCCATCAGCCCTTCTAATGCTGCAAAGAGAAACAACATTTGTTCCATTGTTCAAAAGAAGAAACTAAGGACTACAGTGGTGAAGGAATTTGCCTAAAGTCAAGGAGTTGCTATGTCCAAGTAGATCAGAGAAGATGAGAGAAGCAGCCTTGGACCCCTAGCTGATTGAGAAATACACAACCAGGATTAGTGGTTACTGATAAAAAACAAAACACATCAAGTTCAGAAGCTCCATTCTGAGTGGCCTGGATTCAGACAGATTTGGGTTTAGACAGAACAAGCCAGGAGTTGACAATGTAGAGGATTCAGCCTCTGACTAAGATGCAGAACTGGCTGCTGAGTTTCAAAAGGATTCAACAAAACACACTCACTGGAAGAATAAGGTGAGTGAATACAGCAATCATCCTGGGGCCAAAACTGCTTCCAACTGTGATAACAGACAGGCTCAGAGCAGTGGACAAGGTCCTAGAAGGCCAGGTTCCAGTCTGACTTCAACAATGACTGTGGATCAGCTGAGGCAAGCTTGTATTGTTGAAAAACTTGCAAACAGGTTGTTTCTCCAGGCCTCAATTTCTTTCATCTACAAAGCTAACAGGTTTGGTGAGACTGTCTAAGAAATCCACCAGCAAATATGTTATCTATACAGACCTTTCTTTTGGGCTCCAGGCCCAAACTGAAGCATTCTAGACATCTGCCTTCTATATTCAACTGCCTTCTGGACATCTCCACCTGCATAGCCCCCAGGCATCTTAAGCCCAGCATGTCCCAAACTAAATCCAAGTCAGAAAGCCCAGAGAATCAGTCCTTTCTCCCTCTCTTTGGTCTGTAATTCTAGTCACCAACTCTTGCTTCCTCTGGAATCCACATTAATCCCCTTGCTCTGTCTTGCTGGTTATGGCTTTACCATGGCTCACCTACAACCAAGTAAATAGCACCTCTCATCCTCTTACCCCCTCACTTCAACCCCGCTTCTGGTTATATTTCTAGGAAAGGTATCAGCATGGCAGTCCAGTGATCATTTATTTATTCAAAAAATATTTACTGAGCCCCTACCACGTGTCAATCACTCACATAGGTGGAGCAGACTGAGTAGGGAACATAATGACAAAAGCTCTAGCCTCATCCTCATGGAGCTTACTTCACTGTTCGGACCATTTGGTGATTTTAGGAAGGAAAAAGCAAAAAGTAACTCTTAACTGTGGCCATAGAGGAAGAAGTCTAGACAGTCCTCTAGAAGTTTCAACTTATAATCTTTGTACTGCATGAAAATTCCATTTTTTATATTTATATTGTAGTTATTTCACATTTATTTGCAGCTCTATAAAGCCTTCCTTGACTTTTCCTCCTCCACAAAATAAGAGGTGCGCACTCAGACTTAGGTCTCATCACTGCATTTACCATACTAGATTCTGGTTGTTTACAAGTCTGTTTCCCATGTGGTACCCTGAACCTCTTGCAGGCAGGCAGCTTATTTTACTAACCTTGCGTGCCTGGTGTCTAGTGCAGATGTTCAACAAACACTGGAGTAATAAATGATTCTAAAAATCGATGACTTACCTGCACACAAATTTCTGAAATATTTTTAGGGCCCATGGAAATATCCAATGTTTCATATAGTTCTTCAGGTTATGATTTTGTTTTGTTCTGATGAAAGCAAGAAAGTCTCTCGATATACCATCCTCACCCTGGAAAGAGCAGCTTTACTTGAATGCCATCTACTGGCCAAATAGAATAAAGCTCTTTTGGTTAGGCAAAGAAAGTATCAGCACTAATCAATGCTGAAATGGTAAGCCCTAATGAGTTGCTCTTGCTACAAATTTATAGATCTGATAATGCTAGAGAAACAATATCCCAAATTAGAAATATATTGTGATGGTAATTCTAAAATACTTTTTAAAGGAAAGAACTAGATATTGGGACTGTGGGTAAATTTCTTCCTCTCCGTTCCTGACTTCTTTTAGTACTGTGATATGTAATCAAGGCTAATTAATGAAATTCTAAACTTCAGTCGGTCCAATACATGAAAGGGGTTTAAAATATCAATTCTCCAATTGTCACAAAGTTGTAAACTTGGGCCATCTGTGTTTCCTCTTTCTTCATTACTTTGGCTAGGTTAAACCTGACCAATGTTTCCTTCAACAGGTCGTCCCCATCTGTCCAGTGAGGGGGCTCAGGTCATTGAGCAAACTGCCAGCCTAATGCTAAGCAAGTGGACTCTATTTCATTAGGACTGCAGACCCATTCATTTATCCAGCATTTATTGCACACTTTCATTTGTGTCGAGTACCCCAGTTGGGCTGGATCCTCACCAATTCCAAAGGAGAAATAATTTTACATGTTTGACCCATTTTATCCTGCCAAGTATTCCAGGAGAGCTGGCTATGGCCGAAGAACAGGAGTCTTTAGAGACTTGTTTTAATGATATAAATAAGCGAGGTTGGTAAGATAATACATCATTTTGGACAGTAGGAGTGTCCAAAAATAGTTTGCTCTTTTAAAACACTTTACATTAGTAGCATTCAATCCTACTAACCCAATATTACAAAGAGTTGCTTAAATTGTCTTTTACATGTTCAAAAACAGCAAACCTTATTGTGCCTTCCACTATTTTGTTACCAGATGTGAATAAGTATGGTGCAGGAGAGACTCTATTGCTCACAGTAGTCTCCTGGTTTACAGTGTCACTGCTAATTCTGAATGGGGCACACATAAGCCAGGTGAGGAACTGTGGGCATTACAGTGGCTCAGTGTGCCATTTACTCCCCACACAATGGGGATTGAAAATAATGTCTGTTTCTGGAATGCTGACAGGATTAAATGAGTTAAGGTAGATAAAATGTTAAGCATAGGGCCTGGCACATAGCAAATACTCAATAACCTGTTAAAATTATTTTATTCAAGACTGATGCTCCTAATCTTGACTGCCCATGGTAGCTACTTTCTCTTTTAAATACTTTTAACCCTTAGCCTGCACTTTATTCATATTGCCTTTCATTTGCCAACACTCATTGTGTGTGTGCATGCGTATGTGCGTGTATTACCCAAAACTCTCAGGGGAGTATGCCCACATTCCTATTACAACAACTAGCATAATGCTTTAGTCCAGTTGAATTAAGGAATTCACTCAACCAGGCAACCCAGAAGGAGCCTATTCGGCCTTGTGAATTTCAGGAAGACAGAGGTACAGGGGAGACCAGGCAACAGGGTCAACATTGGGCAATGCTAAAACAACAAGGGCAGAGAAAGAACTGGTTGAAAAGTCCAATCAGGCCCTGTTGGATCAGGAAGGACAAGTGGCAAATTCAGGACAAACAGGCAGCCTTGGGGACTAAGGAGAATTTGCTTGGAGCTACGACCTGGAGGAAACTCTTTATCTGTAGGTAGCCTGAGGTCATCTGGAAGGCTTCACTTCTGAAAGCCATAGCCCTAGGACCTAGAAAGACCTGTGGCTTGTTGTCACCCTAACAGCGAAAGGCACAGCTCCAATGGCAGTTATGGAGAAAGCCTAGGGTGAAGGGAGAAAGGAGAAAAGGTCTCAGCCCTGAAGTTTCTGTGACATACCGACAGCTTGTTCATCACCTTCACAGTGAGTACAAGAGACTTTATACCTTGCCTTCTCCAAGATGGGAACTGACTGTCTTTGACGATAGGTATCTTCTCCCCTAGCCATTACCTTAATATATTTTCTCAATTTCTTATTATGCTCCCAGGCATCTTACTTATGAAGCATACATATTTACAGAAGAATTAACATAATGGGCTTAGCTAGAGTCTTTTTTAAAAATTCACTACCCTAAAAGGATTAAAGTTTTTTCAATTTTTCAACTGAAATAGCAAAATCCCAGCTGACTGACTTTCAAATGAAACTCTGCTTACCAAGTGCATGCTTTATCAAGGTAGGCAGGACAGAGTAAAATGATTGTAACGCTTGCCCCCAAAATCCATGAACTCAGCATCTCTGCTCATTGTGGCTTTATCAACCCAGATGGAACAAGTAATAGTCATTTTAAACAAACTGACTACAGAAGATGGCAAAAAGATGAGGAAACTCTTACCAGAACTAGCTGTTTTCCCATATTTATTGCGTATGTCAGGCAACCTGGAGATGGAAGGCCTTGCCCTTAAGTTTATAACTCATTAGCAATTAGAAAAATACAAGAGTATAATTCAGGCATATGACAGCAAAAGTAGGAGACAGAAGAGGTACTAATATGCGACTGGGTATGGGAAGCTGTGTTCAAACTCACTCATACAAGCTAAAATGTTTCTATTTACTATGCATCTCCTGGGGTGAGGGCAGCACTGAAAGTTTTCAACATGGATTAATAGCTGTGGAGCAAAATACTGAGAAAGGTAATCTGGGAGAGGTCCACAGTGGTTTGGGATGTTGGTGGTTACCCCATGAAGTGAGTGGGGGATATGTGTGTCATATAGCCACAGCCTCAGAACTGATACAGGGAAGCAAATCTGTATGTATGTGAGAATCAAGTAAGTTGGTCCCCTCTTTGCCCCACATTCCCTATGTCAGATCTGGCTGGAGAACACAACCTCATTATCTTTTTTTTTTTAACCAGGTTCAGCCCATCCTAGCTGTACTTTCTCTCCCCAAGAATCCACCAAGGAGAACTCTGATTCTAAATGTAGACAAATAACCTCACATTCTAAAGGTAAAGACCACAACATAGGGGAAAGTTAATTAAAGGTAGTATGAACCATCACAAAATTAATTTGGAAGAGGAGAGAACTAAAGAAGAATAATTTGAAGACTACAACTAGGTTGCTACTTACCACTAGACTATATATCATTCAATGTATACAAATAATGGATACAGTAGATGGGTATAAAGGAAACACTTTGGGTCTAAAATACAAGCTTCTCTCATCTCAGTTTTAACATTTATGCACTATACCATGTAAACAAAAGAGTAACTACTTACTATCCTGGAGGCTCTGAAGAAATGTCTGGAGTGGGGCTGACTGCTGAGCTCTGCAAAAGTCAAGAAGAAGAAGAAAAAAAAAAAAACCAACAATGTAGATGATTCATAGGTTTCAAGCCAAGGGAAAAAGAGAAGGCACTTCATTTCCCTCATCTAGATAAGGACCTCTGGGAGACAAGGGTCTGGACGCAAAGGTTCTGGTGCTAGCAGAAGGCAGTGCTCTTCTTTGGGAGGAGTATTTCAAGGCAGTGGGCACTCCTATGCTTGGGATTTTTGCTTCCTAGTAGATTTCCTAGTAGATGCAGCCACCACTATCTGTGTGGTTCAGGAGATGGGCTCCTGGCTCACAGTCATCTCCAGTAGCAGCCCAATGGGCAATGACCCACCACCAGGCCAACGTGCACAGCACACCCAGCCCTCAGACCCTCCTGCCCAAACCATTACAGATCCCTTTCATGCACCCCAAATGCCACACCCAGAGAGCCACACAATAGTTTAGGTACAGAATGCACTAAAATGCATTTTAAAAGACCACACCATATTTAGCTAATCTGTTTATGCCTTCAGATTTTAGAAGTGTGGAAATGAGGAGAAACACAATTTCACAAAACCCACTAATGACTGTATCAGCATGGATGAGGGTATGCTTTATAAAATTACAGGCCACCAAGAGCTACATGCAGAGAAAAAGCAGCATAATTATGTAGTTTAGGATTTCTTTTATTGTCTTGGAGAGAAAAATGTAAAAGGTTCAATATATATTGTGTTCAATAAATCAGTGTAAAAGTTAACACTAAAATATTCCTATATGTAATAATGACCATTAAAAGGAAAACAAGCTATCTGGAGAAGAGACATTTAGGGAAAGGAGGGAAAGAGAAAGAAAAGGAAGAGACTGTGAAAGAGGGAAAAGGAGATGACAGGGAGGAAAGCAGTCTTCCTCAGGGGCTTACCCACCCAGCCCTCTGCCTGCCAGAGGGCTGCTGGGTTTGAGTCCTTACATCTTTGAGGACACCTCTGCCCCGGGATGAGGATTCTATCCACCTTATCACCATTAGCACCACTCTTAATTCCACATTCATGCTACAGCCCTGCTAGCTGCTCTGGTCTTGCCTACTCATCCTCTGTCTACCTTTTGGCACCTGTGCCATTCTGGACTCTGAAGACCTTGCCTTGGTCTCCAAGTTGGAGACCAAGTTGTTCCAAGTTGGAACAACTTATGCATGACCCTGTGTGAAGTTCTCTGAGAACAGCCCACTTACTTACGTACTTCCACAATCATATCTTCTTCTCTCTTTTTTTGTGGGACTGGAGTTTGACTCAGGATATTGTACTTATAAAGCAGGTACTCTATTGCTGGAGCCACCCTTTCAGTTCATTTTGCTCTGGTTATTTTGGAGATGGGAGTCTCACAAACTATTTGCCTGGGCTGGCCTCAAACCATAATCCTCCCAACCTCAGACTCCCAAGTTAGGTGTGAGCCACCAGCTCCTGACCAATCACATCTTTTCAATCAGTGCTGCACCCCACATGGAATTCCCTAATTCTTTGCGATATACTGTAACTCCCATCAACTACTCGCCCAACAACTTCCAATGTCTTCAAAAACTTCTTATCAAATCCTTGGGTCTTTCCTGGGAGTCCATCTTTTTGGACCTCTCTGGAGCACTTGAGTAGTTCTCATCTTTCTCTCTTGTTCCATCAATGATTTCTCCCACCTCTCTTAACTGTTTTTTCTATGACTCCCTTCTTCTCTTCTGTTATCCAACATACCAATGGACAGCTGATGGTCTCCCATCTTTTCATGTGCACATGTGTGTATGTGTACTGATGCTAAGGATCAAATACAGGGCCTTGTGCACAAGACACATCCCCAGCTCTGGGTTTCTTGAGACAAGGTCTCACTATGTAGCCCAGACTGGCCTTGATTCAGAATCCTACCTGCCTCAGCCTCCCAGGAGCTGGGATCACAGATGTATACCACCATGTCTGGCTTCTTTTCTCTTAATATGAACGCTTCTTCCTTCAATCTTTCATCTACTCCCAGGTTGGGTATTTTCATTTATTCCCAGGGCATCAAACACCATCTCTTTTTAGGTGACTAATCACCTTCTTAAGCCCTTGCCTCTATCATGAGAGCTAGTCTTACAGTCCCAACTATTCTGAATATTCCCCATGTGACACCCAACCAACACCTCAAAAGTTAATTACCAGAAACCAACTTCCTCACCTTGTCTCTGTACTGATTTTATTCCCACCTTTATGCGACAAACTGATAGCCTCATTCTTCCAGCTGCCTGGCCCAAACTAAAGTTGTCTGTTTCCATCTCTTCCCTCAAGTCATTGTTCTTCACACCAATTAGTTAAAATGTCCCATTGCAATTTCCTTGATGACCTCTCACCCCTTCCCCATAGTACATGCTCTCACCACCACACGCCTGGACTACTGCAGAAGTCTTCTTGCCCCCTCAGACTCCTTCAATTCAACCTTCTCCCTTTAATTCATCCTTTCTAAACCAATGACACGAATCTCCCTAAAACAATTCTTTAATTACATCACTGGTTTGAGGGCAAAACCCATCATGTCCTTAGCCATATTTCTAGTCAGGTTCAACTCTCTTTCCCAAAACTGCCTCCCAATATTCCCACCTAAAATTTCCTATTCCAACAGAACTTGTCTTATTCCTTACATACGTACTTCTTCACTCTTTCTAATGCTTTCCTAGGGCATCAAATGGATACCCTGTACTTTTGCCACATACCCAAGTTCCATTTACCTTTTAAGATTTTGGCCAACTCCTCTACAAAGACTTCCTTGATTTTCCACAAGATTTGTTTTTCCTGGCTCTTAGAGCCCATACAATTCACTTATCCATGAACAGGCACAACTGTGTTCATTGTTGGAGGTCTTTCACTTATGAGTGTGACTAAACTGTGAAGTTTCTGAAAGCAAAGTCTTTTTAGTGTGGGTGTAGGGGTTCTGATAGCATGCCTCACATATATTTAGGACTAATAGGCACCAGTCAACTGAACCATTATGAAGACGGCTCACGGATGCATCAGATGTTTCTTTGTGCCCACTGTGCTCTGGGCAGGAATGTGTTCCTAAGAAGCAGGCTCTGCCCTAGGAAGGTAACTGACAGTTGAGCTGCGTTCCCTCCTTGCGTAGTTACAAGCTCTCCTCTAACTGTTTTTCACTACATTGAAAGTGCTTCCTGATTCATTTTTGAAAGGCCTCCCATCCTGCATCCGGCCCATATTAGGACTTACCTGAAGTCATAGCTCTTACTCCAGAACTAGCTATGATCACTTCCACCTTGGCCCTTCAATCCCACAGTGGCTATACCAGGTTCCAGTATCCACCCTCATTAGAAACTCAGTATCCAGATTCCACCTTCCCCCAGCCCCAATCACCTGTCTGCCTCATTTGTGTGCAAGTGACTCACCTCTTGTGCCTCCAAGTTTTGAGGGAAGGCCTGGACCTAACCACTGCCCTGCTGGCTCCTTCATCTTCCAGTGACTCTCTGGCTCTCTGAATCCTAGCTTTCCTGACTCAATGCAGCTGGCTGGCTTCTGGCTCTCTTCTCTAGGAGTCAGAAAACCACTTGGCTGCTACCATACAGCCCTGGTTTCTCTACCCCTTTTCTGTTGGGAGACTCTGGCAATCATAAGACTTTTTGTATCCAAGTTACTAGTGCTGTTAGTCTGACTCTTAACATTATGCTACACCTAACATTAGCAATTTTCACTTTCTTGCCATATTTGTAGACCTTCTGGGACTTTTCAGTAGTGCCCACATTCCCTTTTTATTTTCTCTAAAGATATCCTTTCCTCATAGTTTTGTCAGAGAGCCCTGGGACACTTCTGAAAATATTTGGTTTCCTCTTGGAAACCCATTTATCTTGGACTGACTCTCGCCTACCTTTTAATAAGCCACATTTTGCTATAACTCCCTTTAAAAATATCAGTGAAAGCTCAGTTCCAAACACTTGCTTGTGCCCAGGCCATCTAACCTTTGTAGTACACATTTTCATGGAGAACCTTCTGACTTTACTAATGACAAACACCACTGCTCTGGCAGTGACTTGCCCATAAGAGGCACCCAAATCACTGCTGCAGTGTCTTTGACAATAACCTCTGAGGTTGGCATCCTCTAGAGCCCCCCAAAAATACAAGGAAGATGTCTAAAAAATAGCTCCCTGAAAATATGGAGAAGGTATACAGAGGCAAGGGAACTTCAAAGAGTCACTCTCTGAAAGTGGGGGGGAAAAGTCACCAGCCACTCTGCATATATTTGAAAAACCCCCTTTAAGGAAGATGCCAAGCTCAAATGGAATCCAAACAAAAATTAACTGGGGGAGGGGGTGGGGTCTAAAGCAGGAGTCAGAAAACCATGCAGTTTAAAATAACCAGCATTACCATCTGTCACCTCAGCTACATCAAAACCATAGAACAGAGAAGAAAACAAAACAGCTTGAAAAGAAACTGATGGCATGAGAAAAACTGGGAAGTACCTGTGGCGAGTTTGCACTGGGAGCTTTATTAATCGTCTCCATTTTTTCTAAATCTGCCTCTAACTCTGTTTGGCAGAGGTTGAGATCTTTTTCTAGATTAGTCTGGTTCAAGAAAGAAAAGATGAGAAAGAATGTTTTAGTTTAGAGGAAAGGGAGACAGAATGGAAGGTTAAGTTTGAAAATGAAATTTTTTAGTGTCATACTTTAATAAGGCCACAATGCTATGACCTAATCACAAGAACTCACTAGAAATTAATTAAAGATGTAAAAACAGAGAATGTGACATTAGGCATGTACAATAGAAATCCCAAGTACCAGAGCTACAAAAATCTATTCTACTTGCTGACAAAAACTACAGATACCACAAAAACCTACCTTTAAGGACAGGCCTACTTTCTCTCTTGTCAGAGTATGGTGGCTGTGATAAATATTCTATGTTAGAAATAAATAATTGTTTTAAGTGCTCTAAACATTCATATGTCTTAGCAACTTTGTTAAATAGTTTTACCACCAAGCCAAAAAAAAACAAGTTACTAAGTTAAAAAAAAAAGTGATTTAAGAAAAGAAAACAAACCCACAACACACTCACACCAACCAAGGCTAGAGTGCACACACACATTCCACGGAGGAGGCACAGCGGAATTACCTTTCTATCCTCTCTAGGAAGGATAGAGCAGTCTCCAGGAGTATAATCCCATATCTTTTTGGGAGGCTGACGGGAAGCAGAGGAAATGAAGAAATGAGCATAAAGACATAAAGACAAACATGGAGGCTGGTTCAAACAAAGAGGGGGACACTAGGAAAACTGTACCAACACAGAAAGGCAAACTCAAAACAAAGGGCCGGGGATTCTGCCTGAGGACACACAAAGGTGTGCCACAGGGGGACCTCACACCACTAACTAGGAAGGGTGTTTCTATGTCTATGTCTCAAGAGCAAATCATGGATTCTAAATACTGATACCTTAAAAAAAAAAAAAGAAGAAGAAGAAGAAGAAAGCATTAACACAAGTTTGAACAAAATTACAAATTTTCAAATTCCCCATTGTTTCAAATTAAGATTGACACTGGAGATTCTACATTTTTGAAACAGTTTTCTGTACTATAAAAAAATATATATATATACCATATTAAGAAGTGTGTGAATCTAGAAGTTTGGCTAATAGAGGCAAATTGAACTAAATGTGCTTTCTGTGGTTTGTAATGATGAATTCATGTAAAAACAGGTACTAAATATGGGTGTTAAATAGTGCACTAGACAATACCAGTAGTTTTAAACTCTCTTTTTAAAGTTTAGCTAGATTTTGATAATACAGCTAGTAGTAGAGATACACTTTCCATCCTCCTTAGTAAACAGTTTAGACTTAGGTTAAACAGTATACTGCAAGGTTATTTTTGCCTTCTCTTTGAAGGTTAGTATCAGAGCTGCACTTCTGCATAGAAATCTGCCAGGAGGCTGTGGTAGGTTTATCAAGGGAGGGGTCTGGAGTGTAGGATGTTCAGGAATTACAAGGCACTTCTAACTGCAACTGTTCTCCCACCAAGAAGACCCTCTTGTGCCTACATACACTTGAAATCTCCTATATTATAGCCTCTGGGAGATGAAAAACATGAGATTATTAATAGCTCTTAAAATTTTATGCAAATTTCTTGACAACCAGTTCTATGGAAGGATTCAAACTAATTTACATTGAGAAATTTTGCCTTGATTATGTGGATGGAAATCATATTGATTTCTGTAGAAATTAGAAGAAAAAGAAGAAAAGCCTGATGGCTCAGTTTTTTGTAATGAATCTACAATCTAATTCCATGATGCATACACCACTGATAGCAACGGTAATGTCATCTCTGCACATGAATGTTTGGCATTTTGTAAAGTAAGTGACACTAGCAATTGTCATTCATCATTAGCACTTTATACACTCAGATGGCTTGTATGGGGAAGTACACTTTTTAAAATCACTTATGTTACCCCTACTCATTTCTTTGTCACACACACACACACACACACACACACACACACACACACATAAACCCACAAGAGAGTGTTTACATATTAGATTGATTTTAAATAATCATCCCCCAAATGATCTCTGGAGTCTTCGATTATTTGCTATTCTATGACAACTGATTGAGCTAAAAGGTATCACAATCAAGATCTTGCTGGAATTTTAACTAATTTTGGGTGGTGTTAAGAGAAGGAATTGAGGAAGAAAGTTGTTCAGGTAAACGTCTAGTATCAAAGTTCTGGTAGGCTTTACTCAGAAATAGTTCTGAGTTGGTGTGAGCAACAATAATTTTTTAGAAAAGAAGAAATGTTAATCCATTTCTTCATTTAGTACAAGTTTTTTCTTCATTCTGCTTCTGAATGGCTAAAATTTTTTCCAAACAGACTTCTATGGTTTATGCCCTTTTTATTTATGTCTCTTACTCTTTTGTGGTACATAGTGGTTGGGGCAGGAAGAGAACAAAAACATTTCTTTCTATTATACCCTCTTACAAAACTCTGTTCAATAAGTCCACCGTTAGATGCCTCAAACCATAAAGAACTGTTCATCTCAATGATATTCCTCAGGATAGAGGCACTGATTAAGTTATCTTGGCAAGTCTTCAAAATCATTAACTTTTAAAGACCTGACTAAAATGGATCAGTCCCATTACAAGGTCCCATTTTACAAATGGACTGTGCTGTCAACATTTACTTGAGGTAGCTGTATGGTCCTCAGACCATGGTGTTTAGTAGAAACTATTAATTTACCCAATTTTCAGGGCCTATTTACTGTATGCTGGGACTAAATCACTGTCTACTGTCAAAAATTATAATAATGGAAAACAAAATAATACCAATACCAATTAATTAGAAAAAGGTTTCTTTTTTTTCTTAAAAGCTAATTATTTCAAATAAAACTAGTTGAGTCACTTGGCAAATGAGAATATGGCTAGAAATCTGTGGATTCTGAAAGGAATTTCAAAGATTAACAGAATGGACTTTTTTTTGGTAGTATTGGGGTTTGAACTCAGGGCCTCACACTTGCTAGGCAGGCACTCTCCCATCTGAGCCACTCCGTCAGTCCCAGCATGGACTCTTTATGAAATAATTTAAAACTAATGGTTATTGCTTTCCTTGATGAAAGTATGGTCTTGTTGTTACATATGCCAATCATAGTGTTTATGAAGGGGTGGGGAGAACTATGTATATTAAAAGCAGCTTTAACTGAGCAGATTTTAAGGAAAAGGAGAAAAGGATTAAGATACTGCTCAATATTTTCATGTGGAAAGTATTACCTGAGGTAGAGTTATGTGTAAATGTTGAACAGAAGAATAAAAAGGGAGAAGAAATGAGGTGTACACCAAAGCATTGAATAGGGGAGGGGAAAGGAGGGTGAAGTTTGGGTTAGATGCTCATCTCTTCACTGTCTCTAGGTGGCGCTCTTCATTGAGAATAGCTCAGCTGCCACTGGGGGATGTGTCCAGAAAGGACCAGAAAGGAGAAACACCTGTTCTTATAAGCAGGATGATGCCAGTTAGGGGCTCCTAACTCAGAAGACACCTGAACTTCTAGTTCAGCATTGCTAAATCAAACTAGCAATTTCAGCTGAACTTTTGTCTTCATCTTAATGAAAAATATTTCATAGATTTTAACATTTTACTAAATATAAAGTTAATTCCAGTTTGTAAACAAAACTATCATCCCAAACCACAGTAATTCAAAAGCTGGAGTCAATGCTTAGAGTCTCATACAAACAGCTAACAAAATACTTTATTTTTATATGCTTAACTCTAAATTCTTTTTTGCATTAATATTAATTAAGACTTTAAAGTAACTAGAGTTTTAGAGCCAATCACCTTGAGTGGAAGGATGAACTCAGTTTTCCTTCTGTTTGATATTACTTTGGGTGTAGAGCTAAGAAAATCCTCCTTTAAGAGCCAAAATCAATCTGTACCAAAGCCAACTCAGCGATATCATAGGGAAGCTGCTGAACATTGGGCTGAGCACTGAAATTGCTAGAACTCATGGCCTCTACCACAAACATTAGAAAATATTATCCTGACTCACAGAAAGCATTCCCTAAAAGCAGCTTACAATGGAGCTGCACTTGTGGGTGATATCTGCATAGAGGGGTCCTTTTTGGCCTGCTCTGGCACTGGACTTGTATATGTGCTATAAAAAATGCTATTTGAAATTTGAAGAAGGGACAATACTGGTCTTCTCAGTGCATACTGCATTTTCTTTTCTGTCTTCAGCATGCCATAAGACTTAGGTAAAGGCAGTGAACCAATGGCAGAATAATGTCATCTACAAGCCATGTGATATTTGTTGTTGCTGTTGGATGGTCCTAGGACAAGCAAATGATCTAGTTGTGTTCTCAGGGATATTCTGGCAAGATTTACCTCCAGAACTCAGTATCCTTTCTTGCTGAAGTAAAGTAAGGAAAACTTACAGGTTGTAGTGAGAGAAGATGATCCCACTATTGACAACCAACATGACTGTTCCTCACTCCTGAATTTTTTACACATAGATTTGATTCTTTAGTAGCAACAATGCATTATTTAAAAAGGTGTATAACCACTGAAGCTATTAAACTTACCGGTTTCCCAAACTCCAATTCCGAAAAGAATTTATACCAAGGTTCATTCTTTAAATCTATCTCTTCTGGGCTTATATCCCGACTCTACAGGGGTTGGTGACAGAGAAATGGAAGAAAGAGAAGGATAACATTATGCAAAGATTACACAGGAACAGGCCAGTAGAGATGCAGTGGTTTCCAGATATATACAGCAGCTGTATTCAACAGCAGCAGTCATCCATTTTTACATCAGAAAAAAAAAAACAAAATAAAACAGGGAGCTGAAACAGAGAGGATATGTTTATAAAAACAGGGAAATTGAGGTAGGGAGCAGTGAGTGACTCATTTTCTGTCCTGTGGCAGAGGAAGATGTACTGGTGATGCTTTTCACAACAAAGCTGAAGATGGGCACAATAGCATTCCACAATAATTTCCAGTACTGGAAAAAAGAAAGCCTTTATTTCCTTTAGCAAAGAACTATTAATTATGAGCAAATAAACTGGTGAGCACACCAAACATTTAGCATGTATACCAGTTGAGCAAAACAGTTTTTATGGGCTAGTACAGTTTTAGTACTTTATTTACAAGGTTGCCTTATGGTTTTCAAAAGAAACACAAATATTGACATTTATAAAAGCCAATTGGTTAATACTGCATCTTTAATGGCACATGAATAGGTGAGATACCATGTCCCATACATGGTAGAGTGAAAGATGATATAAGTTAAAACAGAGGACACAGTGAAAAACATTTTAAACAAGCATCTGTGGGAGATGAGTACAGACAGAATATACTTTGTGTTCTAACAAATAAATATTAAAGAACTGGGGAAAAAATTAAATGAGGGAAAAGCTGGACAAGACAGATAACAGAGCAGGGGGAAGAAAACTTCTGGGTTAGATTTCTCACTTGTAAACTCTAAGAGGTATTATATAGATTAATAATTTCACTCCATGGGATTTAATATTTAATCAAATATATATAAAGTTCTGAGGAATAACATATTCCTGGAAATAATTAGTTGGAAAATGAATTCCTGGAATGCAAATCAGGTTTTCCCTTTAATAAATTGGAGTTATGTTACATCAGACAAAAGTGTTTGAGGTTCATAGCTTAATTAAATTCATATACATGTTTATGAAAAACTTCGAAAATCAGAAAGCTAAATGGTGATTTTCTCCAACAATCTGAAATTTTAAATGTACATATTTTCTAGTGAGATATTTTCTAGTGAGATTGAAAACATCATGCATGAAACTTAACTACCTCCAGGATCTTGAGAAAGAATACTCTCAAGGTCCATGTACAGGTCTTCAATGTCACTACATCATAAAGTGATTCTTGCTGGATGCACTTTTCTTAACAAATCAGTTATCTCTTTTGAGGCTTGTAGACAAGGCTCCACACTGTTTTGGGCAACTTTTACCAACCATTTCTTCCAAGATTCTTAGAAGAATCTGTGTTATTCCTTCAACTTTCATTATGGGTACAGGAAGATATGGATCTATGGCAGAGCCACTTTGTTTCACTGACATTAAGCTAAGATAAAATCAGAGGGAAATATATAATGAACCACAGGGTCTGTTCTCTTGTATCCAGATAAACATCCTCTGATTGTCTGCAAGGACCTTGGATTTCAATCTTGAAGGTGAAGGCTTACCTTCCCCACAGTAAATGAATTCTGTATTTATTTAGTGAAATGAAACACAACACCTACAAAGGTCACAACTATCTGGCAATGAAAGTTTAGACATTGGGAAATTCTACATCCCAAAATGATGGTATTTCATGAAACTTACTTCATATTTTCACATTTTTACAAAGACTATTTATAAACTGATGTCTGGGAATAGGTTAGGTCTTTAAAAAAAAAATAAATAAAACGTACCAACTATTTTGGAAGACTGCCTGAAAGTTTTGGTACTTACAATCCTGAAAGAATTAACCTATTTTATTCCTGAATGCTGCTTATAGATTGTTTTACTGACAAGGTTAATGGCGTGTCAAGAATAAAATCAGGGGGTATGCCAAACAACCTGGTCCAGAACTTTGGGTCCAAAGCCTCAGTTCTTCGAGCTGCTCAGAGACAATGGTAAAAAAGTGACACTACACAGCACTCCAACTGCATTTGAGTTTTGCAGGTATAACCCAGCTGTACATCCAATCAGGGAAGAAACCAATAGCAAACATCCTTGGGGATACAAAGAAGGATCCCTGTCCCAGCAGGCATAGCAAATTCCATCATGGCAAGCTCAGTTCTTTTCTGCTATGGACTGTTCTCTTCTAAGTTTGGTAAAATTCTTGGAAAGTGCAGGGAACTTGCCAGAAAAGTGCCAACTTCTCAAAGACAGTTTTCAGCTGCAATGAGAGCCAGAGATCAGCTTCAAGTTTCAATTAAATAAATAATCTGAATGTGGTATGTTCATTTGCACAAAGCTTTATCATGCTCATAGCTCTTGTACCCATATTATTACACTTGACCATCTCCTTGGTACTTCATTACGGTTAGCAAGCCAGTAATATTTCTATTTAGGAGGTTCAAGAAGGTCAAGTAACTTGCCGCAAGACATACAACAGAGTCAGAACTAGAACCCAGAATCCAGATTTCTCAATCCCTGGCTCATACACTACACTACATTCCACTTTTCCTTGCTCTAAACAAGAAGGGGCAGACCTACTGAATTTGCAGACGACAAACTAGCAGGGCTAGTGACTAGCTTGAAATGCCAGAGAAGGAACTCAAGGTGACAGTGAGTTGAGAAGAAACCAAGTTGGGGATGTCCTTGCTACTATACACTTGTAGGAGCAGCAGTCCCAACATCAAACCCAGGGCTTGGTGTGATAAAGTGTTTTCCTCTATGTATTTGTTGAATTGAGCTCACGTTCTATAAGGGATTTTAGAGGAAAGTATAAAGGAATGAAGCCCACAAAAGGCCAGTTTTGACAAGGAAGGGACCAACCAATAGATCTCCAATTCCAAGGCCAGAAGAAAATAAAATGGACTTTTACTATAATAAGGGCAGGACTGAGTAGTATTTAGATTGTCACAAGTCTGCCAAACAGGTGAACAAGTCACTGAGGCTGTGAGTCAGTGGGGGATTTTGAAGGTGGTATTGTTCCACAGGTCATGTGTTTCTCGGTGGTATGGTTATATTCCAAGAGCAAGATGAACCCTAGCAGCCCACGCAGTCTCCATTCACTTCTTCCTACTAGCTATGTATAGCCGCACTATGAGGTCATCACCTAAATTGCCAGAATTAAGCAAATATCAGCACCACAAATAGAAGAAAAAAAGTTTTTTTTTCTCAACATGAGATAATACACATCTGAAAGCAAACTTAGATCCCACATCTGTTGCTCATTAGTATACTTGCAAATTTAATTAAATTTTTTTTTTGGTAGAGCACTAGCCTGGCAAGTGTGAGGCCCTGAGTTCAAACCCCAGTACCAAAAAAAAAAATTAATTTTCAAAAAGTGTGTGTGTGCAGGGGATGCCCAAACCCTGACAAACTAGATATGGCTTGCTTGAAACTCACATTCCAACTCTTCTGTTCATGTAATAAAAATAGGAGGAAAATAAAGGGATCAATTCAACTACTGTGTAGGGTAGACTGTCAGAAGATTAAGATTCAATTGAAATTCCTCTCTAAAATTAAAAATTTCTTTTTGGAAAAATAGAGCTAAATTGGGTGAAAGGCACTGAATTAAACCACTGGATGACAGGTTCCTCCCTGGTCTGCCTTTGGTACTTATGTCCCATTCTGGATGGGCCTCAGGGATGGCACAGAACAGAGGAATTTCTGTGTAGAAACCCAGATGGTTCTTTGCTGTCTTTGTGTAGGGCCTGCACCACTCCCTAGAGAGGCCTCCATAGGGCACTGTTTGTCACTTTCCAGGGTTGTTAAAATAATGTCAATGATCCCAAGAACTGAGTTTTGGAAGATATTCAGACCATTGTGGTATCAATAAGAAAAACAAAATTATGTTGTTGTTTTCATAGTTCTGATTATGGTAAAATTACCAAGAGTAAGGAAAGAAAGTGGAAACGAAGAAATAAGAAAAAAGATTTGCCTTTAGTAAGAGTCATGACAACATACAAATGGTCACAATGCCAAAACAAAAGCATCCAAAGACCTACAAAGTTCCTTAAATCATTTAAATGTATTAATATGTGACAGTGGGCCCCAGACTCACTTTTTAGTATTCTTTAGGAATATGCCTGAAGAACACGACTTTCCTTCCGAGAACCCCTGGGTGGAAGGTTATCATCCATGTTAATTATGTTCTAATAAAGTAGGAGGCAGAGGCAAGATCCTCTGCTCATCTCTGAACCTTCTGCTTAAAATAACTATGGTGCACAGTAAATGCTAAAGAAAGACAACTCTAAAAGTATCTCTGAACTGTTGACCTTTTTTCTAATTAAAATTACTTATCCCTCTGTGTTTTTAAAGATGTCATATTTTTACTTTAGTGAAAGTCAAATCAATTATTCCTTAAAAACATGTAGAGCAGAAGAGGTGGAGGGAAAACAACTTGAACCCACATTTCAGAGGCCTGTTCGCGTTCAGTTTGGTAAAAGCATTTAATAAAATCCAATCCCAGCATGATCATTCCATTATGCAGTCACAGCCGGAGGGCGGCAATGTTTACAGAGTTTGGAGAATCTCTTTAACCACTATCAGAAATCTGAACCAGCTTTTTCTAATGAAGGATGAATAAAGGAAGCATGATTGGCAGATATGAAACTAATCAGTTTTCATAAAGTCTTCTCCTTTCACAAAAGAGGCTATTTTCCCAGGGTGGTCTTCTATGCCCATGCAGGCCATTTTCCCACTCAAAATTGCTTGGTGATCTGAATTTGTACAGAGACCCATAAATCAGACCAAATACAAAATTAGTTCTCAGCATTGCACTTGTCAAAAAAGGAAGACCTAAAAGACATATTCTAATAGTCTGGGGCTTTTTTCTCAAGTTATAACATGCTATTAACTATTTAGCTTTTAATGATGTACTAGTAACTTCTACAAAATTTGTGTGTTCATATAAGAGTAACTTAAAAAAACCTGGCTTTATTCCAGTCAATAAGCCTGAAAAATTAATGATTAGACATTAGAAATAAAACAACAACAAGACCAATCTTTATCTTAGCGAAAAAATTAAAGTAAGTTAAAACCATGCAAAAAAGGAGCAACAAAACCATAATAACGGGATTCTTTAAAAAGCAGACTTCCAGGACTTATTTTATGAACAACTGCAAAAATGAAAAGGGTAAAAGTACTTCTTTCATTGTCTTATAAACAAAGCAAGTCTATCTCAAGAGGGAGAGACTATAATTCAACTGCACAATGCATCCAGATAAAAGAACATGGGCAGAGTGAGACAAAAGAACTTTATTATGCACATTACCATCTTTTCGTTGGTCAAAACGGAAGACTTGCCCGGCTGGTATTCGTAAATGCTTTTGGGCTCTGCACGGTATTTTCTTGTATCCACTTTCTTATCTGGGGGCTCCCAGTTGTTTCTGCAGAACGAAAATCCTGTAAGAACTATTCTCATGAAAATTGGCATCAGCTTTTGACATGGGCTGATTTTGGTTGGCTATAGTGTAATCAAGGAATTTTTATATCCAAAGCATAAAACTGGAGTTAGGATGAACAATTTAGTTGTGCTTCTATGCTTCTCAAAACAGGCAATTATATCTGTCCTGGCTTCACAAAGGACTTCAAGCCCTGTTGCTCAAAACCAGGCACCAGGAAGTGGAGAGAAGAAAGGAGATCATTTATACATACTTACATATATTTATATTTCTCTATAATATCTAGTTCAATCAAAGCTTGCCCTAAGGCAGACATGGTGGCTCATGCCTGTAATCCTAGCTACTTGGGAGGTAAAGACAAAGAGGATCAAGGTTCAAGGCTAGATAGGGTAAAAAAGTTAGCAAGACCCCATCTGAATAAAAAGCTGGGTAGATGGCATTCTCCTGTCACCTTAGCTATTCAGGAAGTATAAATAAAAGAACTGTGGTCTACACCAGCCCAGGCCTAAATGTGAGATCCTACTGGAAAAATACATAAAGCAAAAAAGGGGTAGGGGTGTGGTTCAAGTGGTAGATTACCTGCCTAGCAAGCACAAGGCCTTGCGTTTAAACCCCTGGACAGCCACAAAAACAAAAAAGCAAACAAACAAACGTGTCCTAGAAAAATCTTTCATCTTGCTCTGCTCTCATGACTTTACCATTTCCCAAAATGCCTGTACTTTCCACTCACAATAGTGCACAGAGGAAAAAATGGGCCCTGAAACCATTAGACTCTGGTTCAAATCTTTGCTAGATAGATGATCTTAGCCAAGTACCTTACCTCTTGGAACATGGATTTCCTCCTCCAAAAAATGGGCACTTTGTAAGGATTCTATGAGCAGAGTGCCAGGCCTGTAGGAACTACTCAATAAACATCAGCTGTTACTATAACTGTCTTCTTCCCTATTCTACACCCCACCACAGTACCCACCAATCTCAGCTTTTGGTCCAGATTCTTACCCTAGCATCCAGTGATGGGTTTCAAAAGATACACAACTCCTTGAAAACTGTCTGCAATTTTTTTTAAATGAATGTGCATTATTATACTTGACACTGTGGTTGTATTTTGTTTTTCATGAGAGGCTGAAAACTTTTTGAAGGCAGGGCAATGATTTATATATACCTATATTCTTCTATAACATCTGGTTCAATCTGTACAGAATGTACGCAGTAGGTGCCTGATGAATATACCTGTAAGGGATTTATGGCATATCCTGCCTTCCTTTCACATTAATTATCAAACTCCTCAGGTAGATACCATTTAGGCATGTCTGGGGCTTTTAAAATAGCCACTTGTTTGTAAAGATGGAAAAAGTGGGGGAAAGGGGCGCCAAACTGGACATACATTTAAGGGAAAAATAGTTTCATCTCACCAGAACATTTTGTGTGTAGAATTTGCTAGAAGTTGTGGCTAAAAGATGCATGGGACACCTGTCCAGAGGACATCAGATGATTTCTTCACAGGGTACTTTTAGAGATAAGAACTAAATAAAAGAAAATTGGGTTGCTTTGTACAGGCATTAATTGATGACTAATGATGTCTTTAGAACAGGTCCAAGTGTTATATTCCAAAAACACATGTTATATGAATAAACAGACATTAAAAAGTGTGCCTTCATTTAAAAATTATATTCTTTGCTGTGAATATGAAAACAGAGTTAGTATGCACACAGAATATGGAAACTGGTGACAAATTTTGCAGTTCAGATTCTTCTCATAAAAAGGGAAATTATAAAAATTATAATGAGCATTAAGTAAGCCCATGCTGTTATGAACCAGGCACTACTATGAATGCTATGTGCATTATTTCATTTTATCCTTGCAACATTTCCATCAAGGAGTCATGCTATTTTTATACCCGTTTTATAGATGAGGACATCAAGACTCAAGACTAACTCACTGCTTTATAGGTGACAAAACAGGAATTCAAGTTCCATATTCTGAAGAAAGGAGGCTCCTGGGTTTCAATAAATACTAACAAGTCACTGTCTGGTAATGACGAACACACTACAAGGGAGTACTTACCTCTCTGGGCTGGACTTGAGTGAGGAAGAGCGGGCTGGGAGGGGAAGTGTGGCTGACCTCTTAACCACCTTCTCACCATCAATGTAGCTCATCTCACTTTTTGAGCGTGGCACAGAAAGGGGAGATTTTGCTGGCGAAAGAAAGTACATACAAAAGGCTTTGAACTCCAATAAAAACTAAAACCGGGAGATGTCTTCCCTCATCCACCATTCTCCCTTCCTTCCCCACAAGTAGAAAATTCAGAAGCACTTACTGTCTTCAGAAAAGGAGTATCGAGGAGAGTACAGATCTGAATCATCATCTAGTGAACAAAAAAGAATGCAATCAGAAGTAGGCTAAGGTACGAGAACCAAGGTACACATCGTTCCCCATTTCCACAGTCCTGTACCGCATCCAGCCACACCAGGAAACCCAATGAAGAGAGGAGGACTCAGCACTGAAAGCTATACCACAGCAGACCACAGTGAGCAGTGAGGCTTGCAGAATCCACTCAATCCAACAGGGCCCGCAGTCCAGCAGGATCTTCACAATGCTTGGTAGATGACTGCTATCTGATACTGGGAAATGCATGGAAACAAATAGCCAAAGGTCCTGCTCCGAGAACACCCACTGCCAAAGCTGAAATGCAGTCTTGAGTATGGCTGAGGTGGATGCGGATCTGGCGGCTCACATGCTCAGTTTCTGGTCTTGCCTGCTGAGTGCCATGGGGTCCTGACAGGCCTCCTTCCAGGGCTTGGGGCTGCTATTAGATGGGAAGGGAAGGCCTAGATAGTATGGTTGCTAGCTCCCCACCTCAGTTTTGACCTATTTTATATGTTAAACTTCTATAGGCAATTTCTTTATTTCATTAATAAAGAAATTCTTCAGGTGAAGAACAAGTCTGAATCAAAATCAGACTTGAATCAAAATTTGTTTTGATTCTACCTCAACCTGGTTTCCTGAGTTGATTTCTTTCCTTGGAACACAGCATGCCCATGGCTGATGTGGTTACAGAGTCTGCTCTGCAAAAATACTGCCTGGAGTAAGTGTCTAAATTGTACTGATGAGAGTTTCTATGGTATGAGACAGCTCTCCAAAGGTGTGGCACATGCCCCTATATAAGCTAAACACTGGGCCTCTAAAACATACTGAGCCAAGATAAGATCTGAACCCCTCATGGAAGTACCTGTATTTTTTAACTAAAAATCAGACCATGGGTCCACTTACAGGAACAGATTTCCAAATTGGACCATGTCCTGAAAATGCAGGCTTTTAGTCACTAAACCTATGCTAATCTTTCCAAAGCATTACTCCAAAAAGAGCTAGCCTGAAAATCAGCCTTTTTCCATTTTCTAATACCTTGATAATCTGAATTCAAAATCAATGCATATAGAATAAAGATGCAGTCCCTTCCTTTAAAATCCATAAAACCTTTAGTAAATGCACAGGACCTGACCAGGAAAGGTCAAAGAAACTGATATGCTATATTAATGACACTGTTAATCAAGTCCCTGTTTTTATGTAAATCATTTCAGAGCACAGAAAGTTGGGATACTTTATGTAAATAAAGCTCACATTGTTATTATTTTGAGTAAAGTAGTATTCAAGACAGCCTCTCACATACTTCTTGTTCCTTCTCCTCTCCCCATTTTCTTTTTTTTCCGAGATAAGGTCTCACAAACTATTTGCCTTGGAGACTGGCTTCAAACCAAAATCCTCCTGATCTCTGCCTCCTGAGTAACTAGGATTACAGGCGTGAGCCACAAGACTGTTTCTCCTCTCCCCATTTTCATGGTGTTCCTCAGTCAAAATAAGGGACAGCTATCAGATACTTTTCACTTCCCTTTTCCCTACCTTTTATCTTTAAAGATAAGAATTAGTCAATTCGATTGAATAGGGATTAAGATTCTTTACCAACAGCCAAGCTTTTCACCTTTTGTGTGTGTGTGCGTGGGGGGGAGTGGACAGTGTCTCACTATGTCTCAAACTCAAGTGCTGGGATTACAGGTATACACTATCACACCCAGCGGGCCTTTTCACTATTATAAATTGACTGTGCAAGCTTATTTATGTTAACTTCTGAAAATAGGACAAGGAAAGGATAAAATGAGATCCAGAAATATATTTTTAGAAAGACTATTCTGAAGAATTTTGTGTCGCCTGCTTTTGGTATTTTTTTTAAAAGAGAACTTCTGATGACTGTACTCGTGAAATAGCATGATATCAAAGAATACTAAAAACCAGCTTTGACTGTAGGGACTTGATTAGAAAAAACAAAAACAAAAACAAAAAAAGCAGTGCCTTCTCAAATGAAGTTAACTTAGTTAAAAACCAATGGATTACTGCTTTAATGCAGCCCAGCATTTCAGCACAAAACCATGTGTCACAGAAAAATTACAGCCTATCAGAAGATGGTGAGTTGAAGATTAATTTATAACTTTACCTAGTTAATAAGGCTAGAAAGTTATGAGTGGAGGGGTGGCATTTAAATATTCAAAAATCTTAAGTCTGAGCTTTTAAAAACTGTTCCTTCCCAGAGATTTCTAATATGGAATTGTAGAAGGCTTATTAGAAGACAATGAGATATAATTTCATAAGATGGAAAAAAAATCACTGCTTGAGGAATCAAACAACTTACATACCTTGAAAAGGAGAAGTAGGAAAGCTAGAGATGAGGACAACAGCAAAGACTGGATGACTGGAAGGATGCTATTTTCTTATTTAGTGTAGGTGGAAAAAGAAATCTCACTCACCCCAGGCTAAGACAAGACAGAGACATCTCTGTGAGCAAGCCTTTCTCAGTGTCCATGGCGATCTAACATGGTTTCAGTTCATGGACTTTTAGGAGGACACACTGAAGTTGAATGGAGTCATCTGAACTTCAGCAATTTAATGACAAGTTCCAAGGGATGTGTAACTTTTCAAGGTCTTTCTGACTTCACTTCCTTATGTCACCTTTTAGCCCTGTGACAGGGCTGCTTTGTTCTATCTTTTATCCCAGCTTCATGTTCCTAGTCCTGGGAAAGGTGAAAGACTGCGGCTATTTGATTACTATTTTATGGAAGAAGCAGAGAAGGGTGTCATTCTAAAACTCAAGTGCATTGTTGTTCATGTCAATCTCCAGCCCGCACAGCCTTTGCTCTATTTTTCCCATCACTCCACCCTGGGTGATGCTTAAGCAAGTTTTCTGAATTACCCCACCACATTCTGAGTTTTCCTCCTACTGGTCTCTCCAGGGAAATGGGTAACACTGAGTCAACTCTTGCTACATCTTCCATTTGCTGCTTTCTGAACCCTTCAGCTGATAAGGCAAGTCTACACAAAGGAAGATGGGTATGAAGTAAGAAATACCAAGGAATGGGAAAACTGAGCATAAGGGGCATCCAGCATTTCTATAGGCTGGAGTCAGGCAGAGAGAGAGAGAGAGAGAGAGAGAGAGAGAGAGATCATAGTTAAGACACATAAAGCAAAATTATTCTTAAGCTGTCTATGACCTAGCGCCAGAAAGCCTGCTCTCCCTTTTCTCCAAGGGTTCTTTAAACAATGCCCCAATGCACTCAGCTGAACCGGGATCTTGTGATTCCGGCTCATGGTAGAACCACATGCTGTTTTGCCCCTCAGAGCTCCAAGCAGCAGACAGCAAACTTTGGCACCAATACTCAGAACTTCCAATGCTAGTGATTCCAGGAAGCAACCAAACTACGCAGGAATTCATTGTAGGGTCCTGAAAGCCCCTGCCGGGCTCTGATGTTTGCACATCAACAATTCTCTGGGGATTTGGCAATATGTACTTGGTAGCTCAATGTGGAGATAGCTATCCCCCTAAAATTGCCGCCAAACAATTGCCTTTTTAACCAGTGACTTTAAATGAATTTCTAAATGACTTTTTTTTTTAAAGAATTTATAAGTCTTTAAAGACAACTGGAGAAACTGCTGGTTGATAACTGTTCTATCAGCACTACATAACAGACCAAAATGAGATGCTAGACAAAAAAAAAACAGAATTTACATAACCACTGCCTATATCATGAAATTTCCATACTATACACTTCTTAGGTCTTTAAAACCTAAAATTATTTTTGTAATAGTAATGGCTCATTTTTAATATGATCTTTACTCACATAATTCCTTCTCAGGCTTTACCCCACAAACTTAGAAAGAGCAAAAATAAAAGGATAAAGACAGACACACACCCTATAAACAAAAACAATCAAGGAAAAAGAGAGACATGCAGAGTCTGGGATGGGAGAGGAAAAGTAAGTAAAAGGGAGAAGGGACAAAAAAGCCATAAGTCTGAGAGTTTGGGGAAAGAGTCACAAAGTTGTCTATGTTTTAGTAAAGGGCAATCAAGTTTTAAGGAACAACAACAACAAAAAAAGCCAGAATAGGATATAGAAGACATATTCAGAAGAAGAGAACGTGGAGGAAGAGATAAGATGGAGCCGGAAAGAAGCTGAAGGACCTGTGAGCTGGTAAAAGACTTACCATTCTTATTTCCTATCAGATTCCTAGGTCCTGAAGGTAGAAAGGGGATACTGCTTCATTTCTTAACTATTCTCAGACTACAAACTTTTGTACTTGCTAGGTGGAGACCTTCTGGGCAGCTCTCATAAGAAAAGCAAAGGTGACTGCTGTAAGCAGCTCAGCCCCTCCTCTGGGCAGCACTAAGCCAGAGTTTGGGGCAGGAGGCACCAGTCCCAGGCAAGCATCTTCACAATAGAATGATCTGCTTGAACTCAAGAAAAATAAGGCTATTCTTAGAAATTCTGCAAGACTAGTAGAGGATTATTTTAACTTTAGTACATTTGTGCCTGAGAAAACCAGGCTCCTTAAATCTTTGCCTTGGTATAAAGCTTATCTAGAAAAAGCACAAGGAGATACCCCACCATGATTCCACAACTTGGGAGTGCCTACATGCGATGTCCTGAGTCACAGCTGCTCTCTGGGATTTCACCTATGCAACAGCCCTTCACACTGACGTGGTCCAGTACATCCTTGCAGGCCATGGACTATGGAGTAACCTATCAGTTGGTTTTGCTGTGGAGTCGGAGGCATCATTTGCAAATAATCTTCTATTCCTTGACATAAAATGTGCCAAGGGAGCACCATCACACGGACCTGTGCTGAGTAGAAAGTCTAGCTCTTTTGAATCTTCATTCCTCATGCTAGTCCTACATCCAAACTTCCAAAACTGCATCTTGATCCCTACTAGGGGGCTAAGAAAGGGTAGTGTTTCTCCATTCCAGCTGCTCAGTCCTGGCTGTGTGTCCCTGTTACTCAGGGAACTTTCCTAGCCATGCGTTCCCAGACACCATCTGGGAGACACTGGATTAGCAGCCCAGGACAGGACTGCTCAGGGGAAGCTCAGGCATCAGAGAGCCATTGGCAAAGAGGGAAAAACCAAGAGCATAGAGTATATCAGGAGAGGGAAAGGAACTGGCAGAGCAGTGCGGCAGCATAAAAGCCCCTGTTTGGGGACCCCACAGACCTGGGTTTGAATCCTGACTCTGCCACTTACTGTGTGATCCTGCACATATTACTTAACTTCTCTGGCCTTATACTCTTCATTGATGAAATGAGACTCACTTCATTGGGTTGCCGGGAGGATGAGATAATGGCAGAGATGTACTCAGCACAGAGCTTCACACTGCACAATTAAGGGCTCAATAAATGGCAGCCACATAGTCATGGTGGTGGCCATGTTACCACTAATAATAGGATTACAACCATGAGCTGCAGAGGTTCTAGGCACCATGCTCCTGTCCCTTAAAGCAGGACATGGGGAAGGGGAAAAGCCTAAAGTTCTGAAGCTGCTTCTCCACAGCCCATCCTCTCATCTGCTTCATAAAACAAAGGACTAAGTGTATGCAACATAGAGCAGTCTCAAAGATTATAAAATGGTTGGAGGGGATTGCTCCTTGCTGGAATTTACAGAGGTTTGCTTTTTTAAAACTACATTTTGAACCTCATTGATTAAGATATGAACACTCTGTCTATCTTCCTGAAGTCTGGCCAGAAGTTTATTTGTTCACTGTAACTGCAGAAAAAAAGTTGCTGAGCCAGCATAAACAAACGTTCACATGGCTCGTTACTATTTAGGAGAGTCAGCTTTGAGATATTTAGAGGTATATTTTATTATGCTGTATCAACAACTAGAATTCAGTCAGAGGCAGTAGTCCTCAGGCTAAGCTTTGATAGGTTTATCACAAATAATTCTAGTTTCAAATTCTGAATTAAAACAAAACAACAGCAGCATCAGTAAGTTTCTCCCCAGGAGACAGACTCTGAACTGAGGGCTCCCAATTCTTGGTAAAGTTATCTATTTCCTAATGGATATATGGGCACAGTCTCCAGTAGGTGCCAATGTATCTTTAATGTCTTTCTTTGAAAGACGTAAATCTTTCCTGGGTCAAGAAGTGTGTGCACCAACCCATGGGGAACAGCACCACGCACGGGGCTGAGGAGGCTCTGTTAGAACTCACAGACATTGATATCACAAACCACAGATCCAGAAATCTAAACAACCTCTCAAAATATAAAAAACAATTTTTAAAAATGTCTAGCTCAAATGTTTCTCTCAATTGTAAAAAGCCTTTATCTAACTGAATACATAAATAATCCATGCCTGGATATGTCGTCTAGGCAACGGGGGCATGAGATGGAATCTACCCTATTTTTAAGAGATCTCCAGGGAAGACAACTTCTTTGAAACTTGTATTAAAGTTTAATCATCTTTGTTATTACGGATTTTTTATATTCAACCTAATTTTTTTTTACTTTGTATTCTTTTACGACCATTTCTTCTTCTTCTTTTTTTTTTGGGGGGGGGGTCTTTGAAAAAAAATATAGCAAGGTCCACTTCCAAATATATGTGACACGTCACATCATCCCTTACTGTTTATGCCTGTAGGCATAAACATCTGATGTGTACCAAAAAGCAGACGCTACCTTCAGCCAGGGTTGCTAGGTGTAGTAGCTGATGACATGGAAACTCGATGTGAGGCCAGAAAACCCTGTCTTGAGACTAACAACCAAGCTGGCTAAAGAAGTCATGGGCACAGCTTGTGACAGGTCTAAGGCAATCTCCAGTCCAATGGAAGCCACTGTTCCTCTCTCCAGGACTTCTTCAAGATGATTCCCCTAACTTACCTTATATAAGTTTTTTTGATACCTGGACTTTTTGCCCCAGAAAAGAATCTCTCAGATACAGATGTGGCTGTCTTCCAAGCAGGTCAAATTCCTATCCGGTTCATTCATGAGATGTTTTTCAGCTTGGTGCAAATTCTTAGTTTTTAGAAATACTATATCCCACCAGGACTGAATCTTATACCTAGATACCTGTATAGTAATTCTCAGAGACACATTGAGGGCCCTGACAAGAGGGGTCCAGTGATGAATTAGTTGCACATGTAGGAACCTGTTAATGTTTCTGTTATTGAGATCTGGCAGGTCTACCTCTTTTTCATCCACCTCAATAACTCAGCTTCATTGAGGGGTGGCAGTGGCCCAGCTACCAGGTACTACCAAATACCCAAATACGTAGTTGGGTCAGTGAGCTTTTTCCAGAACCCCACATTCTCTGAGCAGTATAACTAAGCTATGATGGCTACCTCATTAATCATGTACACCATAAGAGAATAGGATTAAAATACCTTCTGGATATACTGTGGTTATGTAGCCCAAGAGGAGTGAGACACCACCACAAAACACAAGGTTAAAAGGAGGCAAATGAATGGGAGACAGCCCTGAGCCACCAGGAAAAACTCAAGGTAAAAAAGAAAGTCACAGCACTGGTACAAAGGGAGGCACACAATTTTCCATTAATTACCTTCAGATTTAGGACTAGGAGTAGATGCAGGAAACTGGTAGGTAGGAGTGTAAGGGTTGTCCTCTGCAGCGGAGAAAAGCAGTGGGTTTTGAAACTATCCACCATGAAGTGGAGGGACTGACAGATCCCCAAATGATTCTTTCAAATGATTGATTACCTATTTTAGTGTTGTTAAAGCACACGGGCATCACACTTAAAATAGATTAATGAATTAGGACTTAGTTATTTTAATATAGCACATCATGCAAATAAGTGAAATAAAATTTTCACCAGCCAAAAAATACTATAAAAATAAAATCTAAAAGCCAAATCTTATGCCTATAATGGAACTCTAAGAGCTAATTGAGCTATGACAACAGATACACTGTCTAAATGTGGTGGTACCTTCAGAATTTTGCTGGATCTCAGGAAGCTCAGGGAATTTGTACGTAGGGGAATAAGGGTTTTCCTCGGGAGTGTCTAGGCAGAGGAGCAGGTTTGAGAGAGAGAACAGAGGAAGATACAAATGGAGAGAATGAATGAGCAGGAATCCACATACAATTTAGGATCCCTGAATTCTGGAACATAATAAGCTTCACTATGATATAAAGGAAATTCAAACTGCCTTTCAAAATCCAGTCCTTTTGCCTGAATTATTGAGACACATCAAAAAAGACATCATTACTTTTGGTGGGGCAAAAAATTACATATAAACAGGCTCCAATGGGTAAGAAGAATTTAACACAAAGCTTTAAGTTTTTGCTTTTTAAAGGCAAGAGATATTGAGAATGATAATAAGTAATATGTAATGAAAACAGAGTCCTAAAATGATTTTTTAAAAATCAAAGCTTGTGTTGTGGATGTTAGAATCAAGGCAAGCGAGTGGAGTCTTAATTTTTCCAATACCTCTGCTGACCATTAGGGCAGGTAGTTTTGTTTAGAACCTGTAATTTAGTTGAGTTAATAACTATAGCATGGAAAGATCAGTGCTATGAGGTACAATTACATCTTTTGCACCTAAACATGCACTTGTCCTGCATTTAGACTTACAAACTGGGTCTAAAGGTGAGAGAGTCACAGATTGCTAGAGGAAATGGACCGTGACTTTAATCTTAAATAGAACTGATAGCATCAGATCACAGAAATCCAGCACTTAGCATCACCATCATGAGACAGTTTATCCACCCGACCACAGCAGATTTACTCAACTCAGAAATGCTAAACACTGAGCATCTCAATATTTAAAGTTTTCAAGAGGGATATTTCCCAGTTCATTCTGAACCCAGCAAGAGCTAATTTACAGTGACGTTAGTTGGCATCCACAGCTAATCAGAAAGATTAGATATTTGTGGCTTAGGTGGGAACACTGACTAGAACACTCTTTCTTTGCTTTCATGTGTCTTTCATGGCAGGCAGTCAGACTGGATTTGGGTATAGGGAAAGACAGGATGTTCTGCCTGCAGGAAGAGTGGTACCCTTCCCACGTACAGTGACATGCCTGCCTATCAGCTGATTGGCAACATAGGCAGCAATGGGAGCTGGTGGGCTTGTGATTTGCCTGAGCACTGGCCTGGGGTTCTCCAACCATGCTGGGTCACCCACTGACAGCCCAGCAGGCCTCTGATTTAGAAACACTTCTCTTTCAGCTTGAGCAGTCTCTGGTGTGTCAGCTCTTGACTGATTCTCAGGGCTACCTGCCAAGGGCTGGCTCCCACCTGGGGAAGCTTATTTTTCATATTAACACAGCCTTAGAGGTGCACTATGAATTCTACTTCACAAGGCCAAATGTGTTCTCATTTGGACCCTCTGACATCCCTCAGAGGATAGGAGGCAGGACAAACACAGAGACACACATGATTGACCCAAAAGCACAAGTGCAGGGACAGCTGAATCTAGGTGAGGGCAGTTTTTTTAACTCCCAGTTCAGGACATTCTCAGCTCGTTCTGCCCATAAAGCAATCATGGGCTGACACATGTACCTAAAGCTGGAAGCAGGTGGGAGATGGAGCTGCTCTCACCCCAGGCAGATAGGCGCAGAGCACAGGCATAGTGCTAGGCTCAGCCTGTTGCATTCTACAACAGCTGGGAAGGAGAACTTGTGAGCTGACCTCAAATTCCAGAGTTGAGGTGGGGACATAGGTGTGTCCTCCTACCCTGCAGTCTGAAGGTGCATGGCTGGGCTCAGATAGACCAGTACCTAACGGAATCCAACTGCAGGACCCAGTCTCCTGGCATCCAGGCAAAGTAAGTTCGGGCTCACACCCAACAGTCAACATCAACATAGCACACAGCACAGCACAACTTCTACAAATGAAAATCAGTACCTCTATTTAGTTTGTGGATCTGTTTAAACATGGTCTTGTACCAGTCTTTTGATCTCTCAGTATTCTGGAGAAAAACAAAGGAAAAAGTTAAAATAAAATGGAAATTTTGGTATATTTCCAAATTTCTATGAAAACCAAACAGGGAAATGACAACGACAACATCTTAAGTTAAAACTCTAGTACGTTTATATCTTTTTAAAAAAGGCAAAATTCTGACAAAAAAACAGACTAAGAAATTCAGACATGAACTGTAAAATGATATTTTGGTCAAAAGGATGCAAATTTTGAAAAAAAATGGACAAAAATAAACTTGAAATGTGTCCATTCTTCATTTTTTAAATTTCATTTTTAGAGAGAATCCCTCTCCATATAGAGACTATGACAAACTGAAATAAGTCCTCCTAGAATCATGAGGCAAACAATACTTGCTTATCACGCTTTATCCCTGCCCATTCTATTTATTCTGTAGAATATACCTAAGTCACCTTGCATAGGGCCAATTTTAGAATGTAGACATTAAAATGCAACCCATTATAGCATTCAATGCCAGAGTTTTCATCCTCACCACAAAGCCAGGCTGTTTTTTTTTCTTTTAAGATAAAAATAAAATAAGAAAGGAGACACATAGGTGGTTAGATCAGATATTTTCAGCGTCACTTTACAGATTAAGAAAAGAGATAGAGAAAGTCAAAGCAAATTGCCTGAGGTCACAGAGGTGGTGAAAAGGTGTGAGGAAGGGCCACCTGACATGATTATTAGCAGCACGGGGAGAGTAACATGACCCCTCAGAGTTCCTGTATCCTCATTGCTATGATTTGGAAGAGTGTCCTCCAAAGGTCCATATGAAAAGGCTTGGTTCCCAAGGTGGCAGTATTGGGAGGCGCTGTGAACCTTTAGGAGGTGGGGTCTAGTGAGAGGTCCTTAGGTCACTGGAAGCAAGTCACTGAAAAGGATTGTGGGATCCAACCCATCCTCCCTCTGCTTCCAAGCCCGTCATGTGAGCACTTACTCCCACATGCACTCCTGCCATTATGGGCCATCCTCACCAGAGGCCCAAACTAAAGGGGCCACCACTCAATTTTAGATTTGTACCTTCATAACTCCTCTTTACTTCATAAGCAACCTGTGTTGGGTATTTGTTATAGTGATCCAAAGCTGATTAACACATGTATCTATAAAATCTTAGTATCCGCCACCCATTCTGTTGAGTGATGTTTAAATGAGATAATATACCCAGCAAATAATAGCTGCGTTTACTTTTGACACTAATTCTTTTTCTCTATTATTACTTAGGACCATATAGAGTTCTTTTAAGGCTTAGCCCATAGCTGTTTCTGTTAACCTGTTTCAAAAACAGTCCCTTTTCCAGTTGGAAATCACAGAGAAGCACATTTTAGCCAGTGGTCTGGTAGACACATGGAAAGGAATGTAATTCTTCTGAATTGTTTCAAAATGCAGGTTTCCCTGAGTTTCTTAGGGCCTGCTGGAGGACAGAGTGGGAGAGACCCACTCTGTCCTCCAGGCCTTGGTGGCTGAATCCTTTCTGTGGTTCCCTTGGTCCTGCTCACTGTGGATGATGGGGTACCTTCTACTCTTAGATCTTCTTCCTAAACCAATAAACAGGGACCCTGGGCTCATACTCTCACAAAGATACTCTAACCCTGGAGCAGGAATTGCTGAACAGGCTCCACAGAACAACAATAAGGACACACCACCCACAAGGTGTGTCCCCTGGCACACTCACAAGGCTCAAGCCTCTCAGGGAAATCTCTCCAACTTTGTTCCACCCAGATATTCTTCCTTTTTCTATGAGATTTATTAATACCCCACATCTACTTTAGGAAAAGTTGCTCTGCACCAAGTCTGGAACACAGCTCATCAGGGGTATGGCACTTAGGATCTGGTGTCACAATGAGGACCCTCCAAGCTCTAGCCCTCTATAACCCATGGATGGGGTTCACATGCACTCAGGGCTGCTCCCTTGTTGCCACTTGTTTAATTTGAAGTCTAAGAAGGACTTGCAGGTCCATACGCATACCCGGAGTGGGATGCCCACTTCACCCACGGACACATCGCTCAGGTCTTGTGCACTCTTAACAACCCGTCTACTGTCATCCTTTGCTCTTTTTTCAGCAGCCGTGCCAGATGAGGTAGGCTTTTCCTGGGTTGGTGCTGAGTCCTGCTCACCCACTCTTCTTTCTGAGACAGAATCTGAAAATGAAAAGCAATCATTAACTGAAGTTCTGCTGGCAGCTCCAAAGCAGAAAACATCAGAACAGTCCAGCTAGAGGAAAGTAGAACAAATTTCACTTAGGACAGGCATCAGCAAATGCTAGCCCATGGGCCGGCCACCTAATTTTGAAAGTAAGTTTTACTGAAGCACAGTTATGCTGGTTCATTCACATATAATATATGGATGCTTTTGTGCTACCATGGCTGAACTGAGCAGTTGTGATGGGATGGCTTGCAAAACCTAAAACACTTATTATTTGTCCCCTGGACAAAGTTTTCTGACAACAGCTTTGCAGTACATTGTGCTCTGGAGATCCAAGTGGTTCTGAATATTCTAGGAATTAAGGGAGCCCAAGGAGCTGGCTTAATATTACTAAAAAGTTCCTCTTGTGGAGGTCACTTAACTTTTTTGTGCCTCGGTTTTCTTACACAAAGATGGGATAGCACTTCCATTGGCAAACTCATCAGTCACTTGTGAAAAGACTTATCAAGGTAACTTAAGGCAAAGGATTCAGAAAGCTGTACATGGCTAGTTTATTTAATTTACCTCAAGACTGGATGTTAATACGGAACTAATAAACATACCAGATGTGATCTGCAGATTATATGATTACTTATTATAGCACCTACCTGGTGCTATGCACTATTGTGCTGCCTAATGACATGAAGGTGAGCATCTCAGATCTTGGCTTTTAGGGAGCTTAAGCTCTAGCAAGCAGAAAGAGCAAGCAAGCCAGCAATGAGGATCAGGATGATGAAGGCTGATAGAGGAATTAGCATTCAAGTCAGCTGAGGAATTTAGTTCAGAGCCAACTTGTCTAAGGAGCCAACCAGATGAAAAGGAAGTAGAAGGTGTTCCCAGCAGAGGGGACAACATAAGCAAATGCTTGGCCACCTTGAACTACTCTAACCTAATTATGTGCCAGGCATCACACTAAACTCTTTCACTTTGAAAAAACAGTGAGTCACCCTAGCAAGGTGCGGTTTTGGAGACTTCGGCACAAAATAATGACCAATGTCAGGAAATGTCAGAGCTCAGTGGCAGTGGGAGGTGAGAACAGAGTAAAGGGTTGAAGTCACACACTCAGGAACACCACAAAGGCTAAAAAGCTGAAGAATCCCCAAATGGATGTGGGAGTCATCCAAAGGATAGGAGATGAATCAGGATGTACTACAAGGTGCCACGAAACCACAGAAGACAGAATTCCAAAATGTGAGTGGTTAAATATGTCAAAAAAGGAAGAAAAAAAAAAAACCTCTAGAGATTGAAGCAGAAGAGGAGGCATTAGATTAGACAAGAAGAAACCTGAAAGAACAATTTCAGGAAGGCAATGGGGACAGATGCCAAATTGAAAGGAAAGGGATAAATGTATGAGCAGGCAGTAGGGAAGGAATCCAGCATGGAGGAAGGAGTATGTCAGATGGTAACTGGAGAGGCCAAAAGATTGGGAGCAAAAAGGTTTAAGCCAGGGGAGCCTGAAGTCTTACCAATGAAACCCATGAAGAGAGAATGAAGGGCATTGAAATGTGCCTACCAATTAGTAAATGCTCACTGACTGACAGAGGAGAGATGCAGAGTGCTGGCTAGGGGACTATACTTTGGTAAAAAAGAGGGAAATGAAGGTCTGTGCAAAGTTGTCACAAAGTCAGACATAGCTATGTGTATAGTGGAGGCTGGGGAAGTGGGGTAAGAGTGAAATCAGCATGCTCGGGTTTGACAAACTTGGATCTAATTAGCAGAGTAACTCTGCCCTGATTTCACACAAACTTCTAAAATTCCTCCTCCATCTTGGAAGGAAGAAGTATTTCTAAATATTCTCTGTACGATTAAGCTTAGTGAGTGCCTCAAATAACCCAATCCCTGGCATCATCACCATAAGCTTTAAAGGATTTAAGACCAGGCTGGCTTTATGGGATGAGTGCTCATGCCCCTAAGAAGTTCCTACATGAGGACAAGGATTCAGCAGAAAGCCTGGGTAGGCAGGGAGGTTTTGAGTTATCAAAGTCTAGTCTTAACTGTGCTCTCTTAACATTCTCCTCCCACCTGGAAAGTGAAATAAAAAAGGGGCAGGTGAGCAAATTCCAAGCTATGACTCACCTAGTGCATGGAGGTACTCATACATCTCAAGCTATAAGGTCATGAGGAAGACCAAGCATGCCATTCTCAATGTTTCTAGAACCAGAATAATTCTTTTTTTTTAAAAAACAGTTGTTATACCCTAACAATATAGCTCTAACAATAGTCACTTAATTGCAAACTCAGGCTAACAGTCCATGGACTTGCCAAAGTTCTTTTGATTGGTAAAAATTACCTCTGAGTTACTTTACCCTAGAAGCTGTGATCCTGTGACTCATGGCTGAATGGATTTTGATATACAGACAACTGAACTGCAGCTCCGAAAGTAAAAGAGTTACTTTACATAGCAAAAATCTAAAGTGACACTTAGTTGTTCTTCACAGGTGACGGGGCCATCCTTTGGCATCCATTACAATGAGGGCTTGCTATCACATCACACTAAGCAGATGCTGATCCTTTATATGATATCCTGGAGGTATTTCTTTCTAGTTTTACATTGTGCTTTAAAAAGGAAGGTCTTGGGCCACTAAACAAATGATGATGCTAACAACTGCAGAAGAACCTCTGTTTGTGGAAGGAGGAATAAATTTTCGTCACACCCAAAGCTTTGTGATTGAGATGACAGCAATGCTTATACTTCTCTGGGGGAAGGAGGGTAGTCTTTTTACCATGTGAAAGCCCTGCTACCTAAGCCCTCATTTTGATATCTTGATTTCCTGCCTGTCCAAGGGGATCATGAGCCACACAAAGTCAAACACAATGTAGGTTCCATTCCCAGATAACTGTTTGTGATAGTTAATCTTGATTGTCAACTTGATTGTATTGAGAGATGCACAAGAGATTTATAAAGCACACTTCTGGGTGTGTCTGCGAATGAGGATGTTTCCAGTGGTGATAAGATCATGAGGGCTCTGACTCAATGGTTTGATCCACTGATGATTCAAAATTTGAACAGCTATTGGGAAATGGTAGAAAATGTGGACGGTAGGGCCTGTTTGGGAGAAGTAGGGGAGAAGTAGGTCACTAGAGGCTACATCTTGTCCTCGCCCCTTCCTGTTTCTGCTCCACCATCATGTAAGCTTCTCCATCACACCCTCCCTGCCACAAATGACTGAAACTTCTAAAATCCTAAAATTGTTTCTGTTAGGTATTTGGTAACAGTGATGAAAAGTCTAGTAGATTCTCCTTGAATGTTGAGTCCCATAGAGGCTTAAGAACACTCCGCTAAAAAGGAGAGAGGCTGGTGGCCCTTGAGCCTCATCTCCACAGACGAAGGCAGAGCCTTACTTGCTCTAAGGCACAGACTGAAGAGTGCCAGCCCAGCCAGCCCTGTCTCTTTCAGGAGTTCCCGAAAAAAATGGTACATCTTTGTAAACAAACACTAACATTTAGCGAGCTCTACTCCATTACACATCATTAGTGGATCTGTCCCAAACCCAAGGAGGGTGATAACATCAAGCTTCTTTTAAATCGAGGAACTGGGCTAAGTCTGCCAGCACAGTGGAGAAGCTCTCACATGAGCATGGCCCATTCCAATGTGCAAAGCATTCTCCCTGTTTCCAACATACACAACAACTCCTGCAGGCAGGGCCAAGCATTATCACTCACATTTCCCTCATGAGAAAACTGACTCAGAGAGGTGAAGTCACTTACCCGGGGACCATCAGCTCTAAGGGAGAAGGCAGGACCAAACTCTATGTCTCCTAACATGTGGCTGGATGCCTTTTTCATCTATTTCATGACTTCTTTCAAATCCCCACAGGCAGAAAGGAGCCACTGAGACCCATTACTATTTTTTCTTTCATAGACGCCTGGCTCAGCAATCTGGGCTAGGCCAGGGAATGGGGAGTGGTGTATGGCAGTTTGAGAAGGGCAGCAAAGGGCACCTTGAGTTTAGCCACAGTATGTGCAAGTCCTAGAGCCAAGTCCTGATAAAGTGGAGAGGGTGTGAGAACCCCATGTCCTCCCCACCTGGGCTCTGCCTGAATCACAAGAGCAACAGTAGGATAAAGTTCTGCAGAAATCATGTAGCAGCTTCTTAGAAATTGGTGGCTTCAGTCATGCACCAGATAAAGGTTCTTAACCCTAGAGTTCATTAGTATTGGTACAACCATGGAACTCACATACATGTTTGTACACATGTTGCTTTTTCTGGAGAATTAATCTATTGCCTTCATTAGATTTTCCCAAGGAGATCATGACCAAAGAACAGTGGCAAAACATCATACCACACAATTAGCTTCCCATGGGCAGCCCCAGCACTTGGCTCTGTGCCTGACACAAGGAAGAACTCAGTAAGTGACTAGTGAGTCAATGGAGGCACCTGCTGATAGCAGCAGCTCACATCTAGTAGGCACTTAGTGAGTACCAAAGCTCAGCACACAGCTGTTCATTGCAGATTCTCCTGTGATCTGCAGGAGAGAGAGAGAGAGATCCTGAAGCCCAGAGAGCTCAGAAAATCTGTCTGAGGTGGCACTAGAAGTTAAATGGTAGAATGAGGATTCAGAGCAGAATGGCATGACTTAGGGATGTAGCTCAGTATAGTACACTTGCCTAGAATATGCAAAGCTCTGGGTTCAATCTCTAGCACCACAAGAAAACAAACAAACAAAAAAGCAGAATGGATACTGGAAGCTAACAGGAAATGGCTAGTCATCCCCATTCCTGGGTTTCCTCATAATGTCACACTCCATGTTTGTTCTTTCCTCATTTGGATACTGTCCCATCCTGTACAGTTTCTCAGAGAATGAGCCCTGATAATGGATTATAATTGTAGCACTCTCCACCATTACAGGCCATGATGATCCACTCACCAAACAAAGTGCAACCAGCATGGAGGGAGTCATTAATATAATCAGGAACTGATTAGAAATGAAAATTCTCGCCTGTACCCATTAAATCTGAATCATAGAGATGAGGCTCAGGAGTATGAGCATTGACAATCTCCTGGAAATCCTGATGCAGCTCAAGTTCAAGAAGCAGTTCTGGGTATTGATGGTTGGAGACTCTTACCTGGACCCATTACCCCAAAGTCATTGAGTTTGTCACCCAAAAAGGAAGTAACCTGCCTACATTTCCCAACCCCTAACTTGTCACATCCTATGAGACAGAAGCCAACAGAAAGGTGACCTCTTGAGAGGCCTGCCAGGATCACTGAATCTATAGCAGAACCCCTTTGCTCTTTACCCAGAACATCCTGTACTTACCAGAAAGGAACTTACCACAGTTCTGTGGGACACATTTACTAGTTTGGTTCACTCATTTATCTGCCTTAGCCTGCAAATGCCAAGGTGCAGAAACTATGCTATATTTATCACCTTTGTGGTCCAGCAACAAACATATTCACCTACACATAGGGAAGCTCGGAAAATTGTGCTGACTAGACATTGGGTGGGGACCAAAACAATTGTTTGGCTGTTCAGGGGTTAACATGTAACTAAACAGATTTCTCACCTACCTGGAAGGCCACTGAGTCGTTTTTGCTGTTCTGTGACAAAAGAAAAGAACACCCAGTGTGAGATTTATACAGCATATAGTAAAATCAACAAGTCCTGGCATAACTAGTTAGAATTCCAAACTCTGGTGCTCACTGTCCTCTGAGCTTAAATACTAAAATGCACAGCCCAGCTGAAGGCAGAGATAATATCATCCAAGTGCGACCCCTCCCACCCCCACCCCTCCCGTATCTCCCCATCTCCAAATCTGAACTGGTATGTGGATTGCCAAAGTTTTCTAGCAGTTTACATCTTGCCTTACATCTTGTCACTTAAGGAGAACCCTCCCAACCCCTCTGATTTCACGTGAATGGGATCTTATATGATCCTAACCTTGGCATCTTTTGAGAAAAACATGATTAGAATTATAGCTATGGGAGCCACTATTTCCTGAGGGCTTACCAAATGTATGACCATGGTTTTATTTTGTTTTGGTTTTGGTTTTTTTGGAAGTACTGGGGATTGAACTCAGGCCCTTCACCTTGAGCCACTCCTCCAGCCCTATTTTTGTGAAGGGTTTTTTGAGATAGGGTCTTGTGAACTTTTTGCCTGGGCTGGCTTCCTCCTGAGTAGGTAGGATTACAGGCATAAGCCACCAGCACCCAGCACGCCTGACCATGTTTTAAGAGTTTTTACACATAGCTCTTACAATCTTAGCAACAACCCTGGCAATTAGGTATAATTATTTTCCTCATTTTACAGCCTTATTCACTATAACAATCTGACTGGTCCAGAGTAAAGGTGATGTACTAAAAAAAAAAAAAAATTCAGCATTAACCAAGAGACCTCAGATAAGGGGCTCAAATAACTGATGATAACAGCGAAAATCATCTAAAACCAAAATCCCCCAACTCATATTCCAGGATTCTTTTTAAGTCTAGTCACCAACCCCCCTCCCCGCCCCCTGCCCCGCATTGTCCTTAACACCGAAGATCTCTTGATTGCTTACCCTCCTGGGCAACTGTGTGGAGGGGAGGCCAACATCTCCTTTGGAGAGTCCTATGTGTACTTGCTATGTGATAAGCACAAAAATGACCTTTACCTTCCATAGCTGCTAAATATAAAGCAGCCACATAGATAAAAATAGAATATTTGCCAGCCCATGGGAGCTGTCATCATCTCCCTTGGCCACATTCCCATCTTCCCACTAGAATCATTGTGGGCAAGAAGTAAACAGATCAGCATGAGAGCTTGTAGTCCATGGAAGTGACAGCTGCCCACCTATGGTGTGTGGATGGGGTTCACACCAATTGGACAAGACACCCAGTGGAACTCCAGGCTCAGCTCTGTCAGCAACTTGCCAGATGACAATAACCAATCTCTCAGCCTCGGTTCCCTCATGTGTGACATCAGGTGCTCTATGGTATCTAAAGTAATCTGTGGTTGCCAAACTATTTTGCAGGCTGCTGTTGGGCCCTCCCAAGCCAGCAGAAGCAAATGCACACAATTTAAAAGTCTATGCCACTTCCACTTCTGAGGTGTAAAATAGCCTTTCGTTCATAGCATGTCACACACAATAGAAGCTATTTTTCAGTAGTTCTATTCAGAAAGCTAGAAGTTAACAGCACTAGAGTGATCCCTAGACTGTTTGATATGTACACAGATACATTTGGGAACCTTCAAATGTTTCCTGTCCAGTGCAGTCCAGTGCCAGCAGCACTAACAGGCCCAGCAGGCTTCCCAAAAATACAGAATCTCATTCTTGTCCCCTCACCTGGTCCCAAGAGCTCCTAAATTTGAACCCTGAAAAGTTAATAAGACTTCTCAGATCTGATGTATAGTAAAGACTGAGAAACCCTGAGCAAGGGGACCTATATGCCTCTTTTAGTCCCGAAAGTTTCATGATTCAAATCTCCCTTCCCAGACTCATGATACATAATTTGTCCTAAACTCACATAGTATGAAACCTCAGGAAGGAGGGGAAAAGGGACTGATGCTCACAACCATCAGTGCCAGGCCAAGGTTCAGTGCCCCTCTGTTCTTACTAGGGGAGGTTGGCTTGGAAAGGCAGGATTATCATCAGATTGTGCCCTGAGACAGTCTAGGTAGAAAAAAAAAAGAACTTTTTTTAGGATGACTAAACCAAAATTTCAGAAGTGGAGCAAAGTTATCATTCCTTTGGGAAACTGCAATAGTTGAGAAGTTGTTCTTCTGGGTACTGTCTATGAAGTGAAGCAGAGCTGCTAGGATTGGGTAAATTTCAAAGCAGTGCTAAAAACGCTTGACCTAAACCCAATTTATAATTAATAATACAGAGCTGGACAGGCCAGGCTTTTCCATTCATCTCTACTCTTCCTGTCCTACCTGATAGTGAACACATGGTTTTTCTCTTTATGGGAAGCTACCATTTAATTCCAAAAAACTACTTCATTACTTACATCCTTTTCTGAAGGATGTGTGTCTCAGGCTGCACAATTCTGATTTCTAAATCCAAAGGCATGAGTTGGCCAAAAGAAAAAGGCAAGAACAAAAGGTATTTTGGTAAATAAGAGGAACTCACTTATTCAAGGAAGAAATAAAGAGGAACTGCAGGCATTTCTGTGCCTAAAAATGTCTCACTAGGTGTTTTCAGAGGGACTTGGAAAAAGAAGCTGACATAACACTTGGCATTTCCCAAAAACCAAGTTGCCTTGGGAATAAATTCCATTTTTAAAGAAACTGCCTTTTCTTCTGGAAACTAACTTGCTTCTGCTTGACTAGATTGTTTTTTTTAAATGAGTCATAAAGAAGCTCATGGAGAACCAAAATTTCACTTTGTCCTGCATTAGACACTCTCTAAGCAAGAAGAGCTACTGCCAGTAAAGATGATGGCACAGCTGGAAGAAGAATGAGCTCATTTAGTGTGGGCCTGCATCCTGCCCCATCTTTTTGTGAAGAGCACAGATTCATGAGTGAAAATTAATATGAGAGCCACACATAGTGCAAAATAAATAAAACTACTAAATCAACTATGTAAGATTTGAGTGGGAATATCTTAAGTTAGAGAAAATGTTTTACGCATCTATTTTGCAAGTCAGAAGCTGGAAACAGACAACTCTATTTAGTATGGAAAACAATTAAAAATAGACTCCAATCCCACTCTCATCCCAATTAATGCAGAGAGGGAGGGGCTAGGAAGGGGAGGAATTATGAAGTAGGTGAGGAGGGAGTCAAGAAAACGAAGATTTGGAACAAAGCCTTGAGGTCTGAACAGAATAAGTAAACCTTCACCATTCTTTGAATTCATATTGAAAAGCCCTTTATACATTAGGAGATAGCCTGAAAACTTTCCATTTCATGCTACAAAGGACTTTTGTAAAGGGGAGGTTTCTCTTCTATGGGATCCCCAATAGGAAATTTTGGGATTTAAAATCATTGCCTGGAATTTTAAAGAGGTAGGATCAACATATACAATTATTACTTTGAAACTCTTGTGTTTCAACAAACAAGGCCCCTTGAAAGTTGTGTTAGAACCAATCAGAACAGTCAGAAAAACTATAGAAACCAAACATGGAACTCTAACCAGAGAGAATCCTTCAGAGCACATGAAGTAGGCATGAAGAACCACATGAACCCTAGTAGTCACAGAGAATCCCAGTGAATGCCAGCCTAGGGCCAGTAACCTCTAAGAAGAGGTCCAGTGAGTCACTAGGAGAAAGTCTCATTGCCTTAGTTTTAGAGGCACAAAAACATTATATTTTAGAAACTTTTCTATTCAATATGTTTGCTTTTTAAAATTTCATACTTAAAATTATGCTTTCTAGAAATTTACCATGTCAAAGAACTAAATCATTTATGATGCTGCTTAAAAGAGGTATTATTATATCTATCTTTTTAAAAGCAAAGCCTCATTAGAAATTTAATGATAACACTGATACTCTATCAGTAATATCACATACCATAAGATGTGAAAGTAGAAGATATAAGGATATGTATTGACAACTGTTGAAAAATGAGGGGAGGGAGGTAAAGGGATAAGGGAGAGTATTCGAAGAGATTGAACAGACCAGAGTAAAGCACATGCCCAGTGAGCATACATTGAGACACCCCTTTGAACATCAACTTAAATATCAATAATGAAAATCAGTACTGAAAAATAGGCACAGTGTGTGTGGAGTGGGGGTACTGGTGGGAAGGAGAAGGGTGAAGGAAGGAGATTAAGGTGACGGTATATGGTTGATGGACTTCAAATACCTATATGAAACAGAACTAAATAATTTCTTGCAAATGATTGGGGGTGGGGAGACACGATGGGAGCAATGTAAATAATGCACAATACAAGTCTAATCGGAATTGTCATTACAAATCCCCCCATATAATGAATAGTTCCTAATAAAAATTTACTATGAAAAAATATTTTAAAAAGAAATTTAATGATAAAGAATGAACAGACACAATTTCTCCTCCTTTTTAGTGTGTGTTTACAATTGAAAATAACCATCAATACCCAAGTTCTGAAGCATGCACTGGCACTAGCCCAGCTTATTTACTGAGACACCTGACATCATTCCAAATTAGGGGCCTGTCTGCCTGCTGGAATTGATCTTGAGGATTATGGGAATGAGTAAACTGGGGCAGATGGCCCAGGAAGGGATTGTGAAAATTTCTTGGACTGACAGAATTCTTGCCTCAGATACCACAGAAGGCCTATACTGACACCAGTGAGTTGGGAGGGCGGGGGTGGGGGCACTGTGAGGCTCCCTTACCTCGATTGTGCTGTAAGAGCACAATGGTAGGGTTGACGATTGTGGTAGAGGGGTAGGCAGATGATGGCTTGCTAGCTGATGGAAAAGCTTGAGAATCAGTTCCAATAGGAGAAGAAGAAACTTCACTTAGTAGAGCACTAGAACCCTGGAGGAAAAAAAAAACATACATTGTAAACAACTACAAATAGAAGAAATCTACAGTTAATACTTTTTTAAAAAAAGAAATATAAAGCTTTACAAAAACTTTAATTATAAAAGGAAATCAACAACACATATCATCAGTAATTTCAGTTAGAAGTTTAATTTGGAATGCTTTTTCTCTTTGTTGGTTATTAGTAAGGGGACAGAGGGGAAGGAGAATGTTACTGAAAGTCTTATCAACATCATTTATTATTTTCACCTGGTTGTGGTTCAATCTGGTTACTGAGAAAAGCAAATTCAAATCACGTAGAATAACATGCAAAACTCATGCAATTCCAAATGCGATCCAAGAACAAGAGCTGGCTTAAGTGGGAAAAACCAGGGAAGTTTAGTATACTGTGTAGAGAAATGTGAGACAATGTGAGGACATGAAGTCACTGATGCAGGAACAAGCAAGAGTTCAGTAACAGCATTCTCAGAGAAATCCTGAGCAATTTTACTAGTGTTTGCTTCTGAGATCTGAATATTATCCTATCCTGTTGTGACATTTTTCCACTCCAATATTAAAGAGACAAAGATCCTCAAAGACTTAAGAGAATCCTGACTTCAAAAATCTGAGATCTCTACCAGAAATGCCAATAATAATTTTAAAACTATTATAAGCTGTATGATGGGGATAATGCCAATCTTTTGAAACAAATGAGAACAGCACCCTGATATGCAGTAGGGATATTCAGATAGTTTCCCCATCATATATATATAGATAGATAGATAGATAGATAGATATGTATATGTATATATATATATATGAAATAAAATATATATTTTTTTGGGAGGGCAAAGGTTTTATTTTAGGACTTACAAACCTTAAAGTCAAGATGGCATTCTTAAAGTACATTAATAACAACATTTTGATAGTCACTTTTAAAGCAATTATTACGCCCAGAGGTAAGCTACTGTAAGACGAGGGCCAAATCTCTCTTTTCCTCCTGACACCATCTAGAACAATGCCCTGCAGATAGCAAGTGCTCAGTATGACATGTGAATGACAGGAGCCATCTACCAGCAAAGGCATGTCTGAGCTAATCTTTGTGGCAAAACAACACCTGCTCATCAGAAGTGAGTGTCGGCACCTGGGACAGCTCCTAACACGCAGTAGGGGCTTTACTAACACTGCACGGATCGATTTTCCCTCTTTTCTGGAAGTTCCCTATGTAGCTACTGCTGTTAGTTATGAGCAGCAGATCAATTTCATAGGTAAAACCTTTTCCCAAGACTATGATCTTGTACACAAGTGTATCATCTCAACTCTTCCTATTTATTAACTACTCTTTTCTTAACTTATCTCTTCCATGATTTAATAATGTCATGTTAAAAACACTTCCAGAGTGTACCCAAGAAACACAAAATATCAGCTCTTTAAAGCACAAATGTCTAATATGATGCCTGGGCAGATTGCATGAACATTAAGCATTTTACAAATTCTATTTTGTCTCATTTCTAAAATATTACAAAAACTGTTATTGACTAAAAGGAACTGGATGAATTCGCATGAATTTTATTTCTCCCTCTTATTCTCAAATAGCTGCAGATGGAGCAATATCACCTCATAGACTGGACACCATCCACAGGGACATTCAGTTCGGGAATCCAAGCAGTTTCTTTTTTAACTTCTTACTGTTACCTGAGGCCAAACAAATCAGAAGTTATGAGGCCAACTTCTAGAAAAGATCATTAGTCCAGTCTGAGAAATTGAGGGGACTATTTCAACTAATCTGTCCTGGCACACTTGAAATAAACTCAATATACAAACCTAGATTTACCCAAATAGTAAACTATGGGTTACACAATAAAACTTCTTACAATAGCATATAAGGGCACTAAAATGAAGACTCACTTTACCTGCTGCTCTAGAGAAACACATTCTGCATCTAAGGCAAGATATTTGCATGTCCCAAAAGTAGAGTGGCTTCTAATTCACCTAGAAGCCCTGCTATGGGCAGGGGAGTAAATCCACATCCAGCAGGGCTAAGCTGCAAAGCTCAAAGCTAGAAGGAGATTGACACTCATGGGTAACATCTGGCCTGGTCCTGGCCTAACTACATTGTGCTACACATAGAGATTTGAGAAGAGACTTAGCCCAGGATGTAACACTTCCCAACTTTGGTGTGCCCACTGACTCCTTATAATTTCTCTAATCAGGCAAATAAGAAGATTCCTTCCTACTTTCTACATTACTGGTTTCAGTTTAACAATGCACATTTTGTAGGCATACCTCTTCACACAGAGGATGTCTGAATGTTTAGTTCCATCGGCCAAATGCATGACTCACCAGCTCACTGTACCTCAAAACTGGTGTGTAAACACCCAGCATAAAAATCCTTGGGATCAAGAGAGTCCTAAGCCCCTCCTTAGAGCTACTTCATCAGAAACTCTAGAAGTATAAACTAGACTTCCCTAACCTTCAGATGCTCCCATGAGCACCAACCTTGAGAACTGATACACTACTCCCCAGAGCTATTTGAAAGCAGGGTGTACCTGTGGTACCTAGGAAAATGTCTAGAACATAGTAGAAACTCAATGGTTAATTGTTCATTAACTAGTTGCTTTTGAGTGACTCTGGCTCCTCATTTGAGTCCTCAGCAATACAGTTAACATTTATCAGGTACTTTCTGTGTGCCATATACCACAACAGGAGCTTTTACTACTTCATCTACTTGAACCCCACAGCCCTGTGAGTAGATCCATGTACCCCCAAATTATTGCCCACATTGAGGTTCTTTCAAATTCCTGCCATCTCCAGGGATCTTGAGGAAAAAGGAGACCAATATACTTTGGCTCAGTTTTTTCACTGAACCAGTGGAGCTTTCCCACCTATGAGGGGACTTGCCTTTTCCTCCCAGGGTGGGACCTCAGGGAGGTATCAAGACCCTTCAACTGCCTATAACTCATGATGCTCTGGTTTGCCACAAAGACTGCCAGGACCTCCTTCTCAAAATGCCCTAGCAAGTATCTGCCTTTTGAGAAAGTCCTGACATTTATACATGGCTTTCAGACCCATTTGTTCAATCAAACCTGATTCACTTTTCTTTTAATCCCAGTTGCTGCCACTTCTGTTGTAAAGCAGTTTACTTAAGAGAATCTCCTCCTCCCCAGACCCTCCCTACTCCCTGCTACATGTAGCACCACACCTGCTATTGGCTTTCCACAAGATTCTATAGTTTCCTAAACTCTCAACATTGTATCTGTCTGCCCTATGAAAAGCAGGACCAGGCAAAGTAAAGGCCACAGATGTTTTCTCAGAGGGAAGACAAAGTTCTTTCAGAAAGATGTGCATTCCCAACAGAAGAGGAGGCACTTGAGAGACTGAGCAGCTGCAGGCAACCCACAAGACACACACAGGAAGCATGCACTCTAGGGATGGCACATGAGTCCAGTCAACACACAAGCACAGCAGCAGCCAAGGCTTCCTGAAAACTTAGGACTTGGGTGAGAAAAAGAGGTTTCAGGAAAGCTGTGGGGAGGGAAGTCCAGCAAGCTTACGGTACTTGAGACAGCTCCCGTGAGGTCAGGCTCCGAGACTCTGTGGAGGTCCTCCGGTATGGGAGGGACCAGCGGAGGTGGTGGTGAGAAGGATGGTGGTGTCTGGCTAATGGGGGGAAGGGAGCTGCAAGCACTGGTTGGTTGGCTGTGGTGGGGCCGCCTCTGCAGATGAGGGGGAATGAAATCATCTAGAGTTGGGAAGGTCAGAGGTGAGGTGGCAGGGGCAGTCGCTGGGATACTGTGGTCGCAGCCAAGTAGCCCCAGAGATGCTGGAGGTCTGGCAGTGCCTTCTTGCCCTCTGTCAGTATTAACCAGGTAGAGAGGGACAACTATTACCTCAGGCTGGGCTGGGCTGGAGGAAGAGGCATCCTGTAGGAAATAAGGGGGTCGTTACATAAAGGGGTATGGCAGGATGGAAGGAATTCCATAGTTAAGCAGTTGAGAGTGGACATGCAATGATGTACTCTGAGAAATATTTAATCGGTGCCCTTTCCTCAGAGTACATGAGACAGTCAGTGCTAGCCAGCTGGCCTCCTGACACTCCAAGACACAGAGGGAGCCCCATCCAAGTTTACTTTCCATCCATCTATTTTTGAATCCTTTTCACATTTTATGACAGAGAGAGAGAACAACAGAACAGGCAGGCAGGCTGTGTTTAACCCTACCGAACTGCTGTAGAGCCTGAAAGTTTGGGAGTAAATACAATTTCTTTGGCACCTTGTCATAAAATATAAATATTCCAGGATCTCACCGTATAATTAGTCCATGAATTCCACACTCTGGCACACTTACACACTTACGGAAACGAGGGAGGGAGACAGAAAGAGGTCTGCGCTGAGATGTTTAGAGAGAAGAACTGGGAATTCAAGCTGCAGCAATATTAATGAGGAAAAGGACAGTAGGGCAGCCAAGAGAACTAATCAGCTGCTCACATCAGTTTGAATGAGACAGTATAGAAGACACACAAAGATTCCTAATTTCTTGCCTTGGCTGGATAACACGGCTGCAAAAGGTAAAGTTCTTTGCTCTTCTGGTTTTCGGGATCAGAGGTAACCTGGGGGCCTAGCACAGGTGGTCTCACTGCATCTGGGAATGAAGCCCGAGTCCCCAGGGCAGGACTCTCACCACTGTTACCAGCATCTTTATGGATGTCAAAGAATAGCTTGGGAGGGTCAGGAGGAGGAGCAGGGGGTGGTTTTCCTGTGCCGGCTGTGGCTGTGTGAGGGACAAGGCTTGGAGCTGGTGCTCGGGTGCCTGCAGCCTCCAAGGGAGTGTCTTTGGCTGAGTCACGTGCAACACGAGAGGAGTTTTCTGATGCCGCCCAGCAAATGTTATTGGATAAACAAGGTACATATAAGCTGCTGACCTTTCTATTCCCAACAGCCTCATGACATAGGTTAGAGCTCACATTCTTACTATAGACTAACCTGTTGGCTGCATAGTGGTGCTGGGGTTGGGATGAAGCACTGGGGACCATGGAACCCAGAAGCAAGGGACCCGGACACACCGCATCTTTAGGAAGCGATCTAGTTGCCAGAGGGACAGAGATGGACTGGGGTTGTGTGGGGTTCTGCTGGCTGGGGGTGCTGACATAAGGCTTTGGTGAGCTCATGTACAGGGAGTCCTTGTAGGTATTGCAGGTGGTAGGGGGCTGCCATGCAAAGCGGTCCTTTTGAGGGAGGAGAAGGCGTGGGGGAGACAGAACCTTTAGTAATATTTTCAGGACATGATATCACAACAGAAAAAAAAGAAAGGAAGAGGAGGGGAGATGGAAAGAAGGATGACCATTAGAAACAGCAACATAATGTGATCTGACAACAAAACAACTCATAACACTTTTTAAGCAAATCCTCACAGTTCTCTTCAGGGCAAAGCCAAGGACTGACTCAAACTCACCTGCAGAGATTGGTCTGACTCACATCCGAGCCCAGCCTAGAACCGGCCAAGTCACCATGAACACCAGTCCTTGGTTGGCTGCATCTTTAGCAACCTCCTGTCTAACAGGGTGCCCAAGGAACCAAATGCCAATGGAGGGATCCCCAGAGCCCCCCTTTTCTCTCCAACCTCTTTGAGATTTTTCCCTTTAAGCTTTTAGATTTAAGTGTAAATTCACTAAAGTCCTCTGAGTGCCTTTTATTCTTTTCCCTTAGGAAAAAGAGAATTTGAAAAATTATCCTTATTTATGTTCACAGGACACAGATGTCTTCATTGAGCCACTGAGGTTCAGCTCTAAATTCCACAAGCATAACAAATTAAAGCTCACCAAGAAGAGGATGTTAAGGACTTTGAATCTACATGTGTTCTTTTCTCAGAGGAAATAATCTGATGGAACCAATTATCAGAAGGAAGAGAATGAGGTGGATCTCAGTGATAGATCACTTGTCTAGAGTGCATAAGGCCCTGGGTTCAAACCCCAGCATCACAAAAGGGAGAGGGGGAGGAAGATAGGTATGATATTAAAAGCATGTCATTTCCCATTTTTGATGGATTCAGAAAAAGGGACCAAATGATGTAACACATAATTGGCCTATGGAAGTGGACTGTACCTGATTTATCTAATTTCAGTCCCAGCTGAATCCTATAGTTGTAGGTGATAAACCTCAGTCATAGCTTAAGTCCAAAGCTGTAGTTACAGGTTCAGAGCTATAGAGTTCATATCTCCTCCCTCTCCCCTCAACACTGCTCCTCTCACTGGGTCTCAGTGGGGCAGAGGGCCAAGAAGTGAAGTGACTCCCCAGTCTGATCCTTCTTGGCCAATCTGTGACTCCACTGTGAATCAGATCAGAAGATGAGAAGAACTGATGTTCCTAGACTTTCTGCATTGGTCCCTATCTTTACAGCTATCCCAGCACTAATTGAAAACCAGAACCTTCCTCAAGCTGCATAGGTGAGGGATATTAGAGTTTGGTCAATATCTGTAAGTGTATTATGACCAAAAACTAGGCAAGATCATGGAACTATCTTGGGGTGCTTTAAATTTTATTTTTACAATTTGTAGAGTAAATGTAGAAAGGGGGAGGGATGTTAGAAAAAGTGAATAGATAAGAAATTTGAAAAGTTTTACTTTTGATTAGACTACTGACTCACAAAGAGCAAATAACCCATCCTTTGAACTCAGCTTTCAGGTTATAAATAATTTGGGTGGAAAAGTAGCTATCTGAGTATTTTCAGCTAACAGATGCCCTTCCTGTCCACTATGTGCCTACAATAGTGTCAGTGGGATATGGCCAGAGATACCAGCCAAAAATACAAAATGAACAGCCTCTCTCTGGTATAGAGCAAGAATGAAAACTTTCAGATGAACTCCCTTGGCTCAGTGGACTTGGACTAGAGGTTGGGGCATGTTTATAATCTAAATGATGCTCTCCAGAAACAAAACACTTGGATTAGCACACAATAAAGGACTGCCTAGTAAACTGATAGCATTTGTTGAGAGGTAAGCAAAACACTTTAATTCAGGCTCAGATTTACTTCTACTTTGAGCTCCAGTGCCTTGCATATGATTTCTTCTTGTCCAAAGATAGAAATCAGTTTCAATGAGTTTTTAATTTAACTCAAGCCATGGCCATATATGGTACCAGGACTGTATTACACCCGGCACGAGACTCCAGGGATTGTGACCCTGCAGAGAGGATGCTTCCCCAGAATGTTCACAATGCATTCAGAGCCAAGGGACTTCCTGTCCTGTGGCTTCTTTTAAGCCTAAAGAAAGAGGAAGGAGGATAAACACAGTGACTTTATGCAAAGGACCTACTTTTTGTTTTATTGTAAACACTGCAGCAACCACACAGTCATTCTATATTCCTGCCAAACTGCCTACTAATGTAATTCCACTTATCTTTTTTTAGAAGGTAGCTCAGTGAATAAAAAATTAGGCTTCTTGAAAAATTTTGTATGTTTAGTTCACACAGTTTCAGAAACTACCAATCTTCTCTACCAGGGCTCACCATGGTGAAAATAACATGACAAAGAGGGAAGACTTGGTTCCCTGCTCCTGGGGAGAGGAGGGTGGCATGTCCAAGCTGGCAGGACAAAAGATTCCCATGTGGCTCACTAAGTCATGTTTGCATTCAGAAAATAAATCTAAGATATACTACATGACCTAAAGTTCCTTAAAATTCAGAGGGCCAGTTTTACACTCATAGGCAGAAAAGAACCTCTATATCAGCCATTTGTCACACTCCCATTAAGGCCATTTAAGAGTCCCATTAAGAGTGACAGATAAGAAACTTGATATTTGTGGAGATATCCTGGGATGTTCACCTTATCATAAAGCTCACCCATATAAACTCCTTGAGAGCAATGTTTAACACAGTGATCCGAACACAACACAGGTACACAATAAAGCCATCTTAAATAAAGAGAGGGAAAGGAAGAAAGACTGGAAAACCAACCTAGAAAGAAAGGCCTAAGAAAATGATGCGTACTCCAAGTTGTACAGCTTTGGGGGATTTTCTGTTGTAGAGTAAAGCTAGGCTGTGCTATGACTGTGACTTCTGTTTACAAGCTCCTGGGCTGCTGGACTTAGGGTCTGGTCACAGTTACCTGATCTTAATCTGTAAGGATACAGTTGCTGGAACTCTTACAACCCCAGTTCCAGAAAATTAACAGAATACACACCAGAGGCACTCCTTTTTTTAATATTCCACTCTATAAAGAGTTTTAAAAACAGTGCAGACTTTTTCCTACTTATTCAAGGTTAAATGAATTCTTTCTTTCAGAACATTTTCACATACCTAGAAAACATCAAGCCTATTCCCAATACCCTAATATAGACGAACCTCTTCCTATACCTCTGTTCCCCATGACCCCAACTCCTAACTCTAGTCCTTGAAGAGCTTTTCCAGAGTAGGCCAAAGGCTTGACCACTATTCATAATCCAGTTGAGCAAGCAGAGAGTCACAAGTCTAGGCCACAAGAATCCAAACAGGTACCACTCACCAGCTCCCGCTTTGCCCTGGGCACACGCCTACCTTGGGCTTGTCGGTAGGAAGGCTGGGATGCACACTTCTGTAGCCCTTGGCAGCAAGTGAGGAAGGTTGGGCATTTCCATTAGCATCAGCATTAGAAGAAAGCTTCCACTCATCTGAAAGATGACAAAAGCAAAAATAAATAAATAAAGCTCTGTCACTTACAAGGGAACACTCCCTGGTTTTCCTTTAATTCAAGGATCCATGGTAGAAGGCAGGGACAAGTAAGAATGCAAGAGAAACCATACCTGCTGAAGAATTCTCTGGCTCCAGATCTATATGTGGGGCAGAAAGGATAAAAACAAGGAGAAAAGGGAAAAAGCAGAAATGGTTATATTTGTGGGAAATAAGCACGAGCTACACAGAAGGATGAAAACCCAGCACCCTGTTGTCTGACACAAAATACCCTCAGTCACGACGGCTTGATTACCATAGGAACCCACTTGAAACCATGATGTACTCACAGGCGCTGACCTTTGAAAATACAAGGCTTATATTCACAGGAATGAAGAAACAATTGTTCCTTGACATTCTTATTTTACAGACAAAATGGCAACTGAACTCTCCAGTGTCCAGTCCCTACTCACTAACTTTCATTTCTCAAGCCGACTGTGGGCTCAGAATGGCTGCTCCTCCTTAGCAGGCTTGGATAATCCTTTCCAGACCCTGGAAAGGAAGTGGGTAGGCCTTTTTTTCCAGGGGTGGTGTTGCTGCACTAGTGATAGTACATGATTTAAGCACAAATATATCTGCTGTGATAGGACTCTTGTTTTTGAGGGGGGGGTGTTTGCTCTTCTCCTTTCCATTACATAAAGATTCAAAATCTAATCATTCCTGAGCATTCATAATACTATAAGGCACCCTTATATCTCTTCAGCCTTCCCAGTCATTGCCCGATGCATTTCAGGGTCCCTAAACTCCCAATGTCACCCAATCAGCACCATGAGTCAGCAGCACCCAGTGGTCATATGCTTAGCTGGTAAGGCAGCTGGACTATAGTTCAAATTTTGGATCTACCACCTATGGGCCCTATGACTCTGAGCAAGTTATAAGCTTCAACCTGCCCATCTGAACAATGGGGATAGTGATATGCCTCCTTTATCAGTTATGATAATTAAATGAAATAAAGCATGTGAATTGCTTAGCACACTGCCTGGAAAAGATCAATAAACGTCTGCTATTTATCATCTTCTTCTGCGTCATCTCTGGTCTTGATAATCCACCTAGTCCTGGGGTCCACAAACCTTTTCAATAAAGGACAAGATAATATATATTCTAGGTTGTATGGGCCACATGATATCAGTACAACTAAAGGTGGAACATCCCAGCCTGAAAAAAAAATCTGTAATGCTCCAAAGTCTGAACCTTTGTGAGTACCAACTTGTTGCTACAAGTAGAAATTTCACACCTGACCTCATGTGATGGGTTGCAGTCAAAATGCAGGTGTGCTAAAAATATTGTATAAAACTGCCTTAGGGCTACATATATGGTGTATGTGAAACATAAAGGAACTTTACATTTAGACTTGAGTCCAATTCATTATGCATATACTCCAAAATCTGGAAAAAAAATACCTCTTGTTCCAAGCATTTCAAATAAGGGACACTCAAACTGTGTCTGACTCTGCCATCATAGTACAAGAGCAGCCATAGGCAGCATGGAAATGAATGAGCATGGCTATGCTCCAATACATCCTTATTTATGGACACTCAAATTTGAATTTCATATCATTTCATCATTCTTTCCATTTTCCTTCCAATCATTTAAAAAATGTAAAAACCATTCTTAGCTCACAGGCTGTACAAAAATATGCATGGGCTGAATTTTACACCATTTGCCAACTCCTACCCTCACCAATCCTTTAACTTTCTTCTTCCTGCTTGTGTCTTTTTGTCTCACCTATGTAGAGTTAAGGAGGGGACTAATACTGCAGCTTTCATAGCCCTAGTCGCCACTTAAATGTGGGTCCCTCAGGGATAGAGACGGACTTTCTGATGTCAAATTAAGATATACAAACATTTAATAAATACCTTCCAAATGCCAGAAAATTACACTTTTACACCTATCTAGTATGCTACTTCATGGATGAGAAAAAAAGAGAGACCAACTGATTTACTCAAAGTCACAAAGTCTCACACTGGAAGAGAAAAGCAGTCAGCCCAGGTCTCCAGAATCCAAGTGCAGTGTCCACCACATTCAGCTGTTCATCACATCAGCCACAAAGTAAAACCTACATTGCAGAGCTGGGTACAGTGGCTTATACCTGTAATCCCCTCTTAATCAGGAGGTGCAGATTAGAGGATCACAATTTCAGGCCAGCCCAGGCAAAAAAGTAAGACCTGTTTCAACAAACAAGCTGGTCATGGTGGTACCTAACTATAATCCCAACTATGTGGGAGGCACGATGGAAAGAATGTGGTCCATGGCTAACTCTATCTGAACAATAACCTAAAGCAAGCAGGGCTGGAGGCATGGCTCAAGTAGTACAGCCCTTGAGGTCCTGTGTTCAAACTTCAGTAGCACCCACTAAAAAGCTACATTCCAGGGCAGAAGTGGTGGGAGCTAAAAGGTGTCAGAGCAAAAGGTAAGGCAGGCGTGAAGTTCTCAGGCCCTAAATCTATGAGCAGCATGATGTAGGTGCATGAGAGTTACAGAGCTGGTCTTTACCAAGACCAACTTTTCTGATACAGTAGGTAAGAAGTGAGGCCCAAGAACTGATGCCGAGGCTGGTGGTCCACAACCTACACTTTGGGAACCACTGACAGAAGGAACACTCAAAAATATCCTTATTAACCGCCCCCTCAAAACAGGGAGATTTTAAAAGATGACTCAGTTATATACTCTTTCAGCAGTTAACATCTCCGCCCCTTCCTTATAGACAATTCAGTTATTCGTCTTCTCTCCCCTACAACCACAACCTTGGGAAATTTACAAGACTTGTTTTTTGTTCACATTCCTGCAATGGTCTGGCTTAGGTGATCAGGAGCAAGTTAACCACACCAAATTTCAATTTCTTATCTGTGAAATATAATCCGTATCCCCATGTACTCCTCACAGGGTTGCTGAGGAGTCAGATCATATATGTGACGTGAAAGTGACTATATCTAACACTGGTGCTGCCATCTAGGTGCCTAGCCAAGAGAAACCTTCACACCTGGCAGGACCATGAACATAGGTAACACACTGTGACCATAGTCCTCCATCCTCCCTCATGTTATCACTTTTACCATCCCATCTTCTTTTCTAAGTTGCTATTTATAGACCAGCTTGGTCATTCTTCAAATGCAATGGTGTAATACACTAAATATTAATAGGTTCTGAGTGAGGCTATTCAATGAAGGAGGTAAACTTTGCACATGGATTTGGGGACACATTATTTTGTTCACTTTTTGGTTCCCAGTTGGGTTGGTTCTATTCAATTGACACTGGCAAACAGATGTGTCATGGAAAGTTGAGGTGTGACTGTCCTTCCAAACATGTAGGTATCATAAAGGGACCATCACCTTGTCATCAGATTACCTCCCATGAGCCCAACCCTGTCTTGTTAACTACATATACTGCAGTAAGTAGCCTAGTCTCTCCTGTAAAATGGCCATGGATTCTTTTGAATCACAAAGATTAAATGAAAGTACATGACATAAAGTGTGGGTTTTATAAAATCCAAAAGCATGGGGGAAAATTCCCCCTGTAGACATAAATTACAATCATTAACTCCTGTCCTTTGATAAATAGCTTCAAACACAAAATATCCTTGGGGAATGACTCATTTTTTCTCATTCCAAATCTTAAAAACTGTTCCTCTTACCATGCCCCAGAAGGATGGCTCCCAGGACCTCTTTAAGTGGTCCTGTATTCCTTATTAAAGGAGAGCTGTATCTCCGACATTTCATCACCCCTCATCTGTTAGTTTTTCTTCTGAACCTGAAACGCTGGTAGCAGCCCAGAGCCAACTGTGCCTGAGTGCACAGGATGAAATTTTATATACATAATTATCCATTATTAGTTACTGATTGAAGAGACTGTCAAAATGCTTCTTTCAATAAAATGTTACCTTAGAGCTCTTGAGGTAGGAGGGAGCCCTTGAAAAGAAGGTGGCTCATAGATTTTGCAGCCCTGAAGAGATTTAGCCTTTTTGCAAGAAATATTATCTATTTTGTCTTATCTTTTCTTCTACCCACTCTTTATATACAATCTTTTCTGGCCTGTGGCTGTAAGCCTCCTGATATTTTCTTTTATCTCATTCTGTGTTAATTTCATTTTGGTTTCTACTTTTTTTTTTCTTGTTTTGGGAGGGAAGATAATCAGTTCTTGGAATCTTTGGGTACTTTTCACTGAGTTTGTCTCAATGTGATATGGTAGGCCCTCAAGAGGTAGATAACAGGTGTTAAAAGTAAGTATATGAGCATTCTAAATCTTATTTGTGTTTATCTTTTATTCATGGTGTGTAGTAGAGAATTTACCCAAGAAGAGGTAGATCTTGCTTTTGCCCTAGGCTTCTGGGAGGTAATTGACAAGTCTATAGAATGCCACCCCTGATAGGAATATCTTTGTTTATCTGGGAGCTTGATCCACATCAATAGTATATTTGGGGTCAGGGCTTTAAGCCAACAAGAACTTATTTCCTACTGGAGTAGAGACAGATCCACCAGGTGGGCAATGGAGTATGCCTGTTTATGGGAGTTCCAAAATAACTCTCGACACAAAGTCTTAGGTTAACTTTCTGTTGCAATACCCTGAGCATACTGTCATATATCAATGTTGGGAAATAGTGTGTCCTGACTCCATTGGGAGAAGACAATGGGAGCCTCTGGTACTTCCCTAAACTCCACACTACATACTGTTCTCGTGGATGATTTTAATATCTATCCTTTCTCTTTAATAAATCATAAGTGTGACTCCCTCTAGCATTACCATTGAATCTAAGGGTGGTTTGAGGAATACCCTAAATTTGGAGTTGTGTCAGAAGTGAGGGTACTCCCTTGTGGGGACCTTTCCCTCCAGCTTCTCAGTCGGCCCTAATTCTTACACATGTACTAACAATAAAGATTGATTTAATGGGGGTAGGAAGTACCTTTAACTGCTTCAATGTTAATTTTCTTCTATCTGTTTACTACTGCCAATCTGGAGATCAAATGTAAGAGTCAAACCAGAGGAAATGAGTTGATGTGGGCCCAAGAACCTTTATGTCCAAAGCTAACTTTGCAGCAAAGAATCAGGTTGTAAGGGTTGGAACCAAGTAGCACAGAGTTAACAAACCAGAAGACCAAACTGGATCTTGGAGTCTGAGAAGACCAAACTGGATCTTGGAGTCTCAAGCCACAAGGTCTTCAGGCCACACCAGACAGGAACTTGGTATTGGGCCCACTACCAAACCAGCTCAGCCTCCCTGTCTCCTCTTGAGAAAAACTATGACCTCGGATATAGGTGGTATCACTCTGAATGGGCATGGTCAACACCTAGACTTGGCCAGGCAATGAGCTCAGGAAACAAGCATAAAGTAGTGAATCTTCTCCCGGGGCAGGGAGTCCACTATTAATATTATTGCCATTCTTTTTTATTCTTTTTTTTTTTTGGTGGAACTGGGGCTTTAAACTTGTAAAGCAGGTACTCTACCACTTGAGCCACACCTCCATTCTTTTCATGTGGTTCTGAGCCAAAAACTAAGGTCTACAATCAGAGATGAGAAGGCTCGTCAAGAAGGTGTGGTCAGGCACCTGGGGTCCAGCTATCACTTGAAAGTCTGGAGAGGGGGCATCTCCAAGGGCTCCAGCCTATTTTTGTCAGGGCTGATACTCACATTTACTCTCCAGATTGGCAGTAGCAATCTAACTCAGAGGATATCTTCATCCTCCAAAGTTCACTTGGATGCACATGGCTACCGAATCCATACTCTGTACTCTAAATTTCCAAATGCCCACTAGAAACTTTCTTCTAGAAGCCCTTCCCTTGTTAAGAAACTCAACATGTCTAAAAATGGAATTCCACATTCCTTTCAACATCCCTCACAAATCCCTAATCTTTATGAGTGACACACTTCTTCCCCTAGAAAACCAGGAGGATAGCACCTCCTGGTCAGCCTGGAGTCCTGTCTCCTAGTGAGCCCTACTATTTCATGCTCCCGAAGACACTTTTTTTTTTTTTTTTGTGGCACTGGGGTTCGAACTCAGGGCTTCATGCTTGTTAAGCAGGTGCTATTACTGCTTGATCCACTCCTCCAGTCCCTCGCAAAGACACTTTTAACACTGTTCTTCATCCCCATTGCACTCACACCTGGCCCAGGCCCTCATGACTTCAAACTGACATTGTTGTCAAACCTTTACCAGCTTTCTAACCTACAGTAACTTCAATGATTACCATTACGGGCCTGGCTTTGCCAATGCTTGCTAGAAAAGAGCTCATTTAATTCCAACAACTCCATCATGATAGTCTTTATTTTATAGATGAGGAAACTGAACTCACCTATGGTTACTTATTTGCCCACATTACAAAAATAATAAGTGGCAGAGTTGAGTCTGGCAGAGTTGAGCCTGACAGAGTTGAGCCTGACTCCAGAGTTATACCACCTCTTTAGGAACAGGGAGTTGGAGCAAGGACTGAAAACAGGGGGTACCTCTAAAATGAGGATATGAGGGACCATTTAAATACTGAAACTTCCAGTCTAACCAAATAGTCTGCAACTTGGAAACCTGTAGCAGTGGAAGAAGATGACAAACCCAGAGAACAGAGAGGAGACAGACAGAACACCTGGGAGACAGATGCTGGCCCTGGTGATAAGGGAAAAAGCTGGACACCATCTGCCATTAGCTAAACTACAAAGGCAATGGTAGTAGGAAGAAGACCCAATCCTTGGCAAGAGCCACTCACTGCCTCACACTCAGGCTCACAGTCTGGGCTGGATATGGCTGTCTACAAATACTGCTGAAGTGTTTTCATTAGGCCAGTCAAGGCCTAGGGGCTCCCAGGCCCCAGCATAGGTCTGGAGATTGGTGTGGGCTAGCTGATTGTCATGCTGAGGTTCATAAGGAGGGAGTAGGTCATGATGAAAGGATGGTGGAGAGCTGCATGGACACAGCCAGAATCGAGAGCCCATGAGAAACCAGCCAATGGGCAGTATGGTAAGAAGACCAGATCCTAATGTCTGTCTGTACATTCATATCCTTTTTAATCTCACTCCCCAGAATAAGCTCATTTCACCCAGTTTTGTACTTTTAATAAGGACCTGTGGGGTTTTTTTTTGTCTTGTTTTGTTTTGTTTCCTCTACAAAAACCCAACTTGTTCCCTTCACCTAGATTGCTGAGTATAAATCTTGAATTTATCCCAGTCAATGAGATTCTATCTGTGCAAGGTTAATTTCCAAACTTTCCAAGGTCATGAAAGGAACCAGACAGGCTCAAGTCTCTCATAGTCACTGTGACTTATCACAGCCAGTAAGGAGAGCGGTGGCCCACAAGCCCATGCCTGACTCTTCTATTGCAATAAACTGCCATTTGCCCTCACCTAACTCCCAGAATCACGCTTTTCCTTTTCTCTCATTTCCTCCTTTATTCAGTTCTCATAAGTCCCAGTGATGTGCTTAGCACCTGGCACACAGGTGATAAGTGAATGTATGATCATTTGGATCCAGGAAGAAGATACTAAGATTAATTTACCTCAAAGTGAGCAGGACTGATAGTTATCCCTTAATTCTTCCAAGTATTTGCATTTTAAAACAATTTGGTGAAGAAATGCTGAACAGGATTTGGTGAAATATTTTTCCACCAAAATTAGTTGGTTGAATTATCCTAGGACAAGACAGCACTTCCCAGACTGCCTAAATCCACACCCAGTTCTGTAGCACACTGTGTCCTCTATTAGCCCCAACTGTAACCACTAGAGGGAGCTCAAGGCTCCTTCTCCACCACCTCATTTACTGCCTGAGGATGGGGCAGATTAAGGTAGTCACTGGGCTACAGGTGTGGCTTTTCTCTTTGGACCATCCCTTGGTATTCTCTCTTCCCCACATATCCTCCAGAGCTTGGGACCCGAATATTCCCAGTTTGGCTTGGAGAGGCTGGTGTAGGTGAGCCTTAATAAGGAATAAATCTGCCTTTTCTCTGACCTTTTGGGTCAGGAATCAGGTATGGATTTAGGAGTACAGGACCAAAAAGCTACTCCATCAGCTTTTACTGCTGTAGACTGCTCAGGCCTTCTCTAAGCCTAGTAACAAAGAACCCTCCACTGGGATCAACATTACCAGTAAGGGGCTTATGCTCAAACTCTATAGCTTGGCTGCATCCTTAAGCATCTGCCTTGGCACCTGTTACAGGTGATTGGGAGAAAGTTTCCAGGTTGCTAGGCACTGACCATCTGCACCCTAGGTAATTTCCCCTTATCACAATATATCCTCCTACTCTACCAAAAGGATTTTGTGCCCTACTTCCGTTCCTCTCTGATGCTAAGGGAGTGGTCAGCTTCCAGTACAATCTCTCTCTTCATTTCCTTCAAGAAAAAGGGAAAAACCCAGTCTCTTTCACAGCAGTTCTCAAATGTGGCCCTTGGGTCAACAGTATTAGCATGGCCTAATGACTTGTCAAAAATGCAGATCTCCCACCCCAGACCTACAAACAAGAATTACAAATTCTCAAACTCTGGACTGGGTCCAGCCAACATGTCTTTCTATTCCAGAGTGATTCTGATGCAGAGAGAGCAAGATAACCACAGCCCCACAGTGTTGAGAAGGGTCACCCCACCCCAAACTAACTCTGCCTATGGAACTGAAAACTTAGCATTTCCCAATCCCAGAATTCTGGAGTGGGCTATAGAAAGCCCTCTCCAGAAAGGCCAAAATCATCCTAATCCTAATCTAACAACAGAGGCTAACACCAAACAGCTTATTCCTGGCTACCAGGCCTGGTACAAATCACTGCACATCCTTCTCGCTCACAATAATCCCAGGCAGCAGGTGCCTTGATCAGCCCCATTCCACGGATGAGATCATTAGGGTCGAGAGAAAGATTAACTCCTCCAAGGCTGCACAGCCACCAGCTGGTGGAGGCAGGATGTGAACATAGATCTCCCACCTTCCAAAGTTCCAGGTCTAAACCTCAACACTATATAGTAAACACCCAGGTTACCTGGGCTATGGATCAGAGTAGGTGGGGGCTTCCCATGGGCTCCTAACCTGCACTGACCTTCAACTCACTCTCCCGATCACATTCCCTCTGCTGCCTGGTCCCTGCCCCATGCCTGAGCCCTACTGCCTCTACTTTCCTGGGAGCTAGGTCATACAGCCACCTGTACTTCTCAGTCTCTTGGCTTCTTCTCCAGCCAGCCCTGCCCAGCCAAGTCACAGCCCACCTCTCAGAGGTGGAGATAAGTTGAGAGAAACCTAATCTCCAGACCATCTCACCAAGTGCTCCCCAGGCCTTAAGCTACCTCTGTGTCCACAAATGCAATCTGTGGAGTACTGGCCCATGTAAGGGCTACTCTCTGCTCAGTCAAAGCAAAAATAAAAAAGAAGCTGTAATCCTAGCTTTTCAGGAAGCAGAGATCAGGAGGGTCATGGTTTAAAGCCATGATCTGGGGAAACAGTTTGTGAAACCCTATCTCAAAAACACCCAACACAAAACAGGGCTGGTGGAGTGACTCACATGGTAGAGTGACAACCTAGCAAGCTTGAGACCCTGAGTTCAAACTCCAGGGCAACTAAAAGAAGAAAAAGAAAGGAAAAGAAAAGCTAAAATAAAATGGAGATCACTGTCCTGTCTGTCCTGTGTCTTCACTGGCAGCACATAATTACCTATCAGTCCAGGGACTCCCCATCACAGAAGGGACAAGGAGCCATCTGTCCCAAGGGCAGTTGGGACAGAATGAGTTGGCTAATGAATTCATAGCCCCCTGAGCAGAAGCACCGTGGCCTCCCGCCCTTCCCATGTGGCTCTGCACATCTTCCCCAAGTTTCAAGGGTAGCACACCTGGCATGCTTTCATGTTGTGGGGTTTCCTGAGGGCTCACAGGACTACTGCTTGGGATTTCCCTGTAGGAGGATGAGGCCCGGAGAGTCACTGCTCCCTTCCCAGTGCAGATTTTGGTAGGATCCATGTCTGAAAAAAAAAGAAAGAAAGACCAAAAAGAGAAGGCTGAATCCAAGGCACCAGAGGAACTAAAATGACAGTTACCAAATTGTTACAGTCAGGGAATGAAATGAAACTGGTTATAACTACAGTCTTCAAATATTTGTGACCAATGAAAATTAATCTGAGGGTTGCAGAAAAGGATGAATCAAAGTTTACCACGCACCACAAGGTTAGGGGAAAGGCAAGTTCTGAATAAATATATGAGTGATGCTATCAGCTGAAAACATTTCAAAATGAAAGCAATTCATTCTTTTTATTAAATGAAGTTTATGTTGGTCAGCAGACTTCTGGCCAGTTAGTAAGAGTTTTTGAAAGATCTCTCAAGCTTCCAGATCATCCTTCTTTCAAAGAGCAAGTTGGCAACACAGGGAGCCAGAGGGATGTTCTGAGGGGACTCAAGCTCCTTGCAAGTCTCCAAAGGGAAAAAAAGAAAAGCAAACATCCCCCTATCAGACAGTCCAGACTCTTGAAATGGTGAGAAAGGAGATAGTGCTGATGGGTGAGAGCCCCACATTGCAAATGCAAAGCAGAAAACTCACCTCCAGGAAGGTGACTGGAAAGCCTTAGTTCCCCCAATCACATTGTCCACTGAACCTCTGCCAAGCCTGCACAGGGTCCCAACCTCCCCTGCAGCTTCCCCAGGGCCTAGTAACAGACCCAGGATATTTGTGAAAGTTCTCTTGAGAAGGATCTTAAAATACAGCTGTCCCCTTATCCCAGGGGCATATGTTCCAAGATCCTCAGGGGATGCCTTAAACCGCAGATAGTGCAGATCCCTATATGTGATGGGTTTTCCTATACATATATATCTTTGATAGTTTTATTAATAAGTACAGTAAAAGATTAACAACAGTAACTAATGTTAAAATAGAGCAATTATAACACTATATTATAATAAAGTTATTTAAAACTTACAAATTGTTTATTTCTAGAATTTCTCAATATTTTTGACCATGTTGACCATGGGTAACTGAAACCACAGAAAGTGAAACTGCAGCTAAGAGGGGCTAGTGGAAGCTTCCAAAGGCCTGGATGTCTATCCTCCAGGAAAATCAGTAATGAGGAGGCAGGAAACTGGTGTAGACTATGAAATTCCAGAGGCACATGTGCTGAGTGTTTCTTTATGTGCAGTTAAGCTAAACTGAACTCCACACTTTTTTTTCCCCCTAGACTGCTCACAATCTGGATCCCTTATCTAAAATTGTCATGTTTAGGATTACAGGTTGAAGCACAGGGTGTATATTTCTTGGGCAGGATGTAGGCTCAGCATCCAACTTACCCCATTCCCATGTGAGGGCAGAGAGAAGCAAAGCCTCTTTCTCCATGTTCTCCATTCCAGCAGCCCTTCCCCAACAACTCAAAACAATCACTATTGCTGATTGGAGGAAAAGCGATTTGCCCCCATCAGCCCTCTTCCCTGAAACATGAATTACAAAACCTACAATGCATGGCAGAGCAAATCTGACCTTGTCAAAAGAGAGGGTAAGTGACTGAGGTCACAAAACTATTTGGAATACCCATTCATGATCATTTCAAAAGGATGAGAGGCAAACTGGCAAATCCACTGTCCATCTGTTAGTTCCTGGACACACAGCCAGATTCACCCAACTTCTGAAAGCATGTGGGCCTCACTTGTCCCACTTTGTAAAGAGGAAGCCACCAGCCAGAGCTGGCATATGAACTACACACCCCCACCTCTTAGAGAGGAGATGCAGGAAGTGCCTACAGGTGAAGCTGAGGAGAGTTGGGGGTGCCCTGAGAAAAGGCCCTGTGCATCACAGAGGCAAGTCAGTATTTGGCATCTAAGGCAGCTACTTCAAATTCAGCCCATTTTGGAGGTTCCCCGTGAGGCTCAGTTAATTCTCAGGGAAACAGGAATTTTCATAAAGTATTGGTAGTTATAAACCTCTAGGGAGAGCCCAAGAAGGCCATGTCCCTCAGCCCCACCCTACAGTCAAAGTTCAACCCCTGCACTAACTGGCTCCCAGAAAAACACACATACACACACACACACACACACACACACACACACACACACACACACACACACACACACACAGAGAGAGAGAGAGAGAGAGAGAAAGAGAAAGGAAACAAACTGAGGAAGAGGGAATGCCTCCAAACATGCAAGGATTAGGTCTCAAAGTATGTGTTAGGAGAAAAGAAGAAAGGAAACCATGCATGATCTAACAAATAACAAAAAAGAAAGAAACCAACCCAAAGAGAGATCCCTGAAGGGAGTACTAAGCCTGAAGTACTTTTCACTGTCTTCACGGGGATTATTTTAACAGCAGAAATAGAGCGTGCACGTAAAGGATCGGCAGCTGCTGAAAACACAAAAGGGTAAATGATGCATCCAGAAAGAACATTTGGGAAACACTGAGGCAGTTGAGGAACTGAGTAGGGACAATAGTAGGAAATTGCCTACAAGAAAAGACAATACAAAGAGCAGTAGATGTAGTAATTAAAAATAACCTGCTTTCTCTCTAGAGTTCCGGGCCAAGACAGCTGAAGCCTTCCTTCAACCGTCACCCAGATACAGTTGGTCAGGGTTTATTGGTGCCTCCTGCCATACCAGGAGCTTGCCAAAGCTCTGGACAAAGAGATGTGTGGAGACACAGATGGTCTGGCAAATAGAGGACTGGGAGTACAATCAGGATTCAAGGGGCCTCATGGGAGAATGTTGGGTTGTCGGCTCTGCAGTGAGTGCTCCGAGGAGAGGGCTATGCCCCAAAGGCTGCAGATGAGTGCAGGAAGGAAAGAAACAAGTTCATGAGATGACTGGTCCCTTCAGACCTCAGAGCTGCTCCCCCCAAATCATAACTTCTGGGGTCCCGTGCCTGCTCTGACAATCACCACTGTCTGGCCCCAAGCAAATCAGACCCTCCATCTGTCAGGAAGCAGATGGCCCTGCTTAAACCCACCCTTTCCTGGGAAAGAGGTGCCAAGTGTCCGAGCTCATGCTTAAGACTCTGGGCAACACCCCAATACAGAGCCCTGGATCCTGACGTCCAGCAGAACTAAAGCAAGGCAGGGACCACTGCCTGGGATGTGAGGAAAGCCGGTGTCCTCTGTCTATAATGTGCATGCTTATCCATTTAATGGGTCCTTGTGTTCCCTGCCTGCCCAGTCTCCAATCTTCCTAGTGGGTACATCCTAAGACTCTTGTGAGGCCTCCCTTGTCCTCTCTCTTGAGTGGCAGCAAATAAAGAAATATGAGAGCTTTTTTGCTATGGTGCCAAAGTTGCTTCAATAAGCAACACCCAAAGGTCTCAGGGCCCCAGAATAATAAGAGGGTAGGGCTGGCTGGGAATAAGGTCACTATTGAATCAGAATCATGCTAGTGAGAATGTCAAGGAGAGCAGAGAGGGTGGGAAGCACCTCCCAGCCCATCAAACTGCTGTTTCATAAGATATGTGGCAGTCACATGATGTGTGGTCGTCAAAAACTAGGTTAAAAACAACAACTCTGCATATATTAAGATAAAAATGAACTTTTATAGGAATCCTATTGACTGCACCTTATAATCACCTGGGAGATTGGCTGGGTGGGACATTTTTGTACGATTTTCAGAGGAAGAAGCAAGAAGTTCAGTGAACTACTCATGGTCACTCCATTCTCAAGGGCAGAGGCTGAGGTTGGAGCTCAGTTGTCCTGACTCCTGGCTCGGTGACATCCAGAGTCCACCCTGATGACCTTCAGGTTACATCTACCTCCCTCTTGTTTCCAGTCAGAGACTCTTACTAAGAAGAGAATGGAGCCCACCTCCACTTGCCACCCTCCTCCCACTAACACTCTTGTGTAAATGAATTCACAGGGTCAGAGCTGATGGTGGCTCCACAAATTTAAAAGCCACTGCTCATGTTCCTAACTGTATAATTACATACCTCCTCCAGCCACTCCATAGGCACTGAGCCTCGACATTCCCTAAGTACAACTTAGCCAAGATTGTGCAAGATTCTAAGAACATAGCATATACAGCCCCACACCCTGAGTGGAAAAGGGAAGCCAGGCAGGGAGGCAAGGAACAGGACAGCACAAGACTTGCTTCCCCCGAACCCTGTGTCCCATAGTCCCCATCTCCTGTTCCCTGTGCCTCTTTCTCCTAGCAGCTAGCTTCCTTCAGAGTTCACAACTTTGCCTTGCCTCTAAAGGAGTACTTCGCTGCATCAGATGGAAGTTACAAAGGCCAAATGTGTCAAACTGTTGAAATTATTCTTTGGGAGATACTGCATTTTGACATCAATGCCCCATGCTAGGGTTTTTGCCCTTCCTCTTTGATATCAGAAAATATCTGGCTGGCAAGTGTTCACAGCATTACTGGAACCAAGCATGGGAAGCAGGAATAAACACTGCAGACCATCAAACTCTCTCATTTATAGGTAAGAGAACTCACACCCTCAAAAGATAAAAGATGCCTACCAAGACGTCTCTGTAAGGGACTGAACCACATCTCATCACTCCAACTTGAGTTCCATTACCCCACATTGCAAAAGTGATGCCAGGTCAGGATGACCTCAAAGGTTATCTAATCCATCATTCAGTTCACATTTCTATATCTTGTCATAAAACTTTTTTAAACTGAAAATATGAGGTATAGGGATATAGTTCAGTAGTAGAGCACTTGCCTACATGTGCAAGCTCTTGGCTCAATCCCCAGCATGGGGAAAAAAGCAGAAAATATGAAAGGCTAAGGATAAAACTCATGCCACTAAATTGAACTATCTGGGCTCTTGCCTCACAAGGTTGTGAATATGTCCCATCCCTATTCATTACAAGCCAAGGTGAAATGCTGGAGATTTCAAGGTGATAAATGCCGTAAGCGCCAGGCAAGATGCACACCTGGGTCCATGTATTTGACCTACTATCACTATGTCCTTGTGAGCCAGGAACAGCTTTCAATACACCACTCACAGTAGGAAAACAGCAGCTTCAGACCCACAAGCAGCAAGAACACACTCCAGGTCTCATCATAGGGACTAGGTCTCCAGTTCACAGCCTGATTTTAGGCTGGTGATGGGGTATGGTGGGGTAACCCCAGTCCAACATACCCTCCACCTTCTAGAAATGCTTTTCAAGACCAAGAAAGGCTTCTTTACAAGAGACTTACCTTTGTCTTGCCCATTGCTGCCAGGTGCCAAGCCATTCACAACAGCTTTAGAAGTACCAACATCACATTCTAAAAGGAAGAAAAAGAACATGGGGCTGTGACCATGCCTACCTAACATTCATCAAGTCCCATAAGGTATAAGGTGCTGAAGATAGAGTCAAGAGAGAGCAGAGAGGCCCTGCCCTTACAGTCCCTGGAGTGACTCCACCCTGCCCCCATGTCCCACCAGCTTTGTCAGACTTTGGAAAGGCCCCCTAGGACATTGTGGGAGAGTTCTGAGAATAACCTTTGGCCTAAACCAGGCAGGATGCAAAATCTATTTGGGGATGGGAAGTGTGCTGTGGGTGATGTAAATTCTCTTACCGCCCTAGTACAATTTCCTTTCTGGCATTTAAAAAAAAATGTGCTTAATTCCATCAAAATGGCACCCCATATTCTACTTGTCAACGTAAGGCTGCCATCTCCATGATACTGTCTTTAGACACTGTCCCTCTTCACCAACCCAGTTCAGAACTTTGTGCTACTGTCCCAGAGGTGACATTGCCTCCTGACCACTCTTCCTGCCTTTCTCTACCTCAATCCTCATCTGCATCCCAAAAGCACATAGTAGATCCTGACTTAACCACAGCCCTCCCTATGCTAAAGAGTGCCAGGGTGCAGGACAGATGGAAACAAAACAGGGCTCTGCAGAATGATCCCCTAAGCCTCTTTCCTTTAAATATACTATATCTCATCTCAGATTTGAAAATTAAAACAAGGGGATTCAATCATGCATAATATTATTTCTATGGGGGAAAATGTATTTCAGTTTCCTAAAAGTACAGAAATGGTTGTTGGGGATATTTTTTTTGGAGGAGGGGCAGTACTGTGGTTTGAACTCAGGTGCTTCCAACCTTTTTTGCATTAGTTATTTTTCAGAAAGGGCTTGGGCTTTGCATGGACAATGATCCTCCTATCTCTGTCTCCTGTGTAGCTGGGATTACAGGTATATGCCATCATGCCTGGCTTGTTCTTTGAGATTGAGTCTCACTAACTTTTCAAGGTTGACCTTGAGCCATGATCTTCCTATCTCTGCCTTTCAAGAGATTACAGGTGTGAACCACTTCATTCACCAGAATATAATTTTTTAGTAAGTAGGATGACTTGTATCTTGTCATACATTTTACATTTAAATTTAAAAACTTACATTCTTATTGAAAACTAATCAACTAAGCCTCAGGGGCCACAGCTATCTCAGGGGACACAGCCTAAGCAACTCACCCTGGATTCAAGGCTCTCTGACCACAGTCACAGCCCTTTCCAGCCACATTTCCCTCTTCTCCCTGCCTGCCATGCTGGTCTCTGAGTGTCTCAGAGACTTTCAGACCTTTAGGCCTTGCTTCCTATGAAGAACTCAGCCAGAAATGCCCCCTTCTCGTTTTTGTTTTTGTTTTTTACCTTGAGGAAATCTTAAGCATCCTTGGGGCTCACCTTGAATATCACCTCCCCAGTGTGAGCTGACGCTGAGACTTTCAAAGTTCTGTTCAGCTGCAGACAACACTGAAACCCTCCCTGCCCACCTGCCCACTGGCTGCCTAAACCCCACACAATTCTCCAGCTATCCCTTTTGGGAACTTTGAAGCAGACAAGGGAATACAGGAGGGCAGGAAGACTCCATTACTCTAGGGCACGTGGCCAGAGTGTGTTTGAAGGTACCCAACAGCAAACAGCTAACGAAGCTACAAACATGATCATAACTATAGCCCTTTAAATATCAATTGCCTGGATCTGAGGACCCATGCTCAGTATTTTATACTCAGCATCTCACTGTACCCTTTAGATCCAGCCCTCTGGAGCTAGGACTTAGGGAGTGCTAGTCTATAGATAAGAAACAGACTCAGAGGATGCCAGGCCTGCCCAAGATCACTAAGCTGGGATTTGAGGTGCCCCAGCTCCCAGCTTGACTTCTCCTTCCAACCACCAACCAAAATAAACATTTTGACTTTCTGATTATTATTATTATTATCTTCTATTACCCCAAATGCTGGGCCTACAGCCCAGTCTCATACCCCAGTAGTACATGTGACTGATAATAAGTCACCCTATGAGACTCTTAACAATCAGCTTCCCAAAAGGCTGGAAACCTGATATAAACCACATGGATAGGCCAGCTTGGATGCAGCCTGCACAACATCAGAGCAGGACCTCTGCCCCTCCCACCTGGCAGAGCCTACACTTCCCCCACATTAGCCCCACAAGCTGCACCATGTTTGTGGCCCACATCCACCTACAAATGAAAACTCATTCTCTGGGATACCAAGTCTCCCTTAAGCCCTCATTTATGGGCCAAGTGGAAGAAGAGTGTTGGTAAAAGGATAAAAATTCTAAATAAAAGACACATTACACGTTCTATCACCCCATCATTTGTTTTTTAACTATCCCTTTCCTCTGCACCTGTCCTGGCTCCTTTTGGTCCATCTTTTTGGGACTGTTGGTCTTGCCTAGAGCCTTCCCAAGCTCACATGGAGCTGCCTGTGAGCTACCACTAGGCCCATGCCTATGTTCTTCCTTTCTCCTTTTTTCTTTTAATTAAATATAACAACCAAACTGGAAGGAATCTAGAAAAGTGTTAGAAATCAATAAACCCATCATTTCAAATTCCAGCCTCTGCAGCAGTCTGTTGGTGTCCAACAGCCTGCATTTGCCTCCACTCCACTCTAGTTGGCTAATCCTGGCCAGACTGGTAATTAACACTTCAGGGCTCAGTTTCCCCATCCATACAATGAAGTGGTAAATCAGCCCTACCTTTGGGAAATTCTAGGAAAATGAAGATCATGCAAGTAAAACACTTCCCTCAGTAACTGGCAGCCCAGACCAAGTTGAAATAAAAAGAACACAGTTTCATGCTGCTTTCTCCATTAAAGACACAGATGAATGTTTTCCATGTAGCTACTGTTTTCCCAATGATCACTTTCAACAGTGGCATAATATCCCATCAAGTAAACATACACAGTGTACTTATGCATTCCCCACCTTCTTAGGGATCATGTTTTTATTTCCCTCAAATTAAGATAGAAATTCCCAGGACTGGGATTATCAGGTCAAAAGGCCTGGGGTTCTGGACTCCCCCAAGGCAATGCCTCCTCCCAGCACCTGCCTAAGAGAGATTCTAGGACGAAGTCCCCTGAGCATTGCTGCACCCTCAACCTCCTTCCAGGCCGGCCCTTTCTCCTACTCCTGTTCTAAATGCTAGGAGCAGCACTGCATTAAGCTAAACCCAATGTTGGAAGAGCAAGAAACTTTAGGCTATAGAGCAAATGTTTATTTGTTTTTTTAAAAAGCCCTAGCCTATCTTAAAATGATAACAAAAAGCAAACAAATAACAAAAATTGAGTTACAAAGCAGCTCTGAGTCTACTTAAAGGGGGAAAAGCACATTCCCTCTTCATACACACCTAATGCTTAGGAATCTGGAAGAAACCAAGTTGCTCTCTTTACAAGAGACAATAGCAAGAACCCACAGATGGAGACCTCACCATGCCTTAGGTACTATGCTCAGTACTTTAAGAGCATTGCCTTACTCAATCCTCACAAAATCCCAAGGGATTGGTGCTTTTCTTATGTCTATTTTAGAGAAAAGTGCAAAGAAGCATCTACCACAGACTCATGCCACACAGTACAAGAGGCCAAGTTATGGCCCTCAGCTGCTCTGCCCCAGTTCTAATCAAACACAGTCCTGCACAGCTTGGGACTTGGCTAAAAGGACATTGTCTGGAAATAAACAGAAAAGGTTTGTTTTAATCTCAGAGATTCCTGATAATACCCTCAAAATGATGCAGAATTACCAACCCCTAAATGAATGGTTAACCTCCCATCCCCACCAGCCCCACCTGCAGTTCCCACAAGGCTCCAGGGCATGCTCTGTAGCCAACATTACCCTTAATCTCCAGATGGAAACTTCTCTTGGCTGGAACAATGACAATTCCTAGCTACACAAGGAGCAGGGATCGGTTTCCTTCTGTCTTCCCTGCCCCATGCTTTCCATTCCAGTCCAAGACCAAAAATACTGAAAAGTAGTCATTTGTTTAGGTCTTGATTTTTAAAAACATAAACAAGTTGTTCTACAGCCCAGATAAGTATTAGATTAGTTTTTACCCCAGGGAAATTATGATCAATCTGTGTGTCTACTTTTGTGGGCCACTCGGATTAAGAAGTGCCACTGAGGTATATACATACATCAAAATATACCAAATTGCATACTTAAAATATCTACAATTTATTTTATGCCAGTTATATCTCACTAAAAGGAAAGGGTACTGTTGCAAAGATTAGAACATAGTACACACAAAGTGAATAGTACAGTTTTTGACAGATAGTAGGTATTCAAAAAATCATTAACCAGTGTAGGCGGAGATCGTGACTTCCAACCAAGCTTTGGCACTCAGCCAGGTTTCAAGAAATAAAAAACACACTGCTGCTGGGGACCTCCAAGTATGTGGGAAATCTGGGTAAAGTGCCCAGTTTTGTAGATTTGACAAAAGAAAGGCAGGATTTAAAGTGACTTACCAGAGCTCATGGTGGTGGCAGGACAAGTCTTCTGCAACTGGGGCTCTGGACTGCTCTGCAGAAAAACAAATACCACACAATGGAATCGATGAATACCAGGTTCAAGATAAATCCCCGTGGTTAGCATTAAAAATGCAAACACTGTAACCCTTGATAAAACAGAGTTGAACTGGCTGCCACTTGGCCAGGCTGGCTGGTACTTTCATGACCTTGGGCACATCACTCAACCTCTCTGCCTTAGTATTGTCACTCATACTGGGGAGTTAGAGGCCAAAACAGTTTTCTTCCAGCTCTGAGTCTATCAAAACCCTCATATTACATTTTAGGACAAAGAGGTAAAATCACAGTGCATATTGATCATCAGAGACTAATAGATAATAGTGAATGCTTACTCATAGCTTAGTATGCACAAGAAAATATTCTAAATGCTCACAACAGCCCCATGAGGTAAGCACTATTGTAGTGTTAATTCACATAGATGAGGAAACTGAGGCACAGGGAGGTGAAGCAGCTTGCCTGCCCATCCACCCATGAAGGAGTTAATACTGGAACCCAAACAATGCAGACTGACAGACCAAGATCCTAGGCACTGCACTCCTCTACCAGGAGGTGGGAACTATCACTGATGTTTAAGTAAAAAGCCTTCTGATTTAGTAGGGCTATTCACTTCCTTCAAACCAAAGGACGGTAACATTGTACTGGCAACACCCAAGATCTTTTATTGAGTTATCATTTGTCCACAGCAAAATGTATCCACTTGTTATTTTGTTGTTTGTTTTTGGTGGTGCTGGGGATTGAACCCAGGTCCTCACACACACCTAGACAAGCACCCTAGTACTAAATTATATCCACAGCTCAAAATACATCCATTTTAATTGTACATTTTGATGCATTTTGACAAATATATATGTGCTATAATAGTCACAGCAATTACAACATACAGCATTTCCATCACCCTCTCTATAGTCAAATGTATCAACCCACATTCCTGGGAATCACTCATCAGCTTTCCATGACTACAGTTTTACCTTTTCTAGGATTTTCTATAAATGGCATCATATATACACACTCTTCTGTGTCTGGCTTCTCTCATCTACTGTAACACTTTTGAAAAGCAAGTATTTACATATGTGTAAGTCTACTTATGGATTCTACTGTGCTCCACTGAGCTATCTTTATCCAATAACTCACTGAATTGATTGCTACAGTCTTTAATAATCTTGAACTCAGGTACTAAGTGTCTCCCAACTTCATCCTTACGTTAGGTCCTTTGTTTTTGGACATGAAGTTTAAAACCGTCTTATCGATTTCCACCCCCAAAAAATGTCTATTGACATTTTAATTCAGATTTTGTTGACTCTGTACATCACTCTGGGCAAAACTAAAGCAACAATATTGAGTCTTCCAATTCATAAATAAGGCCTATCTCTCCCTTGACCCAGGTCTTCCTTAATTTCTTTCAATGATGTTGTATAGGTTTCAAAGTAAAGGTCTTAATAAGACTTTAAATAATGAAGTCTTATTGAACATACTTACAGTTCGCACAATCAGAAAACCAAGTCCTCAGAATATTTAAAGTACATTATTAGCTGGGAGCTTATTAAAAATTAGCATGGGACTCTACCCTATGCCTACTCAATCAGAATCTGCATTTTAACAAGATCCCAGGTGGTCACTTGGCACTTGAGAGTGTGCGAGACAGTGATGCAGAGAGGTCTGCTTAAGGAAATATATTTTAGTTTTCTTTTCTAAGGAGCTGAAGTTGGACACTGGTTTCTTTCTGGGTTGCTTTGCTTACTGTCCTCAGAACTGAGAGAACAGAATGGTGGGGATGAAAAGTCCTAAGGCTTTCTCTGCAGCCCCAATAAGCAGTAACTTTTCCACTGTCACTGTCAAATACACCTGAGACTACCTGTGGTCTTCATCAGTTGCCTCAGATTGTTCTCTAAGCTATGAGACAACTTGTTCTATCAATTCAGGAACACACCACCTGCTGTGCACTGTATGCCCTTGTGGTTCCCAATACTAGTTTTACCATGACTCAATTTGCCTCCCAGGACTAAAAAGGCTAGTGTGAAATTATCAGCAAATGTTTTACTTTATACATAATTTTCACGATCAATTTTATTATGTTAAAATTTTTAAAGTATGGTGGAAAAATATTTGATTCAACTGTGAAGGTATGTTAATAGAACTATTTTTATTCCTTTACAGTCCTTTCTAACCTATAGGTGCATAAATAGCATTTACACAGTTGTAAGCACATCTGGACAGCTTTATGTTCTAATTTTTTAAAATAGCTATTAAATAAATATTTTCTGAGTTCCTACACAGTCAGCATATCTATCACTTTAATGGCTGTATACTATTTCCTTGTAATAATACTCCATAGTCCATTACCAATTAATTCATCTTAATTTTCAAAATAAGTACAAAGCACACAGCAATTTAGGCTTCGGGAAACAAAACAGAGATGATGGAGATATCTTAGGAACCAAACAACAAGGAGGCCTCAACTCACACATGAACAGGAGTCATGCCTGGGTAGCTCTTTGCACATTTTATACTTCTCAATATAGAAACTACTAAACTTCTAAGTGTCATTCCCACTCATGTTTACAGACTGATCTAAAGTAAACATGGTCAGGGATAATATTCACAACATCTAACCATCGTTTTGCCACAAATGTCTACCAACCAGAGTAGATTCTCATTGTAATACTCTGTGGGAGCCTCTCCCTGTCACTGGTATTGACCACTTAGTGGCTGGATTGAGAGAGGGTAAAGGAGAATGGATCTAGGGTGGTATGAAACGCTTTCAACATTTTAAGAACTAGTCTGACACTAGTAAGTAACAATAACAACACATAGGTGAGAACCAGGAAGACTTTTACCTAGTAGGTGCTGCTGCATGGTAACTGAAACCATAGCAGGTGACACAAAGAAGCAGGGGGCAGTTTAAAACAAAATTTAAACTGCAGCAGAGCAGCAGTAGCAGCTGTATCAAAGATGGTGCCCAGTTTCTGGAACTTACCCACAGTGGCAACAACCAATTCTGGCTCTGATCTCAGTGACCTCAGCTTCCTTGAATCCTCCTTCAGTTCTGAGTGTGGTTTTCTTGCTGTCTGTAACTCCAGGAACTATCCAAGATCCTGCCAATAAATCCCTTTTCAGCAGGACTTCACCAGAAGTAGATTCTTATTGTCTGCAATCCAAGACCCTTGACCAGTACAAGATGGGGAGGGAGGAGTCCTGAAAGCTGAAGCAAGGCTAGTCAGATCTGAATCCCAAGCCAATGGTTTTGTCCCTATGTCCCCAGCAGCTCACAGTCCAGGCAGCAAGATGTGCTCAGGCCATAATCTAGTCCCTGCAGTTTCTTTAGAGAAAGTACCAGATATTACAAATAGATGTAGAACTGAGGGTTTATTTTACATAAAATCCCTGATACTTAATATTTATTTTAAAATCAAGACTCTGTAAAGAGTCTGATTTGGGTGAGTACATGATGGTACATCTTTGGAATGTTTCCCACAAGTGCCCTGCAAAGGGGCAAAAGACAAAAGGAAGAAGAGTGCCTTCTAGTGGCAAAACAGGCAAGTAGACAGTTATCCCAAGTAGACTGCAGGAATCCATACAGGGACACAGCTTGGGTGGGCCAGCAAGGGTCAGGCCACCGTTCCACACTTTGGACTGAAAGGCCCTACCATACTTGCTCAAAGCACCACAGTATCGACACAGACATTCCATTGGAAGAACAAGATGTGAAGTACCCAGACTTGTTAAAAATGATGCATCAGGATAACTAATGGTTCTGCATGGTCCCACCCTATTTCTAAGACCCTATAATGCTAAGGTAAGTTTTAATGACCAAGATTGACTAATTACTAAAAAGCAAAAGTCAGGGATGGGAGCATGTCTCAGATGGTAGAGCACTTGCCTAGCAAATGCGAGGCCCTGAGTTCAAACCCCAATACTGAAAAAAGAAAGAAATATGCTCACAATCAAACCTTCAAATAACTAAGACAACTAAATGGCAGGAATCACCACATACCTATCAGTACTAACACTTAATGTTAATGGACTTAATTCACCCATCAAAAGACACCGTTTGACAAACTGGATTAAAAAAGAAGATCCAACAATTTGTTGCTTACAGGAGACTCATCTCACTGACAGAAATAAGCATATGCTTAGGATGAAAGGCTGGAAGAAGATTTACCAAGCCAATGGCCCCCGAAAACAAGCAGGAGTAGCAATACTTATCTCTGACAAAGTAGACTTCAAACCTACATTGATCAAACGAGATAAAGAAGGACATTCCATACTAATAAAAGGGGAAAAAGACCAAAAGGAAATAATAATCATCAATCTGTACGCACCCAATGTCAACGCACCCAATTTCATCAAACATACCCTAAAAGACCTAAAAGCATATATAAACGCCAACACAGTGGTTGTGGGAGACTTTAACACTCCATTATCATCGATAGATAGGTCATCCAAACAAAAACTCAATAAAGAAATCCAAGATCTAAAATATGCAATAGATCAAGTGGACCTAGTAGATGTCTACAGAACATTTCATCCAACCTCTACACAATATACATTCTTCTCAGCAGCCCATGGAACCTTCTCCAAAATAGATCATATCCTAGGGCACAAAGCAAGCCTCAGCAAATATAAGAAAATAGAAATAATACCGTGCATACTATCTGACCACAATGCAGTAAAAGTAGAACTCAACAACAAAGTAAAGACAAAAAACATGCAAACAGCTGGAAACTAAATAACTCATTACTTAATGAAGATGGATCATCGATGCAATAAAAGAGGAAATTAAAAAGTTCCTGGAAGTCAATGAAAATGAAAACACAACCTACCGGAACCTATGGGACACAGCTAAGGCAGTCTTGAGAGGAAAGTTTATAGCCATGAGTGCATATATTAAAAAGATTGAAAGATCCCAAATCAATGACCTAATGATATATCTCAAACTCCTAGAAAAACAAGAACAAGCAAATCCCAAAACAAATAGAAGGAGAGAAATAATAAAAATAAGAGCTGAAATCAACGAAATAGAAACCAAAAAACCATACAAAGAATTAATGAAACAAAAAGTTGGTTCTTTGAAAAAATAAACAAGATCGATAGACCCTGGCAAACCTGACTAAAATGAGGAGAGAAAAAACCCAAATTAGTAGAATTAGGAATGCAAAAGGGGAGATAACAACAAACACCATGGAAGTCCAGGAAATCATCAGAGACTACTTTGAGAACCTATATTCAAATAAATTTGAAAATCTTAAAGAAATGGACAGATTTCTAGATACATATGATCATCCAAAACTGAACCAAGAGGAAATTAATCACCTGAATAGACCTATAACACAAAATGAAATTGAAGCAGCAATCAAGAGTCTCCCCAAAAAGAAAAGTCCAGGACCTGATGGATTCTCTGCTGAATTCTATCAGACCTTTAAAGAAGAACTGATACCAACCCTCTTTAAACTGTTCCATGAAATAGAAAGGGAAGGAAAACTGCCAAACACATTTTATGAAGCCAGTATTACACTTATCCCCAAAACAGGCAAAGACACCTCCAAAAAGGAGAACTATAGGCCAATCTCCTTAATGAACATTGATGCAAAAATCCTCAACAAAATAACGGCAAACCGAATTCAGCAACACATCAAAAAGATTATTCACCACGACCAAGTAGGCTTCATCACAGGGATGCAGGGGTGGTTCAACATACGAAAATCAATAAACGTAATAAACCACATTAACAGAAGCAAAGACAAAAACCACTTCATCATCTCAATAGATGCAGAAAAGCCTTTGATAAGATCCAACACCATTTCACAATCAAACCTCTAAGAAAACTAGGAATAGAAGGAAAGTTCCTCAACATTATAAAAGCTATATATGACAAACCTACAGCCAGCATTACCCTTAACGGAGAAAAATTAAAACCATTCCCTCTAAAATCAGGAACCAGACAAGGATGCCCACTATCTCTACTCCTATTCAACATAGTACTGGAATTCCTAGCCAGAGCAATTAGGCAAGAAGAAGGAATAAAAGGAATACAAATAGGTAAAGAAACTGTCAAAATATCCCTATTTGCAGACGACATGATCCTATACCTTAAAGACCCTAAAAACTCTACTCAGAAGCTTCTAGACATCATCAATAGTTATAGCAAGGTAGCAGGATATAAAATCAACATAGAAAAATCATTAGCATTTCTATACACTAAAATGAGCAAACTGAAAAAGAATATATGAAAACAATTCCATTTACAATAGCCTCAAAAAAAATCAAATACCTAGGTGTAAACCTAACAAAAGATGTGAAAGACCTCTACAAGGAAAACTAACACTTCTGAAGAAAGAGATTGAGGAAGACTATAGAAAGTGGAGAGATCTCCCATGCTCATGGATTGGTAGAATCAACATAGTAAAATGTCGATACTCCCAAAGTAATCTACATGTTTAATGCAATTCCCATCAAAATTCCAATGACATTCATTAAAGAGATTGAAAAATCTACTGTGAAATTTATATGGAAACACAAGAGGCCACGAATAGCCAAGGCAATACTCAGTCAAAAGAACAATGCAGGAGGTATCACAATACCTGACTTCAAACTATATTACAAAGCAATAACAATAAAAACAGCATGGTACTGCACAAAAACAGACATGAAGACCAGTGGAACAGAATAGAGGATCCAGATATGAAGCCACACAACTATAAGCAACTTATCTTTGACAAAGGAGCTAAAAATATACGATGGAGAAATAGCAGCCTCTTCAACAAAACTGCTGGGAAAACTGGTTAGCAGTCTGCAAAAAACTGAAACTAGATCCATGTATATCACCCTATACCAAGATTAACTCAAAATGGATCAAGGATCTTAATATCAGACCCCAAACTCTTAAGTTGATACAAGAAAGAGTAGGAAATACTCTGGAGTTAGTAGGTATAGGTAAGAACTTTCTCAATGAAACCCCAGCAGCACAGCAACTAAGAGATAGCATAGATAAATGGGACCTCATAAAACTAAAAAGCTTCTGTTCATCAAAAGAAATGGTCTCTAAACTGAAGAGAACACCCACAGAGTGGAGAAAATATTTGCCAACTATACATCAGACAAAGGACTGATAACCAGAATATACAGGGAACTTAAAAAACTAAATTCTCCCAAAACTAATGAACCAATAAAGAAATGGGCATGTGAACTAAACAGAACTTTCTCAAAAGAAGAAATTCAAATGGCCAGAAAACACATGAAAAAATGCTCACCATCTCTAGCAATAAAGGAAATGCAAATTAAAACACACTAAGATTCCACCTCACCCCTGTTAGAATAGCCATCATCAGCAACACCACCACCAACAGGTGTTGGCGAGGATGCGGGGAAAAAGGAACCCTCTTACACTGTTGGTGGAAATGTAGACTAGTACAACCACTCTGGAAAAAAATTTGGAGGCTACTTAAAAAGCTGGACATCGATCTACCATTTGATCCAGCAATACCACTCTTGGGGATATACCCAAAAGACTGTTACTCCAGAGGCACCTGCACATCCATGTTTATTGCGGCACTATTCACAATAGCCAAGTTATGGAAACAGCCAAGATGCCCCAGCACTGACGAATGGATTAAGAAAATGTGGTATCTATACACAATGGAATTTTATGCAGCCATGAAGAAGAACGAAATGTTATCATTCGCTGGTAAATGGATGGAATTGGAGAACATCATTCTGAGTGAGGTTAGCCTGGCTCAATAAACCAAAAATCGTATGTTCTCCCTCATATGTGGACATTAGATCAAGGGCAAACACAACAAGGGGATTGGACTATGAGCACATGATAAAAGCGAGAGCACACAAGGGAGGGGTGAGGATAGGTAAGACACCTAAAAAACTAGCTAGCATTTGTTGCCCTTAACGCAGAGAAACTAAAGCAGATACCTTAAAGCAACTGAGGCCAATAGGAAAAGGGGACAGGAACTAGAGAAAAGGTTAGATCAAAAAGAATTAACCTAGAAGGTAACACCCACGCACAGGAAATCAATGTGAGTCAATGCCCTGTATAGCTATCCTTATCTCAACCAGCAAAATCCCTTGTTCCTTCCTATTATTGCTTATACTCTCTCTACAACAAAATTAGAAATAAGGGCAAAATAGTTTCTGCTGGGTATTGAGGGGGGGAGAGGGGGGGAGTGGGTGGTAAGGGAGGGGGTGGGGGCA